GATTTTCCTTGTACAGTCGATCGGGCCGCTGTATAATCGCTGCTTCTTGTTTGCCGCGTATTGAATCTGCAATCGAGCCTTGACATGTTCAACCGGAGCTGCTATAAAGCTGACTGTTGAGCCAGCCATGATTCCCGCAATCCCATGTCCAACAGTGGGAAGCCTTTCCGGAAGGTCCTTGTTCGCAAACAGGGCAAAATTCCGTATACTTGGATTAGAAAAAACATGTTCGAGCAATAACCGTCGGTAAAGGGTCAATGAACCAAGCATTCTGATGCGGGAAGGTATGGGTTATTTCGTTGCTCTACAAGTCTAGTTTGCAGGATGAGGCACCTACACGGAATCCATGACCATCCATCCCATCAGCGGAGGCGTTGCGCCCTTGTACAAAGCTGTTACTCCCTCTTTACGAATAGTTTGTAGGAGGCAATCTACCGGACCGCTGAAACGGGCGCTCTTCGTTGTTTGCAATCGGACCTTGATGGTATCAAATCTTTTATAGGGATCCCGGCGGTTTAGTTAGTTTTGTCCTAGCCAATGAGGATATATGATATTCCCTGGAGCTGGACATGTAGAACATACGGATGGCCAACTGTAAATGGTCAAAGAAAGGAAAGGAGCAGACATTAAAACCGTTAGCGAATCTGATAATGTTTATAGTATTTATATCACTCTGGAGCTCAACACACGTTCCAGCGCATTTGTTGCAGGGGTCCAAGCAATGATCAATGGCAAACACAGGATTCACAAGATCGTATATATTACTCGGTACTCACCACTCAGCTTTGCAATCCCTGAAAATACCCCAGCTACAAAGCCTCTATAGTCTTTTCGCTTAACAGTCGGCGCGACCTTGGGCTCGAGTTCGTTTTTGGCACCGGAGGGTATGCTAATGTCGTCCATCTTCCCCCATATATCTATCGGCTCCTTGCCTTGTAAAAGTCCAAACCATTTAATGCGCCGCTAGGGGGTTTAAGAGACGCTCGAATGTAGCCGCATCTGTAAGCTGTGAGGAAACAGTCGTCGAGTTGTGGCCTTTTATTCGATCTCTTCGCCCTCTTTCCGTCTTCCTCCTTCTCAATTCCAATGCGGTTGATGCGTCCAGCATCGACAATCGTCAATTGCGTGACAAAGACGAGGATGCATTCCGATGCCGAAACCTTATTAACCAGCTGACGGCCGATGCCGGCACCCTAGTCAGGCTAACCGGGAAAACTTAGTGTAATCTTTGTCAGCAAACTGTAAAACCCCTTAACTACTCCGTACATCTGATGATCAAGTACGGAGTCCGTAGTATCAGGAAGCAATCCAGTATGCCTTGTTGAGACCTCTACGGAGTACCTCCAGTCACTACATACACAGTGTTATTACATTGCCAGCGACTTCTTTTCCCGTTTTGAAAAATGATTGGTAACAGAAACGATATCCATGGGCTACGCCCAAGTTGACCCGGGGTCCGAGGATATTTATCTATACATCCACTTTCATAAATATCACTTCAGTCCAGCAGTTCCGACCGTGACTTTTATGCTCCAGAAGGATTATGCGGGTGTCTACATCGACACTTGCCGCAGCGAAGTCGGTATAAGTCACGCTGCGGACCATACGCCTCCACGTAGCCATCGAAAATGCCATCACAGCTCGTGTTGCGGCAAATGGTGTTTTCATTAAGCGCTGCTATCGCGTTCTGCATGCCTTCTATGGCGGTCTTTTGTCTCTCGATTTCCATCGTCAACATCCAGTTCGGATGCCGGAGCTCGCTCACCGATTGCTCAAGCGTATCCTTTATCCGTACGAATCTTCCCACAACGTTTTGTATAATCATGGTACTGACTCCCTTTTCCATGTTCAGGTCGGCAAAATCATCTCGTTTGATGAGCTCCTCAATATGGTCCGCGATGCTGTTGGAGATTATCTGGTGAAGCTTTTGGTCTCCAGTGACGGTGAAGGCCTCATTTACCAGGTTGATGAAATTTTCCACCGGCCAATGGGTGAAAAGGATGTTTTTGATTTTTTGATTTGCAAGGTCTCGCAGTCCCGGAAGGTCGAAATAATCAGCGATTGAGTTGACATGGATGTGATCCATCAGAGGCTCAAACGTGTTAGGTGTTGGCTTAGCAAGCCCTTGCGAGTCGACAGGTGCTTTTTCCCCAGACGCGTCGTCGATCTGAAGAAGCTCAAGCTTTGACAGTACTATGTCAGTTACCTGTTAGCTGGAAGTTTGCGATTGATCTCTCACACCCAGGGCATGGCGTACCTTGCTCCGCATCGGCGTCTCGACCCAACTCAATGCCGTCATACTTCTGTGTATACATGAATACGATCATGCTTCTGACGGTCTTTGGGCTGAAACTATCCGCTCTGATGACACCGGTTCCAGATTCCTTCTCCTGTCTAAGCCAGAGAAACGAAATCTTTCCAGACCGCAGAGTACGTACTTTAAATCCCCGATCTACTGCTGCGGCGATGACTGGGGACCGGGCACAAATGATCGCTTTGTGGACGTTGAACTCTTCCCCGTTGCAAGTGATTTTGAAATCACAATACTTCTGGGACTTTAGGAGCTCCTCCAAGTCATCTTGGAAACTGCGCGTCATCATGCTAGATGGATAGCCAAATGGACCTTGTGAAATTATGTCAATCAAAAACAATTTGGGGAACGGTGTAGAGAACAGGTTGCCTAGATGACATTCTGCTTCTCACTTCCTTAAATATTGCCCGACAACCAACGATGTTAGGATTTGACGACTAATCAACGACTAAGCGATGCAAGATGCCAGACTGTTCCGTGCTATTTGAATGCAGCATGAACAGATACGCTGATTGCTGCTATATTGGCAAAATGTTGATACCATGATATTTCTATTACTACTTCTAAGAACTGGGAAGCAACCTAGGGAAGGTACTCTAGTAACATCTAGGTCCCACCCTTTGGGCATAGTTCTTTGGTTTTGGCCCAATACTAGTGAAGTGAGGAGACATGAATAAAGGATTTACATATATATCGCTCTCTTCTAGACCAGGCGTCTACCATAGTAAGTGGTGGAGATACGTCTAGAAGATATGCTTCATCCATGCCATGTGCCCAGGTAGATATGCCTTGCGCATTGTATCTCACATTTTCCTGTTCTAAGACTACAGAAGCTTCTGGCTTGATTGCTCAAAGATATAAAGGCGCCATTAGAGGAGCTAGGCTTTGATGAAAGCAGACAAAACTGCTTTCAGAGAGGTCGTTATCACTATCTGATATCTGGTTTACTTTGCATTTCTACGAAAGAGAAATTATAATCAATAGAGTACAGTGCGTATAGAGCTAAAGATACCTTGGAGTGGAAGCTCCTGTAGGTGCAGTTATGTAGGGGGAGGACTACACACAACATGAATGTGCATACAGTTAGGGCTCTAACATGAAGCATGGCTATCAGATGTACCGTTACTCATGTTTCACTCCATGAGCCTTTATAAATGCAGCGCAAACCTGGATGCTGGTGCCGATGGCTCCATATCAGGCAGTGTATGAGACGAATAAATTTGCTATATGCTTTGAGAAATACATTCCAGAATGTATCTCAAACTTGCGAATCCTACGTCGAGTCAACATTTTGAAGATAGCAACCATCAATTCAGGCCCTATGAATCCCAGGTTAGTTTTCCTTCAGCTTGTATCATGATAAGGTGCTTACTTGGAGGGACTATGCGTTGAGCCTGAGAAACCTGAAGTCTTCACGAAGTCTTCTCTTCGGAGGCACTCATGACTTTGTTTGCCTGATGACAGCCTTTTTCATTTAGATAATGAAGAAGGCGCCAATACCAGCTTGCGTAGGAGATCTCCTTTATGACGGCCATGTCTATCACATCTAGAATCACTTGATAGGACCCTCATGAGGTGATGTCCAAGGAGGTAAAGAAATAAAGCATGTGAAAAATGGCATTTCTGGCACAGTAGCCCGCGAGCCACTGTATTTAAGCTAGATATGTCCTGATAAAAGAAGGTCCCGGTCACGGGAGAGCACATCACCAAGGCGAGTCCCGTGATATTGCCCTAGTAACCGATAAGGGGTACATAATGCCGAAAAGTGCCTCTTTCCAGCATCCGAACCCGCCCTGGCCTAGTCGTCTCAGCAGCCTCAGAGAGCGCCCCAACTGGAGGGTGGACTGGCACACCGGGTTCGAATCCGCAAAGGACGTACCATCAGTGGCAGCTGCACCACTGATGGGAACCTTTTTTTATCTCTTTGCCTTATTATCGCCATCTCATGGGAGAAGCGTTTATTTTATTATTTTTTCTTTTTTTTCCACTGGCTCTAGGAATGGAGCGGTTCTTGTGCGTCCTCAGCATATATCCTACGCGAAAGCTGGAAAGGATACCATGCGACGCTCATGCAACATCAACATCATTCCCCTGGGAACCTTTTTCAGAATCCGCTGCTTTGATTCTTCTACCCCGCGGAACACTGCAGTACTTGGTATCTCAGAAAGCATTCCATGAATAGCAGACAATGAATGGAATGATGGCAACAGATCTATAATGTATGCACCGCATTATAGAGTGAGTCGATTGCCAACAATGTCGAGGGCGCATAGGTTTCACAGCAGATAGAAGCAGGCAGGGCTACGCACAAACATAGACAAAGAAAGTCGCGATCACATCGCTATGAACGTCAAAAACTCAGGGAGCGAAGGCAGAAGAAGGCGTACATATAGTTACGCCCGAAGGATATTTGCATGAGCGCGAATCGACAACTGGCAGCGAGCATGAGAAACGAATTTGTCACGCCCTGCTGGCCGCGACATTCTGCCATCCTCCCAGCACAGCGTCTCGAGTAACTTGACAATTTGTCATGCTCGCAGCAATGCCATCAACAGGGGAGAATTCGTGCTCACTCACCAAGGCATATATATATAGCAGCAAGCCAGAACCCCCCTCGACCGTATCAGCACAATCCACAGCCTCAGATCGAACCAGAATCAAGAACAACGCTTCTCGAGTCCTCACCAACACACATCCAAAATGCAATTCTCCAAAGCTGCCCTCCTCGCGGTCTTCGCAGCCACCACTTCCGTTATCGCCGATAGCCAGATCAGTTCCGTTACCTGTAACAAGAAGAGCCTGCCCTTCACTCGCGATGAAGCTCACGTAGGTTCCCATCTCCCACTCCCCCGGCCACTCAAGCCCATCACTTTTTTAAGAAAAGGCCCCTTTCTCAGCCTAACATCCCCGTTTTTCCCAGGTCGCCATCCAAACGGCCTGCAACGACATCAAATTGCAGGACCCCGGCTTCCACGTCTTACAATATCTCGACCGCCGTGTCAAGATTACCGCAACTATCTATTGCAAGTTCTATGAGTTCAAACCGTGCGAAGACATTTACCATGAGATTATGGAGGTGTGCAACACTGGCAAGGTGGATCAAGTTGGTGGAAAGAAGGAGGACCCGAATTGTGGCGTGTTCACGATTGAAGGGTATGAATGGAAATCGAGTGATGATGCTTGAGTAAAAGTCGCTCCTTTGTTCTTCAAGTCTTGTGCTTTTGTTGCCGATAGAACAGAAGTTGAGGTTGTCAATTGAATGAACTTAAAAACCACTGATCAGTGATTGGAAATATTTGCTTACATAATCCCATTAAATAAAGGAGTTCAGAGCACAAGGGGTACTCCGTAAACCAACAATTGAAGAGCATTGGATACAGGACACAGAGTAGCTAATAATACACCCAAGTGAAAAGCAGAAGCGTTGAATCCAGCCTACTTGCAAAACCTTTCCGAGCCCTTCTTAACGTCCAAATCGGTTGTCAGGAATCACCAGACCCATAGCCGCCCTTACCGAGTCTCTGCACCTTCACCGTCGATTTCCTCCCATTCGACGATGACTTGTTCGCCGCTTCTCTCAAAGGGCCACTTGCGTAAAGCTGGGCCGTTGAGTTGTTGGGTTGGGGACTTGATAGCGGAGCACAGAGCGAAATGGTGCGGCATTTCTTCCTCCAAGAACGCGGTATGGTATTGCCGATCAAGCGCCTGAATCATCTCATCGGTAACTGTAGGGACTTCCGGATTCTTCATGATCTGCTCAAAGACAATAGTACAGTCGCGACAGTACAAACCCGACTCAATCCTGTGGGTTTCTGGGTCATAGTACGGGAACGCAGTTGTAGCTAAGAAGCGGCGTTTAATGGGAAAGCTATCGCAAGTCAAGAAACGGCTATACACCATTTGCGGAGCGCGGGGAAGGGTCGCGAAATTTCCCGTGAGCCACATATCCTGAGCGAGTTTTTCAGCGGAGACTTGCGCGGTGTGTTCACGGAATGCCGCCTCAACGTTCTGCAGCGTTCCGTATTCCTGGAGAGCAAGCTGTTCAGCATCATAAGTGCTAACTAGGCTATCCCGACGGATCCATAGCCCGCTAGCTCGCATAGTCCCATACCAGCCCGGGATACTGTTGATGACACGGAGTTGGGAGGACACATCGTCATCAAGCATGTAATTGGCGACAACTGTTTTCGTATGGGAGCGAGACATAACTTTGGGCTCTTGAAGTGGCAATCGTGGCAGCAGCGGCTCAAATTAAGAAGAAAGAGAAAAGCGCCAAAATTGCCACAGATCCGACACCACGGCTGGCAAAGTTCATCATGAAGTTGCTTGACTGTGTAATATTTTGCGACTTCCGTAATGTCCATGAGCTCCAAGGTATCCGGCGCGTGCTCCAGGAGCCTGGAGTACTCGAGAACGGAAAGGGCCTTGGCCTCCAATGCTGAGCTGGCAAGACAAAAGTTCTTCAGAGTATCGAGATCGAGCAAGAGGCATATTTTCTGAATGATTTCAAGAGGAATTCGCGAAAGAGTTCCAGCAGACTTGAATTGCCCCGTCATTTCCGAAGGAGCTTGAAACAAAGGGTCATCGCCATGCCATTCATTAGGATAAAGGTTCAATTTTCCGATAGAGGGATTATCCCAGCGGTAAGCTAATCCTCGCGCCATGGAAAAGCTGCTGATGCACTAGTCATATCAGAATGCTTCTGTTAGTGAAAATCATACAGCACGTTGGTCAAAACAAACCACACCTTCCCACTCCACTACCTTGTACCCTGAAGATCAAGCTGTTCAAAATCACGCGGAGCTTCAAGAGAGCCGTTATAGCCAGAAAGGAGGCTCGAGGTGCAATGTCTTTTTCCCACCACTTTCTCCTCGACTCTAAGCAAGCCGACACGCAAGAGACATTTCAAAATAAACACGTTGAAAGATAGTTTTGAACAGGTCAAAGCTTGCAAAGTGAATGTTATTTTACGCCGAGAAATGAGATACTAGTAGAAACCACCATGCTTGGAGCGTTTTTTATTCCCAGCAAGTGATAACTAACCAAAAGGGTATTGAGTATCCAGCAACCAATGGGAACTAGTCATTCAACGTGCGAGCTGTCTGGAGGCTCTACTCCAGGAACAGATTCAACATTTGGAAGAATAAGCAGTATATGCCATGAAGGAATGGAAACAGCATGCATTTTCCAGTGCACTGGAATCTGTTGTGAAAGGCCCACATGGCTCACACTAAGGGACAGAGGCCTTAGATCAGAATCAAGATGGTCGATCTAGGAAAAATACAGCTTTGCGCTGTGAATTCAGTGTGTAGAAAAGACACCATCTAAGCAGACACCGCGAAGTGTAAAGAAGCTGAAAGGAGAAATCCAGCTTGCATAAGGTTTTTAGTAGTTAACTAGATGGACCGGGGAATCATAAATCCGCAAAACGTTTTTCTTGGAGAACCTGTGAACGAACCACCCCATCTACAACAAAACAGTTAATTGTTCAATTATTGCTTCAAAAAATCGAGAAGTGATGGATGTGGACTCTTGTTCTGACTGCTTCTGGCAGTGTGCATCAGCCTAGTTTTTCTGGAAACTCAGAAATTTTGCATGCAGCTATCCGACGGGCTCAAACGCTGCATCCTGCGTCTCACCAAATCTGGAGTCGCTCCGATGCGAACTTTGAAGACACATGTTGCTCGGCAGCCCAAGCCAAGACTAGAGAGGTGTATCGGTTTTAAGCTTGGATGGCTTAGAACAATATCTGTCTTCTGCATCCTGGGTAGGTATGTATTACATACATGCATTCGAGCGAAGTCCAGTAAAAAGGGGCTATCCCTTTCCTGGTCGATAAATCATATCTCATTAAGAGGAACTCGTTCTTTAGAAAAAAAAGACTCGGCTGTGTAGGGTATATACGATAATCAAGTAAAAACAAACGCGTACAATGCTACCAGCCATATGAATCAGATAACCGAACGACAACCCATAGGTTTGAGGTCCTTTTCTCCGACAAGGACAGAAACAACAAGCAAACAAAACCCGCTGGCGGACTGGGACCGATGGTCTAAGATGCGGAATTAAACTCTTTAGCTGTAATTCTCAAACTCATTTACCATGCTGCCGGTGTCCATGGAACCCAAGAAGTTTTAATACAACCCCAGTCTAATGTGCTTTATTTGGCTTTTTTTTTTCAACTTTTATCAATCAGTTGTTTCGTAAGACCTCGTAGGATAGTCGTTGTATCCAGACTGATAGGCAAGAATAGGATGAGAAATTCGACGAAAGGTAGGGTATTCATCAAGCGGAAAGTCACAATATTGAGAGTGTGCCGTATAAAATGTTTGTTACCGTAAAATTTCGGTGATAGTAATCGAACTTCGGGGCCGAGAATGCATAGAAATAGCAGCGGGGATATCTTTCGTGAAAGAGGTGAGGTTATCGAAAATGCAAGGTGATAAGCTTAAAATTGCAGGGGCCCGTCATTGTCACCATCCCTTCTTGTCTTTTCGCGACCCGCCTTTAGAAGCAAGCCGATCATGTTCTCGCTGGAGGAGCCTTTCCAGCATTTCTTTTGACGGGAGATGGTCACCCGTAGGTCTGCTTTCCGATGAGTGCCGCGTGTTTGCCGTAAAATAGCTCTCTTTCTGCTCCTCCAAGGCGAGTGGAGTGACAGGGCCGGGACTTCCCAGTGGATCCAACCGGGGTTTTGAGGGCTTCGACGAGGGGGCAGAGGTCGGGCCTCGAGATGTTAGGGTCATGCCAGCGACGAGTTCACGGTATTGCCGCAGAGCATCACGAGAATTGGAGGAAGGACGGTACTGCTGCGTGGAGCGAGATTGAATGGGCGAAGGCGGCTGCGGAGGGATGGCATTTGGATTTGAAGACTGGTAGACGGCGGGGTGGAATCGAGGGAGATTTGCAAGGTGGAAAGCAGGAGCTGTTTTGGAGGAATGGCGAGGACGCGGGCGGGAAGGGGCAGGAGAGCTGGCGCGTATGGAGGGAGACATGGTTGAGTGAGGTGGCTGCGACGCATGCAGAGTTGTCGGGCGGTCAGCGAACATGCTGCCTCCAACGACGAGGCTGTCTCGGGGAGCAGGAACTCAGGAGGTGGACAGGACGTGAGGATGGCAGGGCGTTGCACCGTTTGGAAGTGGATGAATAGTCGAGCTGTATCAATTGCGGTTGCAGCCTAAATACTGAGAGGAGATGGATGCTTGTGACTCAACGGGCGCAGGACGCAGGTGACTTGCTAACGGGGTGGCTCAAAAAGGGCAGATGATACAAGTGAAGAGATGTTTAGCTAGGCAGCTGTCATTGAAGGATGATGGAGAAGAAGAAGAAGCACTTGTGTCTGGGAAGGGGGATGACGGGGTTTTATTAATAGCAAACATCACTCGTCTAGTCTGCAGGCGCCGTGGCTCTGGGGAAATCGATACGATGGACTAAAAGGACGCTTGGGGCCTTTGGGGGAGGGGAAGAAGCATGGGACACGGGGACGGGGAGCGGGCGCTGTGGGGGGTAAGTTGTAACTCAGTGTTAGGGGCGAAGTTTACTCCGGGACTCGCGAAACGAACGCCGACCGCGGGGCCCGTGGATTGGAGGGCGTGTCCCCACACGGCGGAGAAAGCTTCCCACCTCGAAATTCAAAATTCAAAGAGGATCAAGTCCTTTCTTGCACTTCTGCATTTCTACATCCTTTCCAGCTTGCTGCATCGATGCGAAGGATCCTGTCCTCGCGAGGCCTGGCTTGTGAGCCTGCAGGATTTCAGAATCGGGTGTGCTGCAGATGAAGCTAAGGCAAGCAGTCCATGCTGAACTGACACCTCACCCCCTTGGCCAACTCGTTAGTCTCTCTCGTTTGTGGGAGATCCGAGCTTCGTCAAAACTCTGTCAAAGCGTCGAAACTCTCGCGCCCCAAGCCTCGTTGGCTCCGGTTGGTAAGTTTGGTGTCAACTTTCTTCAAGGGACCGAGCTGGTGGTGTGCGTCGTCTAGTTCCTCCGATCGATCGACCACGCGAAACCGCCAATCTGAGCCATGATGATGCTTGACAGATAGTCGTACATCTCGTGGGCCGAACGTTCTGTCCCCCCAAAACATGCGAGATTGTTTTACCGTCCGCTGTGTTCAACTCACAAACTTCACACTGGCCAGGGTGGTACCACTTGATTTTCCCTTAGCCCGTTCTCACCGCGATAGCGTCATCGGTGAGACCATGGGATCCATGGAACCAAGCAGCCCCGACGCTGGTAGTCTGAGGCCACACCAAACTCTGTGTCGACCCCAAGTCTAATTTTCTCATTTTCCAGCGCTTCACGCGGATCAGGGCTTCAATTGTGGTCCACCCTGGAGCCATGCTATCCTCGAAATTGATGGAGGGACAATTGCAAACGGTGCCACAGAAAAAAGTTGCCGAAGAACCTCACTGCCAAATTACTACGGGGGATTCGGGGAATCTGAGTTGTCGAGTTATGAGTTGAGGTCGTAGAGGTCGGATTTCCCCCAGTCGCCAGTATTGTCCTACCCAACAAGTCGGTTACCCCTGTATTAACAACATCTTATTGAAGGCATAACCACACAGCTCGTCCTCTGCGGCTCTCCTTTTCAAGCTGCTCTTGAGCTGGCTATTGCTGACATATTCTTGCAGAGATGAGCAAATTAATATGATTGAGAACCAAAATTATAAAAACTCCTGAGTCTCTGACGTCATGATGCTAGTGAATTCCGCACCAAGCAAGTCGGTTCTTGGTCATTGACTTATCAGGGAGATGCAGCAACGCGATATCACTCCTGGTTGCTTGAATGCAGCTCCCTTGCTGTGGTCTCGACTACGCTATGGTAGGTAATACTTGCCCGTTGAGAACCATGGTGCAGCGTTGAACCGATGATGACGATGATGATGAAGGTGACTGATCTGTATGGCTTGCAAGTCACGCTATCAAGAAGTTGCCAGTGATAATAGGAGTTTTGAAAGGCAAGCGGTAGAGCAGCCGATGATACAATGCGGTTATCGCGATGCTAGTCATGGCTTTGGCCGTTTCCCCGTATATATTCTTCAGCCTTCAGGCGTCCTATGCGCTTCAGGGACCGAGAATGAGTTTCGGGACGGAAAAACTTAGTTAAGGTGTGGCTGCTCACGTGCTTCTGAGCTTTTCCGGATTCGGAAAAAACCAGTCCAAGGGGTCATGGTCTAGTGGTTAGGACATGACGTTGTGGCCGTCATAACCCGCGTTCGATTCGCGGTGATCCCACACAAGTTTCGAAATCCTCGTTTTTTGATTCGATTTTTTTGTTGCTCGTCGATGATGCGCAGAGATTGTGGTTTGCGGCATCTTATTCGTGCTTTGGATCGATATCTCCCTCACTCAAGGATCCTCGCTGGGTTGATCGACATTCGAAACAACCCCGAATGTCACCGTCGCCCTTGAGTGATTCCTCGCACCCTCAATCCCTGGGCTGGCCGGTAGCCCGTTGAACCCGTTCTCGCGACCAGAGAGCCCGATAATCGCAAGGATCAAGGGTTAATCGGACTCAAACAGTCTTTTTCCCTTTCCCAGTTAGGGTGCCAGTGTGTTGGAATCCTGCCGAAACGGGGTGTGTCGTCTATGAGTCCATATTAACAATAGCAACAAGTCCATACGCCATACGCAAAGGCGGTTTCTGTCGTCTCAACGGGGAGCTCAGCTGTCGGCTGCACGACGATGATGATGATGATGATGATGATCAGATGCGATGGCCTCCTGCCTGACCAAGGGGCAACCCCGCAGTCTGCCAAGAGACCAAACTTCCTCTCCGTCTGAAACTCTCGCAGCGCCACAAGCGAGGCGCCAGCAACCACCAGCTTGGAGTGGAGCTGGTTAAATGAATGGAAGAGCGATGAGAACTCTGTTTGTGTGACCGGAGGAGGCCCGCATGAACAAACGCTTCACCACTCGGACCTCATGCTTCCTTTCCAGCAACGTCAAAGCATCGCGAGGTGCTGGCAGCAAACCTTCGCGGATAGGAGCGGACAGCGAGACACCCACCTACCTTTCAATTCTCACCCCCGATCTGACCCTGCTGCTGCATCAAGATCGACTCTAGGACAGCAATCGAACTTCCAAGTTTGTCCGTGAGCGGACGATGAGCATGCAGGCTATCGAAGTCAGGGTTAACGGCGTATTCTTGCGCTGGTACGAAGTATGCTCTCCATGCTCTCAAGTTGCACTGATCACCAAGAGTGTCCACTAATGCTCCAGCCCGTTTATGCTGATTTCTCATTCACTGGAGCTTGATTCTTGCCACTGCTGTTTCCGCCGTACTCGCCCTTCCCCTCTTTTTCACGAGTTCGCAGCACCAAGTCAAAAGCCCACAGAATCATGCAGCAAGCCGCCCTCGCAGCATGATTCAATTGTCAAAGCGCCAGCAAAGTGGGGCCTATTGCGGGAGCTCGCGGGAAGTTCCATACTCTCGAAGTTCCATGTGTTCATGCGCCAGCCATCCAAGAAACCCGAAACGAATCGATCCCGTGCTATAAACGTAGTGGCCGACTTAGCGATCCTGCATAATTGAACCAGAATTGGGATGGTTACTGAAAGGCCATGCATTCTAGCCCAGCTAGCAGCGGCCATTTGATCGCCCATTGCGAATGGCTGGTTGATCCCCAAAGGTGATGAGGTCTCAACAAGAAATGCCGAAACCTTGCCGCTAGCGGCCAAGACGAAGCTGCGGATTTTGAATGCTATTTCGGAGTCCCATATTTAAACTAACAAAGTCACCTAGGTGATATTTGAAAATAGAGCCATTGCCGTTACGGAGAACTAATTTTGGATCACCCAAGCCAAACGGCATAAACCCTTGTTATCAATGACGAGAAATTCCAGCGCCGCGAAAGGAAGACTCTAATAAATGTATACAAATTCGTTGTTCTTTCGGTCCGTCGAATCTGAAAAGGCATTTGCATGACTGCCACTTGTTTGACGGTCCCCATCTGTGCCTTCATCCAGATACCTCTCACTCATGGAATGGTCTTTCATGAACGCCTGCTTTCCCGCTGCCACGCGCGATCGTCGATGCAACTGATTCAGGAAGTTTAAGTGTACTACTTGCACCAGGACCACAACGGCAAGGACGATGAACACGGCTAACACTGCTCGAAGGCCGTTCTTATATTGAGGGCTATCCTTTTGATTGAACAGCAGTGGCCCGATGATGTTACCCGCTGATGAACCGGCGTTGTACAGGGCCATGTTCATGGATCTTTTGGTTGTACCGCCCGTATTCCCGACTATCCAGGCAACAATAAGCGGGTTTCCGCCAAATAAAAATGCGAGGAGATAGTATGCCACCAAGAGAGCCGCCTGTGAACTCGTGCGCTCCAGTTTATACAACATGGCGATTCCAGCGATGACGGGAAGAATCAACGCAACAAGTACGGCAAATTTTAGTCGCGCTTTCTGCGCGGCATACGAAGCCAAAAGAATTATCACCACTTGCACTGCCCCAAAGGGTATATTAAGCAGTGAGGTAACATAATTATCAAACCCAAACCCTTTGAGGATCAGAGGGCCAAAAATGTTTGTTACTGAAGCACCGATGTTGAGAAGCATACTCATGATAACCCAGAGATAGGTTTTTGGCTCCAATAAGGTCTCGAAAACATGACTCCACTTGAACTCGCGTGAGCCGATTCCCGTTTGATTGAGTCGGAGTCTCTCAACTGCCTGTAGGCGTTCATGTTCTGTTAAGAACCGCGCAGACGGAATGTCGTTGTCGAGTTTCCAATAGACGAAGGGCGCGGAAACAATCGTTACCAGACCGACAACCAAAAAGATTCTAAATGCAGTCGATCATTAGTTTGGATGCGCAGATTAGGACTGGTGACTCCTCACATTTGCCATGGCCTTAAGATGGAAGATGGAATATGACCGAGCCCGTACGAAAGCGCAGCTGCAATGATTGTGGCTAACCCGTTCGTCCCATACCAGGCTGCCACGCGAATCGGTTGCTCAGCACGCCGATACCACTGGCTAGTTATGATGCTAAAAAGTGGAAGGCAACCCGCTTCGAAGAGACCCAGGAAGAAACGTGTTGCCAAAAGGCTAGGGTAGCTACGACAGCCTGCCATTGCTGTTTGCGCGATACCCCATCCGAGCACAAGAGATGGCATGAGGACGCGGTGCGGCACCTTTACGATTAGGACCATTGAAACCGGCTGCCATGCTAGCTGTGCGATGGCTGCGATTGACCCTACCAATGAGTACTGGTTTCCTTTGAGCTTGGCGTCTTCTTTCAGGCCAAAAATCGCGCCATAGCCAAGAATCGATTTATCGAGGATCTAAAGGTTGGCTTAATGAGGTTTTCAAAAAAAAAAAAAAAAAGAATTTGATTGTTTCAGTTTTACGTACCTGCAGGAAATACACCCAGACCAAGATAGAAAGAATAGCTTTATCCGTCTTCCTACGAATGCGATTATTCTCATCCCACCCGTCAGCACAGCTGCTCATATGATCGGTCGGATTCGTCGAACTTACATCCTCCTCGGTGACTTCCACCCGCTGATTCCCGGTCAAATAATCAGGCCCAATAGGGCGATTGTGGGCCGTCAAACTTTCCATTTTTATGTCCGACTCCTGTTGCTTTCTCTACTCACAGAAGCACACGGAGGAGACGGTGAACGTATAAATGTGAGGTGTTTATAAACATCTTTCACAGAACCGAACCGGCGGGCCAGATCGGCATTGGATGCATATCCGTCTGACTTTATTGAACAGATAATGTTTCTTTGTGTGTCTCCATATTGGAGTTGCCGTCGATTGTTTCACGCTGCACACCTCGGCTTTTGAAAGACGCAGGTTGACCCATTTGTTTGTAGCACAGAGATCAAGTTATAGCTTGGTCCTGGAATGGTATCTCTGTCATTGAAGATGAAATAATCTGCAATAATTTGCTTTTTTTAACTACGTTGAACAGGAACAGGAGAACAAAGTCCGGATTAAAATTCTGCACGGATGGCCACCAGAGCCCTCACCTACTATTTGCAATGTTTGTTATAAACCTCCCTTCCGAAAACATACCTATTGAGTTTTGCTCAATCTTTAATCTCGTTTCCTAGCATACTTACTCCGTACATTACTCTAGTTCAACCTGCCGCGAGCACACCCAGACTCTCCATGATATTCGGGCGCACCTTTAACCAACACAAGCATTCGCACCGTGTAACCTTAACATCCGCGCAAGCAACCGCTCAGCTTCAACTATAATTTCAACGCCCAGCGCTCGTACGACTACACTTCAAAGATACCCCATCTGGGATTCGCTTTCGTTCGTGTCACTCGAGGGGTTCCGGCTTTATCAATCTGAGCCTGAAGAACTCCAAGCAGGCCCACAAATGACTTCATTTTGGTTCGCAAACGAATAGGGGGTAGCCAGGCGGCAGCGGAAGCGCGGGTTGAAGTTTCTCATCTGCCGGAAGCTGGCCATAAATATGATCCATGGGCCAATTTTTCAGCAAAACATCTCAAATGTCAATGGCCCAACAGGAATTCCACATTCCGACTGTTGGAGTGCCTTGTTTGCAACCTGGCTATTCCCACTGGCAAAGCCTCTGGGAAACTTGTGTTTCCGGATTCGAATGGTCCTTGCCCCAGATACCAGGTGCGTAATTCCCTCCTCTGTGATATGTGTTACCGTTCGAGCCCGGGATGGCAATGCCATTTCCTCTCTGGTTCTGGGCTACTAGCCAAGCCAATCGCAAGCGCAAAAGCGGAAAGGAGAACCTGTGCATCTCCCTGCGCCAAGCTATTTATTTCTCAATGTTGGAAGCATGGTGTATGGTGCAGTACAATGCCAGTGGCTACTGTAGCATGAAGTGGCTGTTGTCGTTGGGCAAGGGAAAGGAGATGCTGAAAGCCCATTAAAGCACTAGGAGTGCGAGACACCTGATATCATTCCAGACAGAAGATTTACTGTACGGAGTATTGCTTCCAGGGTTGGCCGTAATTGGCTGAGTCAAGTCATGCTCTCGCAGCTAGGACGGTTTATCTTTGAGGATCAATGGTTGCGGCATCCCAGTGCTGCTTCACCGGCTTGAGCATCACGCAACTATGCAACACGAGAGCTGGGTTATCGTTGAATGCACTCAGGCATGGTAACCCTCGATTGTGTTGCAGTCTCACCCCGCAAAAGGTTGCAGACTCTGAATGGCATGATTGTAACTTTCAGTAGCCGTGATGTGTAACTAGTTAATAGTTAAATCAATATTAGTGGCGGGTTCAAGGGTAGGTGCATGAAGCTTTTTAGGGTTCTGAAGAACTTGCAAAGGGTGAAGATTGAACACGGCTATTTTTATCTCTTGCGGTTGATAAACACGTTATCATGCCATAATTCCTTCGGGAGCGAGCTTGAAGCCGAAACAAGAGGATCGGCGACAACTCCGTATCGGGGCCTCCACAGGACCACGGCACCCCGCACCCGAGGATATCAGTGGCTTCCCGAGAGCAATCAACCCAGTTCTCGGGGCTTCGCTGTGATGATGCCTGCCTTGGACGACTTGCGTCCTTGCTACTTCGTGCCGTGGTTTTTCCTGAATCCTGGAGCAATTCACCTCGCATCCTCAACGGCTTTTACAAGGGTAACTAGTTGACTAGCTATCTAAATATATCCAAAACCAATCGACCATGCCGCCCCGCGTCCCTCCACCCGGCGTCTGGTGCCCCGCGGTGACCTTTTTCGACCCCAAATCAGATACTCTCGATCTGGCAGCGCAGAAAAAGTACTACGCCTACCTTTCCCGCTCCGGCTTGACTGGCCTGGTCATCCTGGGGACCAATGCGGAAGCCTTCCTTTTGACGCGTGAAGAGCGCGCGCAGCTCATTGGTACCGCGCGCAAAGCCGTGGGCCCAGAGTACCCCATCATGGCCGGTGTTGGCGCCCATTCCACCCGACAGGTGCTCGAGCACATCAACGACGCGGTCGCCGCTGGGGCAAACTACGTGCTTGTCCTGCCGCCAGCGTACTTTGGGAAGGCGACCACCCCGTCGGTGATCAAGTCGTTCTTCGACTATGTTGCGTGCCAATCCCCGCTTCCCGTGGTCATTTATAATTTCCCGGGTGTGTGTAACGGGGTGGATATGGATTCGGATCTGATCACGACCATCGCGAAAAAGAATCCGAACATTGTGGGTGTCAAGCTCACTTGTGCCAGCGTGGGCAAAATCACGCGTCTCGCGGCGACGCTGCTCCCGGAGGACTTTTCAGTTTTTGGCGGACAGTCCGACTTTTTGATTGGGGGTCTTAGCGTGGGCTCAGCGGGATGCATCGCTGCGTTTGCGAATGTGTTTCCAAAGACGATCTCCAAGATATATCAGCTGTACAAATCAGGGAATGTTGACGCGGCGTTGGAATTGCATCGCAAGGCAGCATTGGCGGAGTCGCCGTGTAAATCGGGGATTGCGACCACGAAATATGCGGCTGCGATCTTTTCCGCAAAGGCAGCGGGCATCGAAGGCGCAGAGCTGAAGCTGTTGCCGCGCAGACCATATCAGCCACCGAGCGAGGCAGAGAAGGAGAATGTGAGGAATGTGATGGCTGGAGTTGCAAATATCGAGGCGGAATTATAGCCCTTTGGTTCCGCGCGTGCACGTAAACAGCAGGGAAAGAACTGTATAATCCATTAGCCGCGCTTTACATAATAGATAGTTACACTGATACAGGGCTGTCTGTTATCATCTCGGTGTCTCTATTCCCTTGCGTCAACATCGATTCCGAGCTCACTCGAGAGTCTCGAGTTTTGCCCAAAGCTTCCAGGTCCCAACGGCCGGCTAATTTGGCGAAACATCCGCGCAGCACCAAACCAAAATACCCGCCATTGCCTGGCCTTTTTTATTGTGCATTCCGCAGACTGTAACTCGTTCATCTCCTGGGGCATGGCAGGCTATTCAGGCCAATTGCGAATTGCCCATTACCAACAACAATGCAGGCTCCCCATCACATGGTGAAACGAAAGGCCTTGACAAAGATAGATCTTGCTGTCTCTGTCCCCTGGATGCCGAGTCATCCCCGAGAGAGCGGAATAAACAGCGTCCAATCGTTACGTAATCGGGCAGTCTCACATGCAATGACGTCAGTGCTGTGTTCGGAGATAACTCGGCAAGCGACAATCGTATGACTCGGAACAGGGCCCGCTCACGTGGCGTCTGTGGCTTGGAGCAGTGCCCAGCCTCACCATCCAGGCCTCAAAGATGCGCTTCTTGATACAAACAGCTACTATCACTTGTGTCTTGCTCAACGACACTGTTTGTTTCTGCGTGCGAGCGTGTGCCCTGTGTGTCAATTGAGTCTGATCCTGCAGCCCCCAACCCCATAGATGCCATCCTGCAGCCCAAGAACCGGGAGCCGAGAAAGCATTCCGTGACCTGAGATGTGAGGAAACGAAGCGGCGGACTCCGTGATATCACTCGTGTACTTACCTGCACAATCTACGGATACTGTTGCCATTATCGCATCCGTGGCCGCAAGCCGGTTCCATCCTTGTACCTTGGCTCCATTCTCTGCTCTCTTTCTACGTCCTCTCCGCTTTCTCCCTTCTCAACCACCGGTTCCTGAGCCAATCTCTGATGAAGCCCGTTGACGCCAGGAGCTCGAAATTGACTCAGACTGGGAGGCCACCGCTACCCCAGCAAGAACCCTCCAATTCTTCCCGAAACCTTCCTTTGGCCAAAACCGTTCACATTCCCCCATTCCGAAACCATTGGGAACTCTTTTCTGACAACCACATTACCCTGGCCTGCTGAACTATAACAACATGGCTACTTCTTCTTCTTCCTCCTCCTCCTCCTCCTCCTCGACTTCAGAGGCTGATGCCTTGGACCCGGTACTCTTATGCCCACCTCCAATGACAGAGACAGAGATCCCTATGACGACAAACACCCCTTTGATAGAACCAGGTGCAGATGAGCTAGTCGCCGATTGGACGCAGTGGATGCGCTGGGACGAGCTCGACACTGATCAAATATTTAATCCCGTGGATATTCCCAAGCTCAACAGCATCCAGGGCGAGCATACCATCGCTGCTCAGCCTGTCGCTGCCCCTACGAAACCTGTCTTCACGTTCCAGGGCAGCTTATCACCGCCTCAGGTCCATACAGGCCCGATCAGCCTAGACTCCAAAACCATGGAGCTCCAACCTCCCTTCTCCCCTTCGTTTGCCTTCAATGATCAGAGCATGCCGTCATTCACTCCTCCTCTCTCATTGAACGTGTCTGTTGAGCATAGCCCTCCTTCTCACACCCCTTCCAATTTTCCGCCTACTCCCGTTTCCGCTGGCCCGGGACGGAAAAGAAAATCTTCTGACGGTGATGTTATCCCCGGAACCCTCTCAGGAGCCAGCATGTCACCCCCCGCAGGCAGGTCTTTACCATCCAAAAAGAGATCCCATAACGTCATCGAGAAAAGATATCGTGCCAACCTCAACGACAAAATAGCGGAGCTTCGCGACAGTGTGCCGTGTCTGCGGATTATGTACAAGCAACGGTTTGGCGGCACAGCCAAGGACGAAGAAGAGGAAGAGGAGACGATAGCTTCCACAAACAAGCTAAACAAGGCGTCCATCCTCTCCAAAGCTACAGAATACATAAAGCACCTGGAGATGCGGAATAAACGTTTAGACGAGGAGAATATTGCTTTGAAGAATCGCCTCCGCCAACTGGAGAAATCTCAAGAGCAAGGATTGACAGCCTTTCCACCAATGCCAAATCTCGAATCTTCGCCCGGCGGATGCACAACATCCACAGATTCGGCCACTAGTTCTCCCCCGAGCGTCTTTTCGCAAAACGCTGAATTTTCACCTGAAGGCTCCCCAAACCCTTTATACCCCCCGGAGGGGCTACTAAAAGTCCCTGAATATTTCAAGCGGCTTCGGCCCTCTGGACCTCAACCGCATTACGCTGATTCGTTCATATCTCGTCAGGGCCAGCGCTACCAGCCGGGAACCCCTGATGGCAGCGGAAAACGTGGTGGATTGGCCAACAAGTTCATGCTTGGCACTTTAGCCGGCCTCATGGTTGTTGGAACCTTTGAGAATCAAAAAGAAGAGTCCGCAGATCGCGGGCTTCTCAGTGTTCCGGTCCATCTTGTAGGCCATGGTTTGCGGTTTGCCCGAAATCGTATATACGCGATTACAGCAAACTCCTGGCAAGTCAGAGCCCTAGCCCATTTCGCACTGACGTCTTTTGTGGTCGTTGGCTGTGCATTCCTCGTCTATCTTTATCTGTTTTATTCAAGGCCCAGCCATCCCAAGTCGAAATTGCGGAAGTCCCAATCAACGATTGCCAGTGCCACCGAATTCCGTCGCGATGCATGGCTCACGAGCATCCAAACGGTTGGAGTTCCGCGTCACACATTTTTCCCTGAATGGTTTGCGGTGACGTCTCGTTGTCTCGAGTATTGCTTCCGTTGCCTCCTCGGCTGGAAGTTGTATTCAATGCTCACCGGCATTTCGGAAGACGACGAGAAAGGCCGCGTAAAGGCCTGGGATATTGCCTTGGATGCACAGCTTACTGGTGGTGATGCAGAAGTCAGCAAGAGCCGATTGGTCTTGACCATCTTCGCTGCCGGCACCCTCCCTCGAAGTCTATCTCGAATGATGTTGAAGTCATTGCACTGTCGGATTCTGCTTTGGCGCGTTGGATCCCCTGGCTCCTTTGCATGCAAGGTCTCAGACCATATTGCGGGATTGCTGGCCAACTACCAATGGCAGCTTGCACAAGTGATGCAGAAGATCATCCCAAAGGACCATGAGGATGCGTTACCAAGCCATTTGGCGTATCTACTCGAGTACGACGGCGAGGATGTTTTCACTGATGCCATCGTCCAGAGGGCTTCCAATATGATTTGGAACCGTGCGACGCAGGAAGCAACGGACGGCGAGGACTCGTTGCTAGACGTGGTTGTCGAAGACAGTGCTATTCGTTCGCCCCTCGATGCTGTTGCGGCATGGTGGTCGAGTCGTGCCCTTCAAGAAGCTTTGATCCATTCTTTGGATGTGACTTCCGTGGATTGTGGCCCCAAACGACGAGAAGCTTTCGAACGATATCTGGAAATGGCACTGAAATCCGCACCCCCTACCTCTGCCGCATACACACGAGCGGCTGCCATCAAAGCTTTATTCGTCGACGAAGATAGGGTCGCGAATATCAATTCGGTCTTGGCCGCACTCCCACGGCCAAAGCGAGAGCCGTCTACCAGTGCAACCGTTTTCCTTGATTCGTCTGTTCCTCCATCCGTTCGCGACGAAATATGCATTGTTGTACGCTGTGCCATGATTGCCGCTATCTTGCGGGGTCAAGTCGGGGGTCAGGACGCTACTTCCTCGACGCTTTCCTTGAATAATGCCATTGAACTATTCAACAGGTTACCCATTGATGCCGTCGAACTAACATTCATGGGGTTCGCGGCGCTTTATCATTTACTTCATATCGTTTCGATGGATGAGAGGTTAATACCGTCTTCGTCTCTCACCTCCTCCGTTTGCTCGTCACATTCTGATGGCATCTCTCTTTCCGGGTCGAATACCCAACATTCAGCAGACGGGATTACACTATGTCCACTTCCTGAACTAGGTCGAATTGCGTCTGGGCTTAGATACTGGGTCCAGAACGCCTACAATCCTATCTCCTCGGGTTTCACGGACAGCCTTGTGGAAAAGGTTGTTGAAGGCTGTGCGGATGCGTGTCGGAATGCTGGCTTCGATATTGACGAGCAAAAAACCGATACAAAGCATGAGAGGCGGACTAGTGATGTATCCACTTTGTCCTCGTCTTCGTTCTCGCCGGAAGAAATTGCGAAAGATGCGATTACACCTAACGATGGCGTGGTTCAACCAAGTGAGACCAAAACCCGGAGGGAGAGCATTCGGAGCGATGACACGGGCTATGGGAGCTTGGGTCAAGGAGAAAGTTAAACCGTCCGCAGTATTGCGGTATCCAACGATCGTACCAGCCGGTTCTACGCATAATTTTGATATATTATAACTCTTGAAACAGCCACCACACCCATCCACTACTACTTTCACATCAATCTCCCGTCGACGCCATACTTGGCGAAAAAGAAAAACGTCTCCAAGGAGCAAAAAGCACTTAAAAACATACCCCTCCCCTCCCCACCATTTCTCTCCGCCTTTCCACTCCCAGCAATGTCTTTCTAAAACTGCCCTTTCTTGCATGTGCATAACATGTTGGCTTTATATAAGGCCTCTTATATTCCTCACATTTCTTTTTGCTTGCGTTCAAAGCGCCCCCCAATTCCTAGGAGTACAGCGCCAGTTCTTGGGAAATACGGTTAGATAAATGGACGGAAGCAAAGCCGAAAAAGGCAGGATTTTAATATATTCTTTTCTATAGCTGGTGGACTTTTTGTACAGTACATACAATAAACAGCAATCTGCTAATGAATTGAAAGAGTTCCTCCTTAATTTCAGATTGAAATCTTGATGATTATAATATGTACCTTATTAACTTTGATCAAGTTCTGAGGAACCTTTGGTAAATGCGTACACTTAGGGCTGATTTAGAAAGCAATTTTTATCACAATTGAATCGTTATGAAGAATAATCCAACTAATATAAAGTAAAAGAAACCAAAGAAGGGATAGAGGGAGAGAGCATGAAAAGGGAAAAACAATGTGTGAACACCTCTTCCAGCAAATTGGTCAACCTAAAAGAGAAGACCAGGTAAATCTCAAATTCACTGGACATGTCGAAAACCTCCAACCACTAGTACCATCAAACTTGAAACAGGCGGGACAGAGGACGAAAAGGGGAAGACAATCTAATAGCCGGTGTTGAACCGGTGATTTCGCCCTCATGATATAAAAATGTCCGGGAGGCAAGACTTAGTTGATAAGCCGACTCCATCCTGTGACAACCCAATTCCACGATGGGAGATCACTTCTTCTCCATGGTATCCTCCCTTGACTCCACCGGCGGACCAACCATCGGCGCCAGGCCGACTCTCATCTCTGCATCTTCCGCGGTGAACACTCTGTTCTTCCCGCCCCCAATTCCAAACGCCCGCTTAACGGCTTTCCAGCTCTCAATAAGCATGATATAAACCGCGACGCAGGCTGCAACGACCCCCCATTCCCATGTGATGCCCAAGTGCTTAAACACCAGACGATTCACAGTAGGCAGGTAGACCAAGGGGAAGGCAATAAAAAACCCAGCGCCAACCGCACAGAAGAGGAACCGATTTCTCCAGATAGTAGGGAAAACCGAAAACACGCCCCCCTTGTTGCCGGTCGGGTTCATGTTGAAGAGCGACCGGGTAAAATGCTTCACCTCCCATGCTGTGACTAAAAGAAGGAATGAGAGGGTCGCAAAGGTGGTTGCACGAGCCCGAAACACGATGTCGCAGGTCGGATTCCAATCTTGGTTGCAGCCAGCTCCCAGGTATCCATCACCAGCTCCGTATACGACTGAAACGAATGCTAAGAGACACAAGGAGCCCATAAAAGTGCCGTAAATCATTTTATCCGTTATTAACTCTCGAGTAAACACTCCAACGCGGAGATCGTGTGGCGCGCGGAACATTATATCCGGCTGGGCCTCTTCAAGTCCAAGGCCTAAGGCGAGGAACGACGAAGTAACCAGATTAGCCCAAAGGATCTCAAGTGGAGAGAGTGGAAACACGGAGTTCCCGTCGTGATCCTTGAACGCTAAGGCTATGAGGAGGAGGATGACTTGCGCGATATTGGATATCAACAAGTGCATCAAAAACTAGCATTCAGAGTCAGTTTGCGTGCGGTACGCCAACCAAGTTTGGGGGTTGTTACCTTTTGAATATTGTCGAATAGACGTCGTCCTTCTTCCACAGCTTTAACAACAGATGCGAAATCGTCATCAGTTAAGACCATATCTGCGGCTTCCTTGGCCACATCGCTTCCACTTTTGCCCATGGCGATTCCAACATCTGCACGTTTCAAGGCCGGAGAATCGTTGACGCCATCGCCAGTCATAACGCAGAAGGCACCTCTTCGATGCATTGCTTCTACCATACGAACCTTGGTCGTGGGGCTGCATCGAGCAATAACCAATGGCAATGCTTCAATGGCATCAATCTCTGAGTCTGACAACTTGTCAAAGTCTTCTGCGGCCATGACGACAGTACTCGCCTGAGCCGATGGGATCGTTGTTCCCAATATACCTACTTCGTAAGCGATGGCGGTTGCCGTCCGAATATGATCGCCAGTAAGCATGTGCACAGTGATACCAGCCATATGGCACTTTCTCACGGCGCCAGGGGTTTCCAATCGTGGAGGATCATATAAGCCAACGAGTCCAACAAAATCAAGACCGATCTCTGTATGCGTACGCTCTGAAATCTGAGTAAGGTCTTCTTCCTTGATAACCTTGTGCGCGACGCAAAGGACTCGAAGGCCTTCGCCAGCGAGTCTATCCACCATAGCACGGATTTCTTCCTTCATAGTGTTGTCTACGGACAACAACGGTAATAAAGCTTCGGCAGCACCTTTTGTAAACACGTCAGCATAGCGACAGTCCTTTTTCTGATAGACAACCGTCATTCGTTTGATAGCCGAGTCAAATGGAAATTCTGCAAGCAGCTCCATTTCCTGCTCCTGGAGCAATCTTTGTTTCCCGTGATTGAACCTTAGAGCAAGGACATGAAGTGCAATTTCGGTGGGTTCTCCGACAGCGGTCCAGTCCTTCGAATTTGCAGCGGTTCCCCGGTCAACAGAACCTTTGTCAGAAGGATTGTAGACGGTGGATAGGTTGCAAAGGGAAATGGTGCGCAGAAAGCGATCCAACGAGCTATTGCTATCAAGCGACTCGTGGTTCGAGTTTATATCTAAATTGTCGATGCGAACGAAACCACTCTTTGGGTCGAAAGGACTGGTCGTATCGTGCACCGTCATGACGCCCGTGCCTGGAATCCAAGCCTTCCGAGCAATCATCTTTCCTTGAGTCAGGGTACCTGTTTTGTCGGAGCAAATATTCGTGACTCCTCCCACCGCTTCTAGAGCTTGGAGTTTCCTAACAATAACGTTACCTTTGGCCATCGCTTTAGTACCAACAGCAATCGTAATAGTCAGCACAGCGATGAGTGATTCGGGAATCACGGCAACAGCGACACAGATACCGTAGATTAGTACTTCTCCTTCAACATTCCACTTGTTAGCAGAAAAAACAATAATGGCCAATAGGATGGCCAGTCCAAAGAGCAAGAGTGCGAATTTGCTGAGCTGGGACTTGTAGGGGCGTGCCAACAAGTCCAAGCACAATCAACAAGCTTCTCTTAAATCTCGCCCATGTTCGTACGAGAATATTTGCGCGTTCTTCAGGCCGATGTTCTCGCAGCAGTTGCGCGATCTTGCCAACTTCAGTATTCATACCAGTTGATACGACAACGCCAGTAGCACGACCTCGAGTCATAATGCTACCGGAATATGCCATATTTGTACGATCTCCAACCGCCATATCACGAGTGGAAAACACAGCGTGGGGGTGTTTTGAAACAGGCAGCGACTCTCCAGTGAGGAGAGCTTCATCAGTGGAGGCATTGATGCCGTCAAAAAGCCTTAGATCGGCGGGAACCATGTCTCCAACAGCGAGCTGGACGACATCTCCGACAACAAGCGTTTCTGCCTTTACAGAATCTACCCGTCCGTTACGGATAACTTTACATACAGGCGCCGAGAGGGCTTGGAGGGAGAGGATAGTCTTTTCAGCGCGATAGTCTTGCACAAAGCTATTGGCATTTGGTTAGCAGACGGCTACCAAATTAAGCCATGGGAGAGAAGGCGCCATACCCAACAACAATATTGAGGAGGATTACAGCTGTGATAACTCCTCCTTCAATATAGTCGTTGATTCCAAAAGACAATGCCATTGTGATGACTAAAACCTATTGTTGGGCGGTTAACATGGAAATCGAGTCTGGGGATCGACTGGCTGGGAATGCCGTATGCGGGAAAAATAAGTGTCTCTCGTACTAAAGTCAGACTGTTCGACACCTGCCTTAACAGAATTTTCCACATGGATATCCCCGCTGCACTCTTAACCTTGTTAGGGCCATCTCGCTCAAGGCGAGATGCCGCTTGGGCAGTGCTGAGTCCATCTCTGGAGAAATGGTCAGCGAGACGAACGCGCGTACGGTGAAGGACAAGAGCTCGACCGGCTTACTGTAAGCTAACACCTAGTACATCGGCAATGTGAGAGGGAGCAAAGGTGTGGGCATATTCGTAGTTCTCCTCCCACTGGCCCTCGTCCTGCAAGTAGGTGACGGAGGAATCCCGGCAGGAGATATCCGGAGTTCCTACCTTCTGGTCCCGGTCGTCTAGATAACGAAGGGGAGCAACGGCACAGTCTACGGCTTGTCCAGGTTGAATCGTGGTCCCTTGAGGAAGAGGGTCACAAGGAGGTGGTTCAGTCGATTCCTCGACATCCGGTTGAGCAGTCTCTGTTCCCATTCAATAGGAGGATAGGTTAAGCTCGGAAGCGTCGTGGCTGGCACGAAACCGCTGGGACAGAGGAGGTGGTGTGGTGGTTAGCTGCTTTCACAAAGAAGGGAGAGTGTCTACAGGGATGAAGAGGAGAGATCCTCAGAAAACTGGAATATGGAGGAGAGAGGGAGGAGGGCGGAGGAGGCGAGCGGGATGGGGGAGGAATATATATATGGTCATATCGACGTCGCAAGTTGGTAGACAAGGTTCATGGGAAGCCATCCACTTGTCACCAAGACGTTGACACCCCAGCCAAAAGGTTCTTGGAACTGTTCCTCTTCGCTCTCCACATGGGAGTTTCTCTTGAGTGGTTGCACTGTGGCAAACAACTCTGGGCATCGGACCGCTATCGACCAAAGCAGTATGGTGAACACGAGCAAGCAATCGGATTCGAGGCTGATCTGTATGATGACGGAGTGCCCTGGAAATTGGTTGAGCATGCGACCTCTTCGCCCTCCGGGATCGTTGACTCGCGCACCTCGCAGTCGAGGAGATCCGCTCCATCCCCTGTCCGGCCAGTCCATGCGTGTGCAGCTTCGTCGCGCCTCGTTCCAGCAAGTTCTGGGCCTGCTCATGAGCGGGGTTGGCGTTAAACGATCCCAAGCTTCTTGGCGGGTGGTGAAGCTGGATCGATTCCTCTTCCTCGCCGTCGAGAGGCTGTGTCTGTGTTGAATATCGCCATGGCCAAGGGCTCTTGGCCGCTTGTCGTCTGCTTGAGCATGAGGGATATTGTTACAAGAGTCCGCAGAGCAAGAATCGATGGGCCAACTTTGCCGCTCAACCAAAACATGGGGCCGGTCCCTGTCGACGAGGATCTTTCTCCGAAAGACTCGATTCTACGCAATGATATCCAGAAGACCTGCTGAGACCGCATGGCCCCAAGATCGTCGGCGCAAGACAACTGCATGCAACAGTCCATCGAACCAGGTCGGATTCATGCATGTTGATATTCATTTTCTCGGTGCCAACACCATCCAACACTGCCTTCTGCCTACGTGGATCGGGTTCTCGCAAACCTCTGCTCGAATAGCATCCTCGTTCTCCGTATTTCGAGGCGAGAATGCTGCTCGCGATGTCGCCATTCGCTCTGATCATCCGTTGATCCACGGATCCCGGCCTGTCTGCCGATTATCAGACGAGAACGAAGCTGTGAATTGCACACGTGTGTGTTTTGACAGTGTGCCGCGAGCTCCAATCGCAGTCTTTCAATCACAAAAAAGGTTTCCCATGCCCTGTCCGGACAAAAGCAACGACGGGCGAGTGCAGAAGCAATTTGCGTGCGAGCAGTCCAGCCAGATGCCGGAAGAATAGATTCCCCGTAGACCGTATCAGAAACTGAGGCCAAAATGATAAAAAAGCAAAGCAGAGTGAGCTGTAAACTCCACGGAACGGGCAATTCGACACAAGATCATTTGATATCCATCGCTTCATTCTCGTCACTCGGTCCGGCCCTGAATCTGTAGTTCGCTTCCGTGGCCATGGCGGTCCCAATCGCGTCTCTGACCCCGCTCCGGTTCGCCAACGGTTCCGCTTCATACACTTCGCCAACCGGGGATCAGATCCTCGGCTCTGTCAATGGTCCTGTGGAAGTGACTCGTCGTGACGCCCAGAAGCCAGAAGAAGCGACGCTGGAGATTATCGTGAAGCCGGGAGTCGGCGGAAGCGGCGTCGGCGAGAGGTATGTGGAAGGCATCATCCGGAGCGTCTTGAGCAGGGTGATTTTGATGCGAGACAAAACCCTGGCACGGAGGGCGATTGTGGTCACGCTGGTTGTTGTGAAGAATACGATAGCTGAAGGAAGAGTCGACGAGCGCGGTGGTTCGGTAAGTTCACCTGCATCTGACCTGCTCTTTACGCGTCTTCGTTAACACCTCCCGTGGGCAATAGTATCTTCCAATTCTGCCCTCGCTGTTACATACGGCGCTTCTTTCCCTTTTATCGGCTGCGATTCCCATGTCCATGATCTACACCGCCGTCCTTGTGGCAGTCAACCCTTGCAGCGACTTGATTCCAAACCCTTCGCCTAATGCCGCACGATCCGCCAGTTCCCTCCACGTCCTAGCATTCTCGTCCCAAGGCCATTTGCTTCTTAATGAAAGTCAAGGCGACTTCGACCTGGCCACATGGGAGAAAATACATGATCTGGCAGAAACAGTCTGTCGAGGTGGTACAAAGATGCAGCTTACCACGGGTGGAGATGTTTCCATGGACGATACGGACACACCGCAGAGCCTAGAACAATTCGTCAGAGGCATAGTTGAAGACAAGGCTCGGGAAGAGTTCGCCTGGAAACTGGTTGCGACTTGATCGTACGATACAATCGGCTCTTGTCTTTTTACCTTCCCAAGGAAACAACACTAGCATGCTAGATTTCCCGGTCGTCTACAATGCCGCGGAGATGCTATCGGGTCCGATTGTTGAAAAGCGTGAAATGGTCTCTAACCTGGCGCCAGATGAGATATTTCCCCTTTTGCTTTGCTCTGGGGACAGCAGCGAAAACTTGGTGCAATCACACCAGCAGGAAAGAAGAAGACGGACGAAACCGAGGTTCTGGGATTAGTGACGAGTTTATTAGCAAGGTCTTACTTGATCAATGCTGCTCGCGAGACGCTGTTCAATGCATTGATGTCCTCTCATCTATTTCTTATATGAAGATATCAGTAACGGAGGGAGGCTTTGCAGTGTCTGCTAATTGGACGCATAACGAGCGCATCCGGGCATTTTATTTAACCCCAAATCACGATAGGCCAGTGAGTTGGGCCATTCCTCAATATCAGGCCGTATGTTTTCATAGAGTGACAGAAATGAATCCATCAGGCATTCCAGCCTGTGTCATCTGGTCGTAAGGGTCCGAACCGCAGCTTTGGGTATTTGGTAGTTAGTCGTGTTAAACGCGTCGAAGCATCATGGAAGCCATTTGGTTTTCAATAAAAACTGCCACCCTGAAAGACAGCACCAGTGACTCTGAGATGCAGTCCTGCCTTGAACAGTTCATTGTTGTCTACCATCGCGAGCTGCAGTTTCAATTCCCCTGGAATGCTGACTAAGCAACCTTCATCTCGATGATCGCCATCACCACATATTCTGGATCGCTTCCTGCATCCGAGATGCTAATTCCAAGCCATGATTCCTTTTGTTTGCAACTTGTGGTGAGCTGCACATCTGCAGCTGCCTTGCCAAGTGGTTACACTTGGTATAGTTTGCATACAACAGACAGCTCGTTGAGCCGTTAAACAAAGCGCCTCAGGGTCCATTTTTGGGAGGGGCCTGAGCGCCTATGTTGATATTGCAGTTCTTTTGTCCTAAAGATCCTTCCCATGGGTATCTCTCAAGTCAATTCTCGCACCCTGCTTAATGTGAAGCAGTTGGCCCAGTGCGTCCTGACCTAAGAATAGCCATGATCTTCCTCTGGTTGGAGTGCACTTTTAGTAAAGTCCAGTTGTGCAACATGACAAACTACTGGTGCATGCTGTGTTTGGCTTCGATCTGTTTATGGGGGCCTGTTCGTCCGTTCAATCGTTCATATAAGTAGCCCGAAATCTTTTTCTTTTTATCATGCTTCATATTTCGGGCACTCTATCCCTTTTCCCAGACCTCCCCCTCCGACATCGCGGCAGTCCCTTTGGCTTTACTCCAAAGGGACGTGTTAAGACCATTCTTTCAAAATGGTTGTGCTTTTCCGATTCTTCTCTCTCTTTTCCGTTGTTGCGGCTGCAGCCCAACATGTATCGCCGAATGGCGACTGGGCGCTTGTTGAGCGAGTCGGTGTCCCTGCTGGCTGGCTTCGAGGCCCGATGGCTGACCCGAAAACGATGTTCGACATGAAAATTAATTTGCGCGATGCGTCTAAAGTTGAACATTTACATCAAAAGGTGATGGAACTCAGTACTCCCGGCCATGCTTCATACGGACAGCATCTAAAGCGCGAAGCAATCGACACCTTGATGAAGCCTAATGTGACAGTGACAGAGAGCATTCTTCAGTGGCTGAAGGACGGAGGCGTACAACTAGAAAATGTCAAATCTCGTGCAGACTGGATTCGCGTATCCTTGCCGGTTGGAGTAGCGTCCAAACTCCTAAACGCCCGTTTCTACGAGTTCACGGACAGATACACCAAAGTCAAAAAGATCAGAACCACAGAATATTGGGTTCCAAAGTCGGTTGCGCAACATGTTTATTACATCTATCCCCTCGTTTTATTCACCAGTACGGCTCCTCAGATTAGTCATGTTATGGGGATTTTATACACAGGACCCCATCGGTAACATTTCGGCGGCTTGCCCAGAGGGCAATACCCCCCAATTGTCTTCGGGAGCTTTATGGCCTTGGAAATGTTACTGCAAAACCCGGAAGTCGCAATAAGATCACCGTCTCGGGATACCTCGATCAATACGCTCAGTACAGAGATCTCTCACTGTTCCTGAGAAAATATGCCCCCCAGGCTGCGGGGGCCAATTTTTCAGTCAGTCTTGTTAACGGTGGCCAAAATACACAAAACTCCACCCATGATTCTAGGGAAGCAAATCTCGATATCCAATACGTTATCGCGCTGTCCTACAACATGAAGGTTGAATACCTTTCCGTCAAGGGTCGTGGGCCCCTAAAGGAAGACCTTGATCAGCCTAATCAGGCTTCGAATCAGAACGAGCCTTACATGAACCAACTAGAATACCTTCATAGCTTACCAGATGAGGACCTCCCCACTGTACTTACTACATCCTACGGGGAATCAGAACAAAGTGTACCGGAACCTTATGCCCGCGCAACATGCAACGAATTTGCAAAGTTGGCTGCAAGAGGGGTATCGATCATTTTCAGCAGTGGAGATTCAGGAGTGGGCAGCTCTTGTATGACCAATGACGGACAGAATAGGACTACTTTCAACCCCATTTTCCCGGCTACATGTCCCTGGGTCACCTCCATTGGAAGTACGCACTCTCGTAACCCTGAGGCCGCCATAGGATTCTCATCAGGCGGGTTTTCGAACTACTTTGCCCGCCCGGAATGGCAGCAGAGTGCTGTTACGGAATATCTGCGCATTTTAGATACCAGGTGGCAGGGCTATTATAACCCACATGGTCGCGGATTTCCAGACATCGCGGCACAAGGAATCAGGTATCCAATCTACGATAAGGGTGTTGTGAAAATGGCTGCCGGAACAAGGTTCGTTTATCCAGGTATATTGCCATGATCAAGCTGCTAACCCACGACGTAGCGCCTCCGCACCAACCATTGCTGCCATCATTGCTCATCTGAATGAAATCCGCCTTTCCCAAGGAAAGCCTGTGCTTGGCTTCCTCAATCCTTGGCTTTACAGCAAGGGCTTTCGAGGATTTACCGACATCACGAATGGGGGATCGATTGGGTGCACGGGTACCGCGCTATACAGCGGGCTGCCGGCGAGATATGTCCCTTATGCGAGCTGGAATGCCACCAAAGGGTGGGATCCGGTGACCGGTTTCGGGACGCCTAATTTCGAAAAGTTGGTCAAGTTGATGCCATGACAAGGCAAAGGAAGACAATGGACAACAACAGAGTGACTAGGGGAATAAGTTCTATTGTAGTGGTTTTCGTGCTCTTAGGTACTCGAAAACCGCCTGAGCCGTATTAACTTGTCGAAACCAACATTTCCTGATGATATCCCCACAACTGAGATGACTTGTATCTGGGAACTTCTGTGTTTCATAGTGTTTGATAACTTCGTCACTGGGGGCCTCCTCATAAGGATAATGCCCAGTCATGATGAAGTAAATCAATGACCCAAGGCTGAATAGATCATCTCTAAACACTGGTAGGATATTATAGTCATAAAAGGGGTGTAAGAATCTTGTTGCTGGGGTGGCTGATGGTTCTGAACCAGAAAGGGATGCACCGCCAAAATCACAGATCTTCAGACTAAGGTCCGAGTCCAGTAGACAGTTTCTGGGACACAGATCACAGTGAATGACTTTAGCAGCATGAAGGACCATCAGACCCTCAGCGGCTTGTTGGGCCCATCGGAGACACAGGTCTGGTGGTATAGTACTGTGTTTGTTACGTCTTATGTATTCCTTGAGATTCCCATTCTGTAGGTACTCCATGGTTAGACAGCAATTATCTGGATCCCAGTGGGGGAGCTTTGGTATGCGTGCATGTTCACCAATCCTGCGATAAACTTGTGCCTCAACACGCATATTCCGCAGGCAGTCCTCCGCCAGGGGTGGACAGAGTGGATTTGGGATTGGGGTTTTGATGACTGCACCAGAGGGCAGCTGCTCAAGAATTGCCGTTCCTCCCCATGCCAAACGGCGTCCCTTTGTAACGTATACTATGTCTTCTTCGTTCAGTTCTGGCACTTTGAAATTAGCGTTATCCGTGTCCCATGGACCTGGAACCCGAATGTAGTTGAAAACCGTCGGATATGGCTTAGAAGGGTCGTTGGGCGGCGCTGAAGAGCCGGATGATATGCTAGTGACCTACAGGCATCAGATGGTGAGCTGAGGTCAAGTAAGTGATGGGAGGGCCCAAACCGACGTTCTCTGGCCCACGCACCGGAGCATTCGGATTGCTCTTATCCATGCTCTTATGCGAAAGTTGACAAGAGCAATAAGAAGATCAACAGGCTTGTAATGTGGATCAGAAAGCTCTCCACCATCAAAACGCAAGTTCATTTTCAAAGCTCACCAGCCCAATTGGACTTGGTGAAATACTACAGAGTACTCCGTACACAACTCGCCAAACGGCTTCGAGATAGGTTGCAGAGGAAAGTCGAAGCTGATGCAGTGCCCGACAGTAGTGTGGAGGCTAGCTAGCCATCGACAAAGCCTTCGGTCTTTTCGTTACTGAGGTTTGGTCGAGAACGATCATAGTGCGAGATTGTAACCGACCTGCCCCATTGAGGCCGCGGGCATTGTGAAAATGTGACAGCACACCCAACGCTGCATGAACGAGAAGCTGCCAAGCTGTCGGCCAGCACGGCGGTGTCTTCGTCCCGAGCAGCGTTGGTTGACTGCTTCTAGAGGCTAGAGGTGGGAAGACAAGCAAGTGTTTGTGCTTCTGATACGCGGGAACAGCCATAGACCAATATCCACACGGACCGAGAGCACATGTGCTGCTGAAACGGGGGTTGAAGATGAGAGGGAGGGCGATGGATCTCGACTGGAGGTTGTATCACCAGCGAGAGTAACTATTTCCGTCTCAGATGCCGGCAGGGTTCAAGTATAACTAGCTCGGGTTGTCGCAGGTTTGGGAGGCATCCCGGGGCGCGTTTGAAGGATGGAAGCATCTGCCACGCCCGGCGCCACAGGCCATGGCAGCAAACTATTTCGCTGGGATAGTTATAGAATAGATGGTAGTTATATCGCATCGCTGAAGCACATCGCGTTCCACGGCTGTTTACCAGCCAACCACCGCCAGCGATCGCGGTCCGTCAAACAAAACCAAGTAGAATTCGAGCGCAATCAAGGGGATTCCCGTTGGGTAACCGGTGGCTAAGCGGGAGAGTACCTCTTGTCGGGCGCTGTCTCGAGCTGCTACTGCAAGTATCCCAAACTTCGGCCGTTCCATTCAGTTCGTATCTGTGGCTGCTGCCCGGACGAGCTCGGCGGTTTGGATGCGGTCTGTCATCTGATAAAGAGTGTCTGTATCTCCAAGAGCTCAAGAGTCACGGCAACCCGTTCAACTAGTGATATATACAAGTCGATTGAGTTCTCGCTAACCGACAGCTCGTGGATTCTATCCGTGGAACCTCGTCTGGGGGACGCCGAACTCGCATGCATAATAAATGACGCCTTTTCTCCCTTCTCCGCTGGCGATCTCGCACGCCCACGCCCATCCTCCCTCGCGATCGCCAGCATCCGCCGCTCTCACGTCCTCCGACGATTCTGGTTGCGGGAATCCCTCTCGCGCTGTGCCACCGCCGCTGGACGTTGGCAGCCGGGTGATCCGCCGAGACTCAGCGCTGCACCTCGCCCCCATTCTCTCCATGTCCAAACCCCCGAGCCCGTCTGTCGATGAGCAGTCCGCAGACACCGTCGCTCCTCTAAAACCCGCCGACTCACCGGCATCTCGCACCATCGCGTCTCTCCCGTCCTCGCCCTTCCAGCACATTACTCCGCGCCCGCCCTCCGCGCCCTCCCGTCACCGCCAGAGCGCCAAATCCATCGATGGCGTTCCTCGGCAGACCCTCATGAAAGCCCTCGCGTCACAAGCTTCCTATTCCATCGACCAACCGGCTCTGCCTCTTGCGACTTCATTAGCCGGGATGCTCAGCCCGACGAGCAACTGCGGCTCCGACCAGCAGGCCGGTGACACAAGGTTACACCGGAAGCTGTCGGCCGCCCTGACGACACGGCCGCCCGTGCTCTCTGATGGAGGAACCCCGTCAACCGCCCGGTTCCCGTTGAAGTCCCCCTGCTACTACCACCAGCGGTTCGACGGCGCGGTTAATATACAGCGAGTGCTGGAAGAGATTGCCGAGGATGAATGGATGTCGCACTCGAGGCTGATGCAAACGGCAACCGGCGTGCGCGAAGTGTCGAAACAGCTGCAACGCCGACCCATCAAGGTTGCCGTGAAGAATGTGATGATTGTAACAAAGGCTCGGGATAACGGATTGGTCTACTTGACACGAGAGCTCACGGAATGGCTGTTGAGTACCCCAAGGTACGGCAGCGACCTGGGCGTCAATGTCTATGTCGACTCGAAGCTGCGCAGATCCAAGCGGTTTGACGCCGCAGGCATTCTTGCACAAGAGCCTCGATACGAGTCGATGTTGAAGTATTGGACGCCGGACCTCTGCTGGACGTCGCCAGAAACCTTTGACTTGGTGATCACTTTGGGCGGGGATGGGACCGTTCTGTTTACCTCATGGCTCTTCCAGCGCATTGTGCCCCCCATCCTGGCATTCTCCCTCGGCAGCCTCGGTTTCTTGACCAATTTCGAGTTCTCCAAGTACAAGGAACACCTCAACCATATCATGGGCGATGTGGGCATGCGGGTAAACCTTCGCATGAGATTCACCTGCACTGTTTATCGCGCGGATAGGAGCAACAAACATAGACCTGGCCATGTCGAGGAGGGAGAACAGTTCGAAGTCGTGAATGAGCTTGTGATTGACCGTGGACCGTCCCCTTATGTCTCCAATCTGGAAGTATACGGGGATGACGAGCTCTTGACCGTTGTCCAGGCTGATGGATGTATTCTATCGACGCCGACAGGTATGGATTCGCAGCTTCTAGCCGCTTACCGAACGTCTGCTAACAGTTGATTGTAGGGTCAACCGCTTACTCGCTCTCTGCCGGCGGATCCCTCATCCACCCTTCCATCCCTGCCATCCTCCTCACACCCATCTGCCCGCACACGCTTTCCTTCCGCCCCATGGTCCTCTCCGACGCCCTCCTCCTCCGGGTTGCCATTCCCTCAAGCTCCCGCTCCAGTGCATACTGCTCCTTTGACGGCAAAGGGCGCATTGAACTCTGCCCTGGTGACTATGTCACCGTCGAAGCGAGTCAATACCCCTTCCCCACTGTTGTCTCCGGAGGAGGCGAGTGGTTTGAAAGCGTCCGGCGCACACTCTGCTGGAATGTCAGAGGCGCCGTGCAAAAGGGATGGAATGGCAAATCCCACCGGCCCAAGGGTGGACAGGTGGGTCTTGAACCCGTTGATGCGCCGCGAGATGGTGTTCCAGAGCCAGAAGGCGACGAAGGAGACGCTGACGAAGAGGAGGAACAATGGGATATCGATACCGATAGCTACACGGACTTTGGGCAAGGGACTGATAGCGGAATGGGACCTAGCGAGTGTGGGGATAGCCCTGGCACGGGAACGACGAGCCCTCTGAAGAGGGTAATGAGCCTGTTGAATATGTGATACGGCCTGCATTCATCTTTGTATTCTTTCTAGCGTTAACTATTCATCCTGTGTGGTTTGCTCTGCTTTTCGGTTTTTTAGAGAGTTGCTGTTACGCTTCGTACATACACCAGCCCCCAGGTACATATTCTTACAAGGGCATGATAGAAATGCATTTTGTTGCTGTCATTTGTTCTTTTTCTTCTCAACAGGACACTTCAAACGAATCTTCTTGATGGATCTTGCCATCGGGCATCGGCCATGGTCTCCCCGACATTCCGGTCATGACAATGTTCCAGGCCCTCGCAGCACAACAGGGATGGGTTGCTGCCTGAGCGGCTGAAAAGGATGAAAATCAATTCATCCAATCTCAGGGAAGAACTGGAGCCAAGGAGATTGATGATGGCGGATGTTGACTGAGCAACGTCGCATGAACACGCGTAGAAAATTAGCTTGACGCGATGAAGCAAAGGGATATAAAGGAACGCGTGAGACAGCTGCAGGAACTCGACGGATTGTTCAAACCCCATTGCCTCATACTGGACTTTGACCGAAATTCCGCTTGAGGGCTTCTATCATAATCTACCAAGAAACATAATGTAAGGACCGTGATCTGGCGCTGGTTAATCGAAGCTGACAAGACACCACGGCAAGCATGGCAACCTCTAGACTATCCCAATCCCCCTCCCTCCGCATCGCCGCCAGCATCACCGCCGCCATCTTCGTCGGCTTCGGCGTCAACGCCATCCTCCGCCCCGACCACGCCCTGACATTCTTCGAGTTCGCACCGCCCGCCGCCCCCGCCGACAGAAAAGTGGTCGATGGGCTCATGGCCGTCTACGGCGCGCGGGATATCTTCATGGGCCTGGCGATGTATTCCGCGCTGTGGTTTGGCACCACCAAGTCGCTTGGCTGGACGGTGCTTGGTGCGGGTGCGGTCGCGTTTGCGGACGGTGCGGTGTGTTGGAGCCAGGGGGGCGGGCAGTGGAATCATTGGGGGTACACGCCGCTTGTGATGGCGATTGGGAGCGTGTTGCTGGGTGTTTTGGACTGAGGGCGTGCCATGATGTTGGGAATAATGGCTGGCTGATGTGCTATGCTGCCAGCCTACCTTTTTGTAAGCAGGTTAATCAACGGCCTGCGGCCTGTCTGACCGTCATTGATATCTGATCTTCAAGTTACGGGTTGATTCATGTTGATCTTCAACAAGACCTGACGATCCTTTCCATCCAGCTACACTCGGCCCGTCCAATGGATATCAGATCATCCGCCGGATGCATATGCGTGGCGGCCCTGGGATCTGTGCTGTCAAGACAACGTGCCAGTCGTTTGCCTGGAGATCCCTTCACCAGACCGTTTTCAGAAGGATGGCTTGATTATCGTTAACTTGTTAAGCGAAGGCTTTGGGTACTTCCTCTCTCTTCAGGCCGCCACCTGGGTGATGGACGGGGTCCCCTTCGCACCTATATTGGTTCATCTTGGAATGGATATCCCGCAGGCTGAGCTCCTCGTTGTTCGATTTGTTGAGCTTCAGTTTGATTTTGCAGATCGACGAGAAGGCCGGCTCTCTGTCTCTCTTCCACGCAGCCATAACCCGTGATGTGTGCGTTCACAATTGCCCTGCTTCTGGAGAGAGCTTACGTGGTGATGGAGGAAGGGAGTGGCTTCAGCTGTCCGCTCCGTGGAATGCATTGAGTTTCTAGAAGAGCTCTGGTCAGATTTTGATATCTATATAATGGGCAGCTCTTCCCCCTTGCATTCTCTCCCTCAAAAGATCCAAATCATCTCTCCAAGCCGAAGCAGATTTACGGGTTGCCATCGAAATCAAGCATAATGCAATTCTTTAGCATCTTAGCGACTGCAGCACTGGCACTCTTGCCATCCCTGACGGCTGCGCAGGAAGATAACCAGGCAATGGTATGTCCTCCTTCCTATGCATGACCCCAACGGAATTATATATGCTCGCCATGTACGCGTGCTACTTGCCTTGACCTGCCGCGAGACCACTACCTTTGACACCCTTCTAATTCAAGCATATACGATGAAGGTTGAAATCTACTCGAAAGACGGTGAAAATTTCCAGTACCCGGTGGATTTCAACTCCTGCACTCCTGTGATTAGGACGTAAGTGCCTAGTTTGCGAATCGCTCGATAACCAAAGCTAATGATGCACCAGCGATGCCCAGACAGTTACACTCAGCGACCCGTGTACTCTATACAGGTAGGCCACCTTGGACGAGTCGATTTCTTCACCCGTTTGAGCTACTTGCTTACCAGTCGAACTAGTGAACCGGAGTGTACTGGCGATAAGATGAAGTTTGGCGCTGGGTTCCATGAATTTCAACGGGAATTCATCGTGGAGAGTGTGAATTGCGAGCGGCAACAGTGAATGGAAAATGAATATTTGGGCGGTGAAATGACGGTTGAACTTGAGTAGCTCGACTATGTAATGCGAAGTTCCTTGGGGAGATATTGGGTCTTGTTCCCGATGGGATTCCCTCTCGTATAGTTATATAACTATATCATGGTATCAAGTTGCCTGTTGATAGACAAAGTGAGCACAACTCATCCAGCGACGATGAACTTGTTAACAACTATCTGTCGTGACACAATCTCTCCCTTGTCTTTTCTTCTTCCAGGCTCCCACCCCGATCTCTCGTATCCAGTGCTGTTGCTGTTGCTGCCTAGAGTGACTGCACAGGCCTCCTATTGAAAGACAACCATCTCAATCCCATCATAAAACAATCTATAATCAATCTCTATTATTTTATCATCTATCTATCAAACCTACAGTCAATTACAATTCACTCGATTCAGATTAGGATATTTTAGTCACTATCTGAATCTCAGTCGGTGTTAATAAATTGCTATATAGTTTGGCGTTTCTATAACTACCAGCCATCGGAGACTATATCTGACGGCGACTATTCACTCTCATGAGTTATCAACCACAGCACTAGTATGGCGTCTCTTGCCGCCGAAATTGAAGACCTGCGGCGCCAGCTCGAAGAGGCGACGCGAGGCCAGGAGCAAGAGAAACGACGAGCTGATGAAGCGACACAGCGAGCCGAGCAGCTCGCGGCGGATCAGTCGCCAACGACGCTGTTGGTTTACCTTCAATATGTCAAGGAAAAGCTCTTGTCTACCTTCTCAATCGAACCTGACCCTACTAAAACGGCCTCGGGATCGGTTACAGATGTTCGAGCGAAATACTATCCACTACGACTCCGTCCATGGGCGGATTTTAACCAAATCCACGATCGCACTTTCAACCAGTTGACTCTGGCGTTTTCCGACGCTCATCTTTTCCCCTCCAAAACAGATGTACAGGGGGTTGAGCGAGACCTGTCTCCAACAACGAGAAAGGACGAACAAGATATTCGACCATTTGTTCGAAGTGCTATAGAGAAACCTGCTCAGCGTCTAGTTCAGGCATATCTCAAACAGGTCAAAGATACCCGGACGGCCGACTTCTTCTTCCAGAATAACGCTTACAGCCTTTCCAACAAGGATATCACGGACACCGCCGATGCCTACGGAGACGAGGCTCCTCCTAGCAAGAGGAGATCGCCGGAACGGACGGTTAAAGGAGTCCCGGATCGCTGGGGAATCCGTGTACGCCCGAGTGGGGATCATGTCACGATCTTTGTGGGTGAATATAAAGCCGCCCATAAGATGCGCCATGGCACTTTCAAACGTGTGTTCTCCTCTGCAAAGGAGGATCTGTTCTTGGACACGCTAAAGCGACTCTCCCTTCCATTTGTTGATACAGCCAAGGAGCAGGCTGTAGTGGCCCAGGTGCTATGCCAAACATTCCACTACATGATTACTACCGGCCTTAAATACGGGTATCTTACGTCTGGAGAGGGCCTTGTGTTTCTGATGCTTGATGAAAACGACCCGCAAACACTATATTACCACCTAAACTCAGTGCCTGATTGCGATCATCAGGCCGATGACTTCGATATAATATATAGCCCAGCCTCGCAGCTGTCAACCTTTGTGTTGTTGTCACTTGAGTCAGAACAGCAAACTGCCCAATGGATACAGATGGCTCAGTCCAAACTCTACCAGTGGCCGCTTTTACCTGGTCCACCGCGCCTGGAGATTCCATGCCGCAATGCTGATTTCGAAAAATTAGACACTAGCAGCAGTGATGAAGGACGCAAAGATACAGACGGTGATTACCGACCTCGACCGCCGCCTCGTAAGCAGCAATCTTCTTCCAAAAGTACAGAAAATATCGAAACGAAGAGGCGTCAGTCCTCAAGGACGCAGCAAAGAACCCAACGCCCTACCCTCCCATATTGCACACAAGCCTGTCTCCTTGGGCTTTCGCAGGGGCACTCCCTAGATCAGTCCTGTCCCAATACTGCTATCCACCAACGAGGGGCGTCTTCTCTTAATCATCTTATTTCAAAAGAAAAGCTCTGCACCCTTGTCAGAGACCAGCTTGCGCGCAATCTTGATGAAAACTGTGAATGCCTTGATCAAAAGGGGCTGTTTGGTGCAGTCGGTGTGCTATTAAAGATCACTCTGACTGGCTATGGCTATACCTTTGTTGCCAAAGGGGTTCAGGCTGTGGATGAACCATTGCTTTCCAACGAAGCTTGCGTCTACACCCATTTGGCCAAGTTTCAAGGAATAACAATACCTGTGCACCTTGGTAATATCAAGCTTGTGCACACATATCCTCTTGTTAGCTGTGCAACTGTTACATCTATGATGCTGATGTCATGGGCTGGTAATGATCTACACGCCAAAGACTATGGGCCTAATGTGAATATTGAAGCTCAGACGCAGCGATCAATGCAGGAGTTGTTTGACGCAGGCCTTAGACACTATGATGTGCGGGATGCCAATTTGATTTGGAATCAGGAGCGACAACGGGTAATGGTGATTGATTTTGATCAGTCTTCCATTCAGTCTCCACCTTCCCGGCGGAAGAGGGCACGTAAACATGGATCTAGCCCTGAACTAACGGTGAAACGGACAAGAGTGGACAAGGAGAACTTGGATGCTAGCAATATTGTAAGCCGTGAGCCCTCCATAACTTAGAATTGGTGATGAGGGTTGGAAAAAGGCACTAACTAATCAAAAATAGCCTGAGTAGAAATCCCTCTCTCTGCCTCGAGAATGGACTAAGTAAAACAGCTACATTCTTATATTCCAAGGACGCTACCCATTGCCCCTTTCTTTACAATTCAGCTTCCTGCGGCTGGAAGGGCATGGTTGCAGCGTTGATACTGGATTATCTACGGGACACGGGGATGCCCAATAGACTTATTATTCTGCAGACCTTACTGCGGCCGGATAGAATTTCAATATCATTAGCAAAAACGGTTCCCTTTATCAGAACATGGCATAAATAACCAGGTATCACAGGGACCTTATAACTAGTCGCCAGAGTCTGAATTGTTGTTTTCACTTCGACCTTCAACCAGAGGAGCTGAGTCCAATTCTACCAGTCCACATTCCTTGTGGTTGGGGTTGATACGTTTAATCCATCCAGGAGTTGTTGCTAAAAGAAGAGAGCGCGCATAGGAGCAATTAAATGCTAAGTTGCAGGATGGCGCGAATCTGTTCCCTACCTGAAGATGTTTTATAGAACTGTATACTTATATAACGGTCCACTATGCTTGAGGACAAGGCACACCTGTCGGAATCTACTGGCCGATGCTCAGGCGGGCAATAAATTTATGCAATATGATTCACTGCACCAGTCCATTGGCAAACAAACAACACAAGTTGCGTGGAATTTCATCAATGATATAAACACAAAAGATACATCAACTATCATTAATGTCCGAAAACAACATGTCTGCCAGTAGACTTTGTTAACCAATGTCCCCAGTGTACCCTGCCGTCCTTGAAAAATATGCGAACAGTACAAGAAACCATTCTGCAATGCCCAGGAAACATCACCTGGGGTAGCCTTGTCCTGTTTGGATTCTCCCACTAAGGAGCGAACGGTCTCCGTTTAGTGGAGTAATGATTGTGTCTGAGTATAGTTGAATACTATAGAACGATTCAACTTTGGTCCACTTTCAAAAGTGCTGTGCAGTGGCATAAGTGATACTGGTTGTCCCAATTAATCGACCATCTGAACGGGCTTCAAACTTCAAAACACCATCTTTGGCTCCAAAAATAACTCGGACCGTGTATTTCAAAGAATACGCCAATTCGCCTCCAATCGTTTTTTTGGGAAACGAGTCTAGGTTGACAGACGTAAAGTCAACCTCGATTTTGCCAACCCGCCGAACACCTGGAATAGTTAGAGTATGCAACGATATCCCGGGGGGGTATAGAAGTAGTGTGGATGGGCAACATACCTACATTAAACCTTCGCTTTGGGGCAACCGACAGATCGGATGAGTATAGGTCAAGTTCGGTTCGCAAGTTTTCTCCCTGGTAGTGGGTTCGGAGGATGTTCACTTCGTAGTGATAATCCTCAGCGTATTTTTCCCCCTTGAACACAGCGTTAGATGGGTAGATCATTAAAGAGGTTCTGAGCCCATATGACACTGTAGCTACCTTTGCAATCATCCATTTCATCATCCCACTCGCCAACTTCAGCCCACTCCACGGGTCGATGAATGACTCGGGCTCCTTATGTTCATTCGCCCTGAACGGCACCGCCCAGCTGTATCCGTAGTGCCGCCGGCATCTTTTAGTTATTGACCGAAGGCCCTCAAGGCCGCGCAGAGCTGCTCCCCGGACAATAGCGGTTTGTCTAATCAATATTAACTATAATTTGACTATTGAGTTCGTGATTCGGTCTCAACTTACGGTCTGTCGGGCACCGTGACGAGAATATTGCCATCAGACCCGAACGACTTTTGAAAAGCCCGGCGGAGATATTCTGAGTCTCCAAAGCCGCCAACTAATATAATTTTCTAAGAACTAGTTAGCTTTGACCTTAGGAACACGCCCTTTACAACACTCATACATTGATTGTGTTTTTCCCCGTCTCTGCATTGGCATCCTTGATTTGCTGTCGTACAAGCTCTAATATCTGATCAACGACAGGATCGAAGACGGCGCGGAGATCGCCACTATTCCGAGACACTCAGCTTCAAATTGTTCAGAAGCACCAGCTCAATCATACACTCACTCATTAATCATCACTAGACACTCTTCGTCATCATAATGCGCCGGGTTAGTCTCAATAACCTCCATCCGAAGAGGAAGTTCATGGGTCGTTCCGTCCGTATCATTCCCAAAATCTAGCTTGATTATTTCAAACTTATTCATGAACTCGCTACCAGGGCCCTTTTTCTTGGGAGGGAGATTATCGAAGCATTCTCCAAACCGATTCGACATGAGGTTGTAAAAGTTACGGTCTACCGCTGTGGAGCCGCATTTTCCACCTAGACATAGCGAATAAGTGGTACCATGGCATACACGACATGGAGAGACTTACCGATTCCAGTGCATAGCTCCTCGAAAACCAAAGTGGGCTGCACTTCGTTGATTAAATAAGTCGTGATATCCTTCGATCATGCTATTAGCACTATTTTAACAACTGTGGTGGTGAACTTACCACCGTGCCTCCGCCGCAATCGCAGACGAGAACGCCATCCCCAGGCTAACGGGTTATCTAAGTCAGCAAACACTCGTGAGTCCCGGATAGAACCAGCGCATACCTTTACGGAAGCTCCAAGCCCATCAACCGTGGTCTTCTTCAGAGCTGCAACGGCCGCAGCTTCGGGCTCAGCAATCATGAAGATTGCATCTCCAAGCCGAGTGCCAAAGCCCGCGCGTCTCGCTGCTGTGCTTGTGGCGGCTTTTGCTTTATCTGACCAAATCGCTGGAACTGTAAACCAAAATTCAAGCGGTGTGATGGCCAAGGTTTGAGCTGATATTTGCTTTTCGATGATTTTAAGGATATGACTGTAAACCTCAGACAAAAAGTCCGATGCAACATCAACTGCCGATTTGTCACCGGGCAGTTTCAAGAGACCCAGTTCGGAGGCCTTCTCCAAGGCGTGATCGTCGTATTTTGTGAGTGGTGTATCTTCATCTAGTAGCAATTTTGTCCACGAGTATGCGGTTAGTCCTGGCTGGATCTCGAACCCCCATTTGACCTTTCCAATTGACCGGTTGTCAAACGGATAGGCAATCCGCGAGGGAGTTTTTCCGATGGTGTCGCTGATTTTGTTCGGTCCTGGCCATTTGTCGATGATGACTATATCTTTGAAGTCACTGCTTTTTGTGCTAACATAACTTACTCCTTCCCAGTATATTAGACTCTCCATCCAGAACTTTCAGGTCCGTGGGAGCTCACCAGTGAAGGTTGTGCCATAGTCCACGCCAACAATGATTTTGTGTGTTGAATTGAGCGATAGGGAGCCGAACAGGTTGTTTATCCCTGCTGATGACATGTTTTGATCATTCACTGTGCTGGAGGGTTTGTGTTTCCAAGTCAATGATAATAGTAGCCCTGAGTCAAGGGAAGAAGGCTGTTTTTAAGTTGTCTCCGGATCTTACGCGCCGACTGCGCTCGGATACGGAGTATTTCTTGCAGGAAAACGGGGGCTCCAGTGGTTATGGTTAAAATTAGTAGCAATCACATCTCAAGCGAAAGCGACCGGTCATTGGTAGAGGCGTCGTTCACAGCATGTATCTGGCTGCATGATCTGCATGGGACGGGACGGCTGATAGTCCCGTTGCTTTTTAAACCAAGCGATTAGTGAACCGAGAAAGAAAGTATAATACTGGAGAGCTCAGTATTCTCGCATAAAACACGAGATTTCCCCTTCTGGATCTCAAAAGCAGTGTTTTGGCAACAGTATGGCCGATTTTTTAAACAAATTGAATTACTGTTGTATTGTTGTTGTCGTACTTTGTCAATCAGGCTCTTCCAACTACATCGTTTGAAGTTGGACACGGATTGGTGAAGGTACCTGGAGGTTGTAGGTATTGGTTTTAGCTATGTCGTCAGGGAGCCAAGGCAGCGACGTATCCTCCCTGTTCTACACAATCATGCCTAATTTTGTTCGCAAGGTGCGGTCTAATTGCATTTGCCTTGGGGGCAAGCTCCTGACTGCGTTCCTTAGTTACGGGGCGGGTCCCGCCAATTACCTCAACCGAAGGATGATATGGGCAGTGAGGATCCGCAGAGAAGCGGCCCCGATCTCGAAAGGCGGCCGACATCGAGAAGGCAACAAGTTCCCGAATCGCATCTCCAGCAAGAAAAAGGAGAGATTCGGCGCCGAGAAGGGAGAAGACTGAATGAGGCCCGCAAGGACGAAGAGGTCATCAAGCCCCCGAAACAGGGGGAACTGCGCTCGAGAAAAAATCCGACTAGCTCGAAGGAACCGGCATCGGAGGTCCAGGAAGAGCAAATGAAAAGAGAAAGGATGTCAAGGGTTCAAAGCTTAGATTGGCGTGCTGAGGAAGAATTGAACTTTCTGAGGCATAACAATGCACGCCTATTTGAGGAGGTGACCGAATTGCAGCACCACACCAAACGACTCCAGAGACTGCTAACGGAACAAACCTCTGAAAGGGAAAATAGAATGCGCCACGAGATCCAGAAGCGTGAAGGAGAACTCGATGATTTGAAAAATCAAAATGCGCGTTTGTCCAGTGAACGAGATGCCATGCTAGAACAGATCCGGATTGCACAAGAGGGAGCTCTTCAGGCTATGAAAAAGGGAGATTGGGCCCCAAAGGAAGACCAGCAAATTTGGCGCGACTTGACAAAGTTAGAAGACAAATTAAAAGCCTGGGCGAAAACTTATTCGCTCGTTGATATCAACGTCGTGGAGTCTGCTTCGGCTGCCGACAAAAACGCCATTATCGATCAATTGGGAGGGTATTGCATACAAGAGGACTGGGAGGATGTGGTCAGCAGACTAACGCCAGCACTGGCAAAACGAGCTCCCATGCTTTTTACGCATGGTGCATTGGCTAAAGAAATCTATTCGAAGGTATTCAGTGCCCCTTTTTTTGTTTTGCGCGGACATGGCAAAAATTCCGAGTTTTTCGAGGATGAGATGTCCCGTCTTTACGAACGTTTGAGCAAAGGTAAGAAGAGCTCTCGTTTTTGCTTCCACTTGTTGCGGCAAAACTAAACCCATTGGCTAGTGGACAAGACTGAAGCACACATTTGGCGATCAAGTATGCTCCGATTGCTAGCACAGTCGCTGGCAGATCCCACCTCTGGATATCACTCGCCGGCGATGTCCCAAGCCGAGAGCAATAAGCTTAGCCTGGATTTCATCAACGGCCCGAGCCGGTTGCTTTTCAAACAATTGGACGAGGTGAATCAAGCCAAGCGCCAGAAAGAACTCGAAACGCTATTTTGCGAAGCTGGAGAGCTATCCCTTTCATTGTGGTGCCAGAGGACGTTTATCAAGTGCTACGACTTGAAGATGTTAGGATCACAGCCTTTCCATGCAGGTCATGACGCTGTGATTCCCCACAGGCTCCATAAGCTTGATGATGAGGATGACAGGCTGAATGGTGCAGAGATGATTGCAGTAGTTCAACCGCTCATATTGGCCTTTGGGGATGAAGACGCAGAGGGATATGATTCGCACAGGATCTGGGCTAAAGCAGTGGTTTTAATTGATGAAAACAGCCATGTGGATGAAGAAGGAGGAAGATTGCAGATGTAACTGCACATATGGATGTTTCACTGTTAACATAGTTGTATCCAATCCTCTTGACTGTTCAATCAACTCTTTGGCTTATTGATGGATGTTGACTTGAGCCTTGAGGGCAAAGTCTGCAGATGAACCATGCCAAATGCAGTTAGTGCCGGAAGCTTGGCAAGCCACTGACTAATGTTTTCAAATCCAGCCACTAGAGGGGCTAATCCAAGAATAGACTAGTGTAACTCGGTGGGAATTGAAGCTTATTACTCAGACCTGAGACCATCTCCTCCAACGTCAAGCCAACCTCAGATGTGGTATCTTCATTACTCTTTCATCTGGACTAGTTCACTTTGACATTCTCCCACTCAGCAGACATGTTGTTCCGGCTTGTTGACGGTACCTGCGGCCTCGCGCAGCTTCTCACCGATCAGGCAGGGCAAGGATACATCACTGCTTGGTCTTGTGATTGGTGGGAGGCACTTGCAAGGACCGGGCCTGTCTGCAAATCCAAATTTGAGAACAAAGTGGTGGCTTTTGGCATAGCCTACCTGCAGGCTGCAGGAGGCTTTTTCGATGTGATTTGAAACGGGCGGCTCCCGGCTTGGTACTCGACAGAGGTTCGGAACAAATGTCCCAAGGATCATTGCTTGAACAGTTGAACCCCTCACTTGCCCTACTAGGATAGGCCTTTTGAGTGGATTGTGGACTCAATACTGAGTGTCATATGTGGGACTGCATTCAATATTCCTTCTAACCAAACATCAGATGAACAAGACCAGAATGCTTGATACTGCCGGGATGGAGAGAAAATGTGTACCACATCTGGGGACTCCTGGAACTGTGATGAAGTTCTCAAATGCCTGCACCGGACCGCCTCCAGGAGCTATCAAAATTTAACAAACTCCCAAAACTAACAGTGAAGAACCATTCAACATCCAGCTTACGGCGTACACTCTACTGGTGCACGTTCTGCTTTTGAGATGATTCAGAGCACTGAGGATAATCACAATTGCCTCAGCCCATTAGAAAACATTCTTTCTTGCGATTGCTGCATTAATGAGGACAGTTTCCAGCATTGCACCAGCGGTGATCAATGGATCCTGGAATACAGCAGTCATATGACTGTAAGGGCTTTCTATGATACATCTCGCCTGAATACCATTTTTCTTACCCCTACTCCAATCAACCACTCTAATATAAAGCCCCAGGTCAAAGCCCTGGGTCAGCTTGAAGCTGACTCTGTGCAAGTCGCCTCGAGGAGACTTTGCGATGCCCTTTCATTATCCTATATATTCAAATCTATTAAAGACTTCGCTTCTGAATTCTGATGGGCAGTGACCCCAATATGAGGTTCATGGTTTCACGCCTTCGAGGCTTCCAATCTGAACTGAACTTGAAGAAGTCGTACCGATGCGCCAGACTGGCCAATAACACTGTTGCCAGTAAATAAGATATTGGCCTACCAATGCATCCACGAGCGCCTGCAGAAAATGCAATGAAATTAGGTTGAAGCTGTTTACCCTCGTCACCGAGCCACCGTTCTGGCATGAACTTTTCCGGTTCCGGGAAAGCATTAGGATCCCTGTGGGCCACATAAGCTGATACGGATACTGTCGTATTGCCAGCAATCCAGTTATCAAGGATTTGTAACCCATTTTTAGGTGTCTCACGGGGAAGCCCGTGAGAAATGGGGGGGTATAAGCGCAGAGTCTCGTCGATAACTGCGCGAAGATATGGCAAGTACTTGACTTTGTCATAGGAAGCAATAATTTCTTCGGGCTCCATGACAGAATCAAGCTCTTCTTGAAGCTTTTCCAGCTTCTGTGGATTTTCAATCAGCAGCTGCATGGTGCTTGCAATGGTGTTCGAAGTCGACGAGGAACCGCTCACGGCTAGAGAGATTTCTGCAACCACCTCTCCCCATTCGAGGTTATGTGCGTTACCTGCTGTATCGTCCATCAAGGATGAAAAAATGTCATTGATCCTTTCTCCGGCAGCGTAACGGCTCCATCGCTTGTTAGTCAAGTGGTGGACGAGATTCCTCCACCCAGTTCCCAGTTTAATAAGACGCGAATAGACCGGACTGATCGTGTTTGCGACTGTGATGATCGTTGAGAACCAGTCATAGGACCAAACCAAGTCGCCAACCAAATGGAAAGTTGCATATAAACAATCCCTGAAAGAAACATCTTCAGTGATACCAGCCAAGTCTTCAGCTGTTACTGTATCCTCACCCCTTTCGATGCAATGAAGCTGAGTACTCAAGCAAATGTCAACCAAGCAATCAATCGTATATAAGTTGGTCCAAGAACGGTAATTCAGCGGTCCCTCCGCGCTCTCTTCAACGTACTTGTCGAACTGATCAATCAGTCTAGATACCTTCTCCCCAACCTTGTATTCCCAGTCCTCCAGATTTTTCGCCGCGAATGCGGACGCCAAAACCTTCCGTTTCCTAGCATGTTCCTTTTTATCGACTACATCTGCCAAATGGAAGTGCGTCCCCGAAGCGTTGACGTATTGCTTGTCTTTCGTCGTGGGGGAATTATGCCCGTATATAGCCTATTGTTATGTTATAAAGAGTGGCGCTACAAGAGGCTGGGAATGGACGAAAGGCCACTTACTTTAATGGAGTCAACAGTTCCGAAAGAGAGGGAGTTTGGACCTATTCGAATTACCGGCCATCCCTTCCCATGGTGTAATTCAGCCAGCCTTGCGGATCGGAACCCTTTCATCGATTCCACCATAAACGGGATATCTGAAAGACCGGACAGAGGGTGAAGGGTTGGAAACTTCCTTAGGTTTTTACGGTCCAAGAAATACAAAGCCACAGGCTTGAAAATAATTATCGCCAATGCTGCGAAGCATATGGGGGCAATCAAAGTACCTATCATGATTATGGTTGAAAAGATTCTAACGCAGAAACCAAACCTTTTAAGTGATTTGAAAGAAAAAGCGGGCGATTGATTTTGACAACATCAAAAAGAGGCTGGTCTCCTTGAAGGCCATTTTCACTAGGACTTTGATTAAGCAACAGACATATCGACTTAATATGGTTGAGCTGGGGTGATCGGCAGATGTCCCAAAGCGGAAGTATCGGAAAGCACTCCTTTTGGTAATAAGGCTGAGACACCACAACCTTGCAATAAGGAAAAAGAAATGATGGAAGCATGCGGCGGCGGAGATTACACCGCATTGATCCTAAGTAGCGGGCAAGGTCGCGTCCTCTATTATATATGTTGAATTTTGGCCATTCTAGCAATCTGATCAAAAATAAGCCCCGATAGTCAGCCTTTCAAGGGAATAGCATCTGCCCACAATGGAAGCCACTCTTGTTTCATCAGCGGCCAAAGTGACTCAATTGGCAGATAATATTCAAGCTTGTGCTCGCAGGCTTGGGCAATTGCGGGCTTCTGAGAAACGGATGAATGGCTCGCGTATCGTCAATGACGCTGGCGAAAAGCTAGACGCTGAAGCTATTCATGATGTTCGCGTCAATCTCCTAGATGCATGTCGAAGCCTTCTCAATATCGCTACAGGGCCGACAGAGATGCTCAAGAATATGGCCCTGATTGTAAGTAGCGGTTCTATTCATATGGCTGGAGATACGGAGTACTGAATTAGTGAACAGGACAAACACAATCTCGCATCGCTACGGGTAATCAATCATTTCCAGATTGCCTCTTTGGTTCCACCAGATGGACAGATCTCTATATCCGAAATAGCCAAAAAATGCAACATTTCCGAGGAAGTGCTTGCACGCATTTTACGCCAGGCGATGACCTACGAGGTATTCCACGAGCCGAAAGAAGGATTTATCTCCCACACTGCCGCTTCTCGAGAGATCCCTCGCCTTTCACCACTGCTTTCGTACCAATTAGACGTATGCCTGCCGTCGACACTGAGCCTACTCGATTGGCTCGAGGGGGAGAGGAGCAAAGAGCATAAATCCGCATTTCAAATTGCGCATTCTACTAAGGATACCTGGTGGTCATACGCCGAAAAACGGCCCGATCTCATCCAAAACTATGGAAGATATATGGCATTGATCACAAACGGCGGCCCGCATGATGTGAACCACGTAGTCAGCGGTTTTGCATGGGAGACACTCGGAAACGCAATCGTCATTGATGTGGGTTTAAACCGTTTTAAGGAATCCTATTGTTAGCTCCGGACATATTCGTTGCTGACTTTGCACATCGCAATCCAGGTTGGAGGTGCAGACGGATTTGTTGGAGTGGCCCTCGCCAGGGCATGTCCCCATCTGACAGTTATTGTCCAAGACAGCCCAAATCTGAAAGAGAACGCAGAAGCAAAGATTCCATCTAAACTAAAAAATCGAGTTTTCTTCGCGCCCCATTCGTTCTTCGAGCCACAGTCCGCCATGGGCTCTCACGCAGACGTTTTCTTGTTGAGGCACATCTTGCACGATTGGGAAGATGACGACTGTCTGATCATTCTGCGCCATTTGATCCGGTGTATGAAACCAAGCGCACGTATAATCGTTGCAGAGCAGGTTTTTGGCAACCCGGGCAAGATAGATAAACACACCGAGAGGACTATGAGGGCTCTGGACATGCAAATGATGGTTCAATTCGGAAGCAAAGAAAGAACTTTGGGCGATTGGGAGTCTCTATTCAGCCTTGCGGACCCGTCGCTTGAGATTGTTGGGTATATACAGCCGCCTGGGAGTGCTGATACTCTGATGGAGCTGAGGAAGAAGTGACAGATAGGCTGATGGCACGACTTGGCTAACTTCTGGCCGAGACCGCCATGCTTGCATTTGTAATTACCCAGTATTCCTGGCTTTTCGAAAAATGATACTAGACTGTAAACATTAGTGAAGCAATCGGGGCCATAGCTACCAGACGGGTTTTCATATCAAGAGCATAGCTGTTTGAACGAGCTAGAGAAAATCTCCGATTCACCAAGTGATGCTGACAAATCTGCCAAGATTTTAGTCCATCTCTGGTCAAAACGACGCCGCTCAACTTCTTGAACTACTACGGCAGCTCATCAATTTGATACCTATTACTTTATTTTGATACATGAAGATGCGAAGTCCCTATGGATTGTAGCAGCTTGAAAGTGTGGCCTCAGTTTTACCTTGCACCACCTTGTTTAAGGCAGATTCAAAACATGCAGAGCTGAGCGCTCAAGTCTGGATTTATGTTCAATAACTACATGGTTCAAAGATGCTCGAGAGGCCGAACGCGGCCCAGACAGTTTTCAGCCTGTGTCATAACATCGTGACCCCAGACAGCGTTCTGGAACTCTGGATCCGCCCAAAGATCGGGATGTTTCCAGCCCGCTACTCGTGGAGCGCGCATTCTATCATCTCGGTCCTGTTGCTCCGGTCCGTCTTCTAGGTGTAGAATCTTCCGTACGGTAGTGGCAGAGCCCTGGATGACCTCTGCACGTTGCTTTCGCACGTATTCATAAACCGAAAATGCGCCATCAACATCCTTCGCTGCAAAAAGACAAAGTCCGAGGACTCCAGCATCTTCGATGGCCTGAGCTGCTCCTTGGGCTACGTACGGCAACATTGGATGGCAGGCATCTCCCAGGAGGCAGGTGCGGTTGATTGACCAAGTCGGGAGATTTGGACGCTCGTTCAGCGGCCATTCCAAAAGCTCGTTGGGTTCGATGCAGCTTGCAAGATGAAGGACAGTTGGGCTCCAGTCTTTGTAAAATGACAGCAGGTCTTGTATTTGGCCTTTTCGTGTCCATAAGCCTTTTTCGTCGTTTGATCCACCGTTGTTGGCATGGACCATCACGACGTTATACAGTGTGTTGCCTCGAATGGGATACGCCATAATATGGCCATGTGGTCCGATCCACCGGGTGCTAAGGCGCTGATCCAGTTCTAGCAGCAGGTTTGGATGGCTAGCGAGCTTTGCTCTTGGGATTGCAGCACGGTACGCCGCATCTCCAGTTGGGCAAATCTCATCTTGGATTCCGAAAAATAATGCCATTTTCGCACGGGTGAGACTTTTAATACCATCTGCGCCCACTAAGACGTCGCCTTCTACCTTCTCCCCCGAAGTCAAAGTTACAACAGCAGCGAAATGCGGATCTATATTTTCAACCTTGACGCCAGTTCGGAGGTTCACTTCAGCTTCAAGTGCTGTTTGGACCAACACACGCTGGAGATCGCTTCTATGCTGCGCCGTTGACGATTTTGTCAGTAAGGTTGATTCAGTTTGACATCTGAAAGTAAACCCCGGTGACTCACAATTACTAGCATCGGGGCTTGAAACCGGGATAAATGCGATAGCGTGTGTCCACGCGGCCCAATTTCCTCATCATTATCATATCTTCGCACAATGGTTCCCGAGGGGAAATTGGCGTATTCTAATATAGGATCCAACAGACCGAATTTCTTTAGAATTCGAGTAGCGTTAGGAGCCTAAGGCAGTATGTTAGCATCTACGACTCTGTGTACTATTTCGACTCGAAAATACCAGTTGGATTCCGGCGCCGACTTCTGACAAAGCAGCGGCCTGTTCAAGTATAGTCACTCGATACCCATGGTGTCGAAGTACTGTGAACAAGTGAGTTAATCATCCCGCGCTGCAAAGCTGCAAATAGCAAACGAACTTATTCCTAACGTCAAGCCTCCAATACCTGCCCCGATAATGATAATATGCTTAATAGGCGTCATGCCTGTATATATTGTGCACTGAACTGAATTGGATTCGGGTAGAGGACCAGGTCACGTCAAATCTCAACAACCGAAGTATTATACCGCCCAGCGGTTAGATGGGCAACCTTCAAAAAGAATTAACGTTATGGGGTACATGCGGTGACGATCGAAGAAGCACTGTGGACAGGAGGTGAACGAACGGTTAAACAAGGGCATACATATCGTTAAACCCATCCCTAAAAGCGACAATTAGGAACAACTCCGACCCCTGCAATCTCTGATCCGTGGTCTCCAAGAAAGGGTCACCCTCGACCCTGCTATGAAGTAGGACTAGTTAACTACATCCCAGCGTTATGAACCAAGCCAATAGGGGTTGTGTTTTTTAACCCCTGCAGGATAATTACTCTATTTCATTTATACTGCGCTGAAACAATTTCGGCATTAATGAACTTTGGAATCGCTGTATTTCAAGAGTGGCATTTCAATCCTCTTTGCAAGATATGACGGTAGTGAAGTTTCTAAGTACCTCCCCCATACTAAACTCAGACGTGCTAACTAGCCAGCTACCCTTATCGGACTTGTCTCGCAAGTGTGCAACTACCCTCGATACGGCAAGCTCCTAAACATCATGCCATGGGCGCAACCCCGATATGACCGTCAGTATGCATGATGGTCAGATCATAGAGAGCGCCGGGAACCCATCATCCATGTGGATTGCCTCTGCAAGTGTTCCCTCGTTTGCTAAGGAAACGGCTTCGAAATCAATTGGAAGCGCAAAGTCTCTCGGGGAACCCGCTATGAAAGGATTGCTCAAGTCTCCTGATTTTGTCCGCAAAATATCAAAACTTGGGTCCGCGAGAGGTATCATTGTGAGGCCAGGCTCTTGCGAACCTGATCGAAAGATACTGTTTCCTCTGCTACCACTGCTGCCTGGCACTATTTGTTCAAACTTTGTTGTGAACTCTTTGACAACATCGGCGGCAGCACGAGTAAATCTCGTTCCAAGCGCGTCGAAGATTGAAATACTTGTATTCAGCATCGACAATACTTCCGCCACAAGCGCATGGTGAGGGTAAGCAAGCGCAAAGCCGATCAAAGTTAAAGCTGCATCCCATTGGATGAAATGGGAATCATACCAGCCGTGAATTGCATCCGTTTCCACGAGAGCTTGATTTAGGATGCTTGTTATGGCGAATGCGTGCTTAATAACGGACCGAGCTTTCTCCATAATGAAAGAAAATTTGTGCAGCTCCCCAGTCTCTGAATCCAATGCCCATCGGAGGATTCCAATATTGATCCAATGGTAAGAGAGTTCCAGGAGCAAACATTGCCGCAGGCGCCATACTGGGGTGTCCGCGTCAAGATCCAAATCCACCTCCGTTGCAAAAGAAGCAGTATCAGCCTTTCGCTGCAAGCGGAGTTTTGGGGGGACCTTCCTTGCCCATGATACAAGGAGAGTCGCGATTTGAGCCAAATCTTCCTCAAAGCAGTTGAGTACTTCTGATGCGGAAGGAAATTTGTCGTCATATGTCCCTTGCAGATTCCTCGCTTGTGAATTGAATACCATGTGTACTTTTTTTGCAATTTCTATGAGACCAAAATATCGACCAAGAAAACTGCCTTCTTCCTCGTCTACCTCCGCATCCGACAATTGCCTATAGGACCGTTTTAAAGGTTGCCCCTGGGGGTTTAATTGGTGAGTCTGTTCCAAGATTCCAAATGGACGTCCAAATTCAAGAAACTGCTGTGTATCTAGGCAAAATAGTATATTCCACAGACGCTCTCGAATCCGTCGTTCCCCCACTGAGGCGTTGGCTGGATGCTTTTGATGAAGCCCAAGGATGTTGGCAGTTCGGATAGCCAACCCCAGGAACTGGTAGGCTGCATTGTGGCTCCACGATCCCCGAAGGTAAATCACCAATAAAATATAGCATTGTAACGTGCTCAAACAGGGGTTCTCGTATTCCGCAGAGATGTTGATCGCGCACCGCTCATATAAAGCTTGAGACATCAACTCTGTCTGACTCTGGCCACGACCGTGAAATTCTTCTGCTCCAGGCTTCGTGGGTCTTCCTTGAGGTTTACAGTTGCTCTCGTGCTGCAGTGATATAGCGAGTATTATATCCACAAGGCAGGAGGGAAGACGAACCTCCGAACTAGAGCTTTCGCTCCATAGTGAGGTGTAATGCTCAGTAAAGGAGTCCTCATCGACCACCGGTAGTGTCCGATGCGTCGTGCGCCAATACAGCCGGATGTAATAATTCTCCATGGTCCGTGATATCTCTGGGGGTAGGGCGAATTCTTGGAAATTCAAGCTGCCGCCGGATGGCACCACTAACGCGGCACTCAACCGGCGCGGAAATCGACCAGCGAGCACGAGGTTTAACCGTGACACAAAAGATGCGGTCGACAGGTTGAGGGTCATCCGATTGACTGCTTGAGGTGTCTCGACGGCACCAGAAGTACCTGCTTTTCCGACTGGTTGCTCTTGAAGCATGGCGTTGGCTTTGGTATGAATCTGGCCAACATGCGACGGACTCTGAGCTGAAGGAGACTCCGAACTGGCTGCGGCATCGGAGTCTTGCACGCGACCTTCTAACTCTTCCACTCTCCCCAAGAGGTGTTGAATCTGTCTTGCCGGGTGTAAGCTGGATTGGCTTGATTGACGAACGGTTCGACAAACAGACGATACACATACCTGGTGAGAGCCCGAGTGTCGCCAGACTCCACATTTGCACAAGTGATTTTTCGTTGCCTGCAATTTCGGCAAGGCCGAGAATTATCGCATTTGATACGATTCTTCCTGCAGCTCTCACAGGCCACAGACACGTGGTTTCGTTTTGGGCGCGGGTTGCTTGCATTTTCAGAGCCTTGTTTGTTCGTCTTCGCCTTTGTTGCTACACTAAATGTCGAGTACATCTTGGAGTTCCTAGCAAAGCGAAAGGGATGTTGAAATCCCCGGAATGGGCATCAAGCATTACTGCATGCCACGATGGGTGCTTATCAATTGCTGCTCATCTTTAACTAGCTCCGTGATGTCGACGCAGATTGTGGCAGACGGAGTAACAGGTTACCTTCAGCCGCGCGCGAGAGATCGACGACCAACCAGATATTCTCCGAGTTGTTGGGTTCATGGTTCGCAGCAAGGCAGGTCTGTAGTGATGGGCTAGATCTACTCCGTACATCGGGCTACATCGACGGTGCGTATAAACTAACAATGATGTATCCTCTCCCGTTGGCACGGTAGAAACGTGAGGTACCTAAAAGTACTGGCCAGCCAACATGTGTGGCACAGAGCTGAATCTGCCTTTAGAATAAGGCAAAAAACAAAGCTGAAGATCGGTGTTTTGTACGCAATACCCATGGGAATCTGAAGATCAAGGATCCCATCAGGATGATACCCCTGGAGCAATGTCACCGAAAGCTTGGTCGGGTAGTCCACATCTTAACTCAACATCCTGGTATTCAATGAGTTTATCGCGACATGTTCAGCTCCTCTGTACACTGCACTAGCCTGCGGACCTACAGGATGCATCATTATCCTAGTGGAAAGGGCGCTTCGAAGGAGAAACGTTCAGGGCGTGCATTTTACAAGTCTACTTTCGTCCAATACCTCGAGGGCAAGGCTGGGATCCAAGTATGGCGACACCACGGGACTTCTCCCTGGATTTCCTTTTTCGAAAACAGACCTATGAGCCGATTTTGGATATCCTCGGATCAAACCCCGGATGGATAGACCCTTTGCTTTCCCACAAAAGGAGATATCCAGCGCGGAACCCACCAACTTATCATCCCGCCTGAGGGATCTTACTCCTTTTACTCCTTAATTTTGTCAAAAACGTTCGCGGCACCGGCTGGATATCGCTTCTTGTTCACACAGATACTCATTGTTTATTGAGAAATTATTCAACTTAGACATGACTCACTTTGGGTGCCGCTGGGCTTTCCTCGGGCTTTCAAGCATTGCAGAGCTATTTTTCAAGGACATAACACGATCACGCTCAGATGAGGATCCTATTCGCCATCAGTTGGTGGCTGTTTCCACAACTCGCTCCGTTGAGCGTGCGTCACAGTGGCTGGCGCAGCAAGACGTTCCAAATAGACACACGGTTCGCATCTACACATCCTCCGACGAAATGCTGAAGGATGGAGGATTTGATATAGTATACATCTCAACGCCACATGCAGTCCACTTCTTGCACGCACGTACGGCTATTACGAATGGCCGCAATGTTCTCTTAGAAAAGCCGGCTGTGATGAACAAGGCTCAATATGATCGCCTAGCGGATCTCGCGATCGAGTTCCGTGTTGTTTTCATGGAAGCGATGTGGACACGATATTTTCCCCTCACACAGCACCTCGAAAAGGATCTTCTTCCCCGGCTAGGGCGCGTTAAACGGGTCTTCGCCGATTATTCACTTCCCTTATTCGGCGACCCAACGTTGCAGCCGGGATCGAGGTTCCTCGACAAATCTACTGGCTCTGGCTCCTTGCTGGACCTTGGGGTATACCCGCTGACTTGGTGCGATATCGCTCTGCCCAGAGATGACGATTCAATCGCAGTGAAGTATGCCGAAACTATTGAGCACGCAACGGGCGAGGGAGAACCAATTGACGATATTACGACCATTATCCTTTCCGGCAAGAGAAATACCGTATCCTGCGTTGTTACCATTTCGTCTTCTATACCCGGATCCCCGAAACTAAATCTCAAAGATAAACTGCTTCGTAAGAAGAACTCCCCGTGTCTGCGTATTCAAGGTACAAAGGCGGAAATATCTTTGCCGTTCCCACCCATAAGGCCAGAGACCCTAACGATCCAGTATTACGACGAGGATAATTTGGATCCAAACGGCTTTGAAACCGAGGAAACCATTGTCAGGCAAGTTCAAGGTTGGGGTCTTTGGTATCAAGCAGACCATATCGCAAATGCTATTCGGAACCGAGGCTCGCAACCGAAAGATGGTTGTATCATTGGGCGCAAGGGTTCTTCTCGGGTGCTCAGTTGGGTCGACCAGGCTAAAGAGCTCGCGAAAATCAAATACGATGAAGACCTGGAACGCGTGTGGTAGCACGGTGTGACCAAGTTGAGCTATTGGTATATATCCTTGCGGAGTGCAGATTTCCTCACCGTTTCTAAATAGTTGTCAAATATGCGTGACTGGGCTTGATGGTACTGAAAGCTAGCGGTGAAATGGAGAAGAGAAACAGGGATCGGGGCCATTAGTAGAATGTAGAGAACCAACCCAACTTAACTGTTCCCGGCCCTGGGTTCCGAGACCAAGGCTGCATAGTTCGGTTCTGATTTCAATAATGTTGAATCAATGCGCCTCAAAGGTTTCGAACTCAAGATCACAGCACAAGGCAAATTTAAGAACTTGGTAAGAAGTACTCTGTAGATGGATGGCGAACCAACTATAGCGCAAGTTTGATGTCAGAATACCCTATGTATGGACGAAGTATATATCTATATCTGGGCCTTGCCTGGTGCGGGTGGAGAGAGCTGCATTTGGGGTCAGCTGGTTCACTTGTTATTCGGCACAGTTCGGCACAGCCGCATGATCCGCAGCCACGATCAACCCCAATGAGCCATCTTGACACATCCAGGAGATCTGTGGTTCTTGACTACAGCGACGTTGTTTTTAGAGACAGATCTAATCTAAACTTTTTTGCAACTCGGAGATAAGCTCCGTTCCCTCCATGGCTCCATACCCTCAACCCACGGCTTCGCGTGTCTATAAGAGGTATGCACCAGACGGCGCTGCCAGAAATGCGACCGCATTTTCTCAACAGCGTAGTCCCAGTCAGTGGTGTACTCTTTGTAGAAGGGCTTGTAGCCGAGCAAACCTCCAAGCCAGCGGCCCACCACAACTCCCCAGTAATATGAGGCTGTCTTCCGACAAGGCAGCCATTTCGGCACGTACGGATAAGCATCGCCAGCATCATAAATCTGCAGCTCATGAAGTCAATCGGATATCTGGCAACCTCGCTTGGACGTCCTCGAACCTACCTGCAGCCAGCGAATGTAGTTCATGCCTCCATGGTAGATCATGGCATCATGCCAGTACCCATACCAGTTTTCGAAGAACACTCGGTCCAGTTTGTAATCCCGACCTGAGTCAGATGCGCTCAACACAACGGTCATTGGTCCACGGCTTTCTGGGTGACGAAAGAAGCCATGAAAAACGTTTGCTGGAACGCTGAACTCAGGATCGTCTGGAGTCTTTTTGTAGATCTTGCCATTGATATTCACCCCCATGAGCCCCTGTGTAACCTTGAAATATTCCGTTTGATATCTGTGCAAATGCGGAGGAGGTCCGGAAGGTTTCATGGCACTTTCGATCAATTTTCGAGTTTCGTCGTCAATGTGCACTTCATCGTCGGCGGAAGAACGGTATGTTTGCCGGAAACAAAACCCACGCCCTGGAGGCGGCTCAAGGAATTCAGTCGTGAGGACTCCCCCAAAACTATACGGTTTCAGAGTTGCACACATGCGACAAGGATAATTTACTGTGGTCCAGCATGAAAGCTACACACCTTACAATCTTGTTGCTACCAGCAGATATGTGGTGAGGGACAAAGGGTGCCATATTTCATAGATTTCGTCTCGGACAATTCGAAAGTATCATAGAAAATAAAAGTGCGGCAGTCATCTTGAGAGGAAAGTCGTGCGATTGATATGGCTCCTGAACTTTATCTTTCCCTCTCCCTCTGTTTGAACGAGTCTGCCATGTCATGATTGCTGAACTACCCATTTGGGATGAAATCGGAAATGTTCCATTTAGCAATTGACGGCTTTGCTCCTGGTATGTCAACAGCTTGTAGATGGTAAAGAGCAAAGCATTCAAAGCATATCAAGATTCTAGCATAGAGTGATGAGAATTCACTCAAGTTCAAGGCAGATTCCTGCTGTAAGTTTCGTGGCCTCGTTTGACTGTTTCGCTTGAATCTATCTCAGAACCTACCATGCGGTTGATTCCAGGATTCCTCAATGACCAATGTGGCAAAAACGACCTCGTTGTTTTCATTGTTCTCTCTCTTGCGTCTGCTGTTTATCTGGCCGGAAAAAGGTCCTGGAGCAAGCAGGATCCATTGCATTACCGATGGTTTGAAAGACGGCAAGAGACAGTCCTCGGTCGCAAAAGAAAAGCTGAACGTAGGAAGAAGGACGTTTCGACGAGACTGTCAGACGAGCGCAAAGATGTTGTTATCTTCTGGGGTTCCCAAACGGGAACAGCCGAAGGTTTCGCCAACACACTTGCACGGACTCTCCGGCTGCGATTGCGATTAGACGCCCTAGTCCTTGATCTCGCCGAAGTTGATCCACAAACAATCTCTTCGATCAGCTCAAATTATCCAGCCATATTTCTCTTATCCACCTATGGTGAAGGGAATCCTAGCGATAACGCTGTCGCATTTTATAAAGGACTGCTTCGAACAGAGACGTCACTCGCGAATATTCGCTATACGGGTTTTGGCCTCGGAAACAGTATGTATAAAGCATACAATCGAGCGATCGATGATGTTACTCGAAGGCTCGACGAGCGAGGAGCTCTCCAATTCTGCGCTATTGAATACGGCGATGATGCCATCGGGACTACCGAGTGTAGCTTTCTGGTTTGGCAAGATAAACTCATTGATCGTTTGAAAGAAGTGTTTGGTTGCGAGGAGAACCACCTAGGGTACGAGCCATCGGTGGAAATATCAGAGGTGTTAGATAGAAAATCCATGGATAAAGCGTTCCTGGGACATCCGTTCGAAATCGAGAGAAACCCAACTTTCAGCGTACCTGTCACATCGGCGTGCCACGCGCTACCAATCGCAGTGAGCCGTGATTTGACACCTGGAGGCGAACGACGACATTTGCACCTGGAAATTGATCTTTCAAGGCGGCCGGAACTCAAATACCGGACCGGAGACCACTTTCTGATTTGGCCATCGAATCCAGAATCTGAAGTGGACCGGCTGTTGCGTTTGTTTGGGCTTGAAGCACAGCGATCCAAGATCGTAACCATCAAAGCTTTGGCGCAAGGAACGGCTGTCAAGGTTCCTAGCATATGCTCAATTGAAGCCATTTTTAGACACTATTTGTCAATATGTGGACTGGTAACTCGCCAATTGTTACGGTCTCTCGCCCAAGTCGCTCCCGATGAAATGGCCAGGAGCGCTGTGCTGAATCTCTGCGACGATTCGGTTGCTTTCAATAATATGCACCGACGATATTCGACGGTCGCGGATGTAATGGAAATGGCGATTGCCGATCGAGCGTCGTGGGATACGGTTCCTCTTTCTTGGGCAGTTGAAAATATTCCTCCTATGAAACCAAGGCCGTATTCCATATCATCAACTCCTAGCACTTCGCCAAGACGACTTGCCATTACTGCTGTGGTGATTGATGAGGCGACAACAGGTTGTGGAGATGTGATCAAACGAGGGTTGACTACAACCATGCTGAATGGGCTCAATCGATCACTCCAGACCACCAGCCAATTATCACAGTCGCAACAAAACCCTCCTCCATCATTTTGTTATTCCGAGAACCCAGACCAACACTTCAAAAGCGGTGGGATATACGGCCAAATACGGAGATCAAAATTCAAGCCACCTATTTCATGCACAGCACCGATACTGATGGTCGCAGCAGGGACAGGCGTTGCCCCATTTAGGGCATTCATTCAGGAGAGGGCGTGGTTGAAGTCAATCGGCAAGGAAGTGGGTCGAATGACGCTCTTCTATGGATGTCGCAAGAGCAGTGAAGACTTCCTGTATGTCGAAGAGCTCAACAAAGCCGTAGCTGCCCTCGAAAATGCATTTGAAATTGTAACTGCATTTTCGCGTGAGCAACGGCGTCCAAACGGGCATCGAACGTATGTTCAGCACCGAATTCGCGAGTTTCAGTCAGCGGTAGCCCAGTACATCGTAAACGAGGGATATTTTGTTTACGTTTGTGGCTCCGCAAGGATGGCGCGGGAGGTGACAAACGTGGTCCTTGAGATAGTCGGAAATGTCCATGGATGGAGCGAGGAAAAAGCTTTGAGTTTCCTGGAGACGGCCAAAAAGACAGGGAAATGGCAAGAGGATGTCTGGGGTTAATTTGTGCGCATGTACTTTGTAACTAGATTTTCTTGGTAAAGAAGTACTCGTAAGGTATTAGAAATGGATAACGAACGTTAAGAATGCGGCCCTTGGTTTCTGACGATCTCATAGCCATGATGAAAACCTTGCTTGACAAAACTGCAAGGCCGTTCGGGCGCAGGTTTGTTGCCGGAAATGTATTCGATTGCCAGATGGAGGAATTCCGAGAGTGCAACCTAAAACATCACCATACCAGAATAACATTTTGCGGTACCTAAACACTCACATAAAGAACCCCGTTCTCGCGACGTTTTGTTTTGGGGTCTGATAGCACATACGGATCCATCCTATATACACACAGTGGGTTAACAGAGGGCTTCAAAATGGTTCTTCACACTAACCTAGCTGGATGCCATGCGCTTGTTTCAGGTAGCCATCCCGAACCATCTCATATTCCAGCTGTCGGGCCTACCAAAAAATAGTTAGCTAATGGATACCAATTACAGGCGGCACCAAAGGTCTTGGTCGCGGTATGGTTGAGGCTTTGGTAAAAGAGGGTTGTAATGTCTCATACTGTGCGCGAACAGTGAGGGATGACGATTTCGAGGACTTGCACAAATCTCTGCTTGAAAATGCCGAATTCAATGGTGTTTCAAACGGTTCCGGAGCCGATCGGCAGTTACCTAAGGCGTATGGAACATCAGTTGACATAGCTGACCGTGAGGCTCTGAGCTGGTGGGTTGAAGCTGCGGGCAAGGCATTCGGGCGCCTTGACATAGTCATAGCCAACGGTATAGTTCCCATTCTTGCCATCTACTACTCGTATCACCAGAGGTTCTCATAGAAGCCATATTTTTGATATAGCGTCCAATATGCATTTCGAGTCTACGCCTAAAACGTGGCAGTCCTCGTTCGATCTCGATGTCATGGGGTTCGTGAACCTGGTTGAAGCGGCAGTGCCTTGGCTTGAAAGGTCGCCACAACCCTCAATCATCGTTCAGTCGTCATTCATGGGTCGTGAGTTTTTTCGCAGTCCTCCTGCGCCCTACGGTGCGTGCAAGGCTGCACAGCTTCAACATGTCCAAGAGCTATCCCACTACCTTGGGCCTAAGGGAATCAGGATCAACGCAATCTCTCCGGGGCCCATATGGGCCAAAGATGGAGCATGGGAGAGTTATAGCAAAGTGGCTCCAGATTGGGTAGAAGAACAGAGGCAGAAAGTGCCGCTCAAGAGGTTTGGGACTCCAGAAGATATAGCGAATCTTGCGGTCTTCCTTGCTAGTCCGCTAAGTAGCTACATCCAAGGCGCAAATATTCTGGCAGATGGAGGCATTCATATCGGCACTTGCTTTTAGATTTCTATGACTGTCAATAATGTAACGGAGAATCGACGTAGAATGCTGTCAAATATTTTTGAAGTTGGTCGTCGTGAGGTTCCAAGTCTGTTGAGGTCAGGAGAGCGGCATGTGACTCAAGAAGCCCTAATTTATGACGGCTGGCTTCCAACTTGCTGGAACCAACTCCATTTCTATCCTACGAAAAGATTATCCCAATTGCACGCTATAACTAGTCGAAATGGTTTATGCTGGGCAAATCCACGTGGGCTTCATCCTCAGGCTGGCCTTTGTCGTCGTTGTACTCTCAACCCTGGATGCGCCGTTAGCCTTCAAGTTCTACAGAGAAAAGAAATAGGGGCATCAGTTTCGATGAATATGACAGATAACGCCACTCAGTGGACCTTTGTCACGATGTCGGTGGGACCGCGCCCTAGTAAAGAGCAGCGGACGCTGATGAGGCGGCATGTCATGCGTGATATCGGTTACTCTCGAAGAAAATCAAAAGGGGGCTCCGCATCTGGCAGGCCTCCTGTAAAAGGTGCCCGGAATTGCGCCCACCCTTGCCTTCGCGAAACCTCCAGTGGCTCAATATCAGATACAGATCAAGAACGCTTGTCCGACCCATCAATCCCATCATCCCCCAATCCTCCACTGGTTGGGCCGATCGTTCTGGACTATGATTCGCAACGCGTTCTAATGCATAGTATGCCTCGCGAAATAGCGGATTATTGAAGCCAGATCTAACTTTTGATGTGTCGCAGTGTTTTCTGATGGTCTTCCTGGCGCAATGCGAATTTACAGAGACAGGTGGTACCCATTATGTGTAACTGACCCTATCGCATTTCATCAGATGCTTGCAAGCTATGCATTGCACCTTGATCTTTGGCGCCAAGGGCCTCGGGACCGTTTAGAACCATTCTCACTCTATCACCATTGCAAGGCCTTGTCCGCGGTTCGGGCCCAGTTATTGGAGCTAGATCGCCCAGCTTTGGGGGACGTGTTGCTAGCGGTATCTACTCTAGCTTGCCACGCCCACCTGGTCGGAGACTTAGTGGCTTGGAGGATTCATACTTCTGCCATTAAGTCAATACTAGCAGATAGGTCGCCGGTTTTATCAAAACTAAATCCGAGTTTGCTATCTCTATTACAATGGTACGCTGGGATCCGGCCACGACTGAGTTAACGTACGCTAATTTGCTTCAGGGTGGACTCTATTGGCTCCTACTCTTTCGATCTATATCCTACACTCCATGTCTATACATCAGTGGAACCGGTAACCTTGTATCAACTGCATGGCGAAGGTTCCCTATTTCAAAGCTCTCTGATTACCAAGGATCATCTTCCCGAGCCTTTATTATATCCGTTCCAATCACTATATGCACTAAACTCTAGATTACACGAGCGTTATATGGCGGCAGGCCCGGTAGCGTGGGAAGACCCTATGGAAATCGACAAGCTGGTCCACCCAGTTATGCAGCTTTTCCTAGCTATACCATGTCGCTCTATGCGCTCGGTCAGAAATAATATCGCCTTTCGATGTTGCCGTTTTGGGGCAATGCTTTATCTCGCAGAGCTGCGAAGAAAATCGGGAATTAGTCCCGTGATTACCAATACTTACATTAAACATCTTCGTGATGGGTTATGTGCTGCTCCCAGAGATCTTTTACATCCTGCACTACATCTTTGGTTGCTTACAATTGGCGCTATCGAATCTACGGTCCCTTCAGACAAACTTTACTTCCACGAATGCCTCGCCACTATGCAGCAGAAACTTGAAATTCACTCAAGCTCAGAACATGTGCGACAGTTAAGCAAGGTTGTTTGGCTTGATAGTCTATTCAGGGACAAAGTTAAACAACTGTTTGATATTGGCACAAAGAAATGGCTCATTAACGCTGGAGAGAAAATATGACTGTCTAGTCTAACCTGGTAACGTCAGATATCGTCTTAGGCTAAAGATATGTCATGCTATGCACTACTTTGGGCTTGCCGCACTTGTTAGTTTCATTGAGATTTGCGGGACATACAAGTTGCATACACCACTGCAACCCCGAAACCTAGACCTGCAAGGCCCACAGAGGTATATAGGGCGGCCCTATACCCCTGTAAAGTTCGGTTCCCGGCCGGATTCACCTGCGCCTCCACGGTGCCGGCAATGCCGAGCCCGATTGCGATCGAATAATTTATCACTGTGTTGACTAGCGAGGCCGAAACTCCTTGGTGTTCTACCCGAACGGTGTTGCTTAAAATCGTTGCCGACGCAGGGAATGAAATGTCCATTCTAATCAGTCAGCAGGTATCAGTTATGACCAGGTAGGATTCCTCGAACCTACCCCCATGCCATGACAACAAATGACCAAAACGTATTGAACCAGTAGCTCTGGTGTACAGGCGCCGTTGCCTGTAATATGGCCCCTGCAAGAAAAGCAAAACAAGCGATAGCCATGAGCCAGCCTGTCGGCATAGTCCACATCAAGTACGGGGTTGCGATTGCGGCCACGATTCCTGATATAGCCCCTGGCGCGAATTGAGCTGCCGAATCGAGGGGAGACACTCCCCGGAAACGTTGGATAAACTGGAACAGATAGTAAAACCAGACCCCAAAACTGCTCCAACCGAGCCCCGTTGTGACCAATACTGCTGCCACATGGCGGTTGAAAATCGACATGTCCAAGAGCGGAATTTCGGCCCTGCGTTCCTGGAAGACAAACAGGGCCACAAAAACGAATCCAAGGATCAACAAAATATAAACATATGGCGTTGACCAGCGATCGATGGGTGCTTGATTCCAGGAAATATTAAGTAACAACAACGCCGTAACCCCGAGAACTGACCCTAGCCAGTCGAACGACTTTTGCTTACTCTTGTGTATTTCCTTTGGAATCACAAAGTAACCCGTCACTGCAACGATAAAGCAGCCGAGAGCGAACGTCCACATGGTCCATGGCCACCATACGTACTGGGCAAATGCGGACCCAATAGCGCCAGCAACCGAACAGCCCAAGGGCGCTGCGAGAGCAAACATGGAGAAAATAACGGTCTTCTTCTTCCCAGGTGGATAAGTACGACCGACAATAGCGATGGCGTTCGGTAGAATGAAAGCTGGCCCAATCCCCTGAAATGCTCGCGCTGTATCGAAAAAGGCGGCAGACTTCGTCCAAGCGCTGCAACCTCCGATGACGGACCATACCCCAAACCAAATCCAGCCGAGCAAAAGAGCACTTCTCGAGCCATATCTATCGCCTAACTTTCCAGCAATGAGGATAAAAGTACCGACAGTAAGACTGTATCCTGCGACGTGCCATGCCATCACTGTGGACGGCTGGTCAGGATCTTGACCGAAAGTCCGGGCCACAATATGGAGCGGTAATAGGATGTACCCAAACGCTCCCTGGACGAAGAACTGCGAGGAGCAAAGCACCATGATGAAGAACAATTCCTGTACTCCGGATGGTGGTTGCTGATATTCATCCTCGTCCAACACGTTGGTGGCTTCCTCCTTACCATGGTGGTAGGGCTCTTGAGATACAACGTTGCCTTCGGGATCTCCCGCAGCGGATGTGAAATCGGACATAGTACCGCTCTCGCTAGAGCTCATGGATGTGTAGGGAATAAAACCGAGTAAGGGCTTCTTCGTTCATATGTATTTGAGCCGAGACCTGCATGGGTTGCGCGAGTAAGTGAAAGGAACCGCCGGAATGCAAGAACACCGGCGGAGTAATGCTGATATAGAAAGTTGAGCATGGCGACAATCAACTCTTTACTGTCTATGACTCTATCAGCCTCCTGTTCCGCAAGCACGACTGTTTGGGTCCATCAAGTCAGCAAAACAGGCTTCGGGCTGGCATTCAGCCAGGGGGACCAATGACCCGTTTGGGCTTAGCGTGGTTGGAGCATCAAACGTCGAGTTCTGGCATCCCCGACGTCGCTCCATCGTTCATCTGCAATTCAAGGGCAATACTCTACAGGCCAAGGGTCATCTCGATCTAGAGTGGACATTGTACCCAAAACACAAACACTGCCGGAGTGACTATTTCCTAAAATATGTGAAGCCTAACCAATCATTACGACATGGATGACGGCGGGAGCTGACATCAACCCGCCCCAGAGTTACTCAATATCCAGATTCTTAGCTAACCAGCATACACCATGGTATTTACTGACATTGTGCCGCAGAGACCCCCAACTCATTATCAAGTCCTCAACTGCAAATCGCGAACCAACTTATTCCACGATTCAATCCCCCGCTTCGCATGTTTCTCCGGGGTTTTGGGATCAGGGTCCACCAAGGTGCGAGAGAACAGTTCCAACGATGCCCATCCCTCGAACCCCATGTCGAATATGGCTTTGGCGATGTCGACAACCGGCAAATATCCTCCGCGATCCTGCTCATAAGCGAATAACCTCGCATTTCGAGACCAGCTCATCCGACTCGGCTGTTCCTGGACATACCACTCGTGTCCTTCAACTAATGGAGCCGAAAGGCGCTCACCGTCGACAATCTGGATGAAAAAGACTTTGCGAACGTCGATTCTACGGATAAGCCGGGAGATTGTGGCTTTGATGTCCGCATCTGCGGTGGCTGTTTTCCCTGTTGGCAAAGAAGGGTCTGCATACACTCTAGCCGCGATGTTGAACGTGTCCAGACAAATTCCAAGGTTAGGTCGATCGACTTGACAAACAATATCCCAGCATTTCTCCCAAGTGTTGACGTAGGTGCCCCATGCGAGAGATTCGTACGCAAAGCGGAACGGTGGTGATTGTTTTAGACCCAAGTCAGCGATTTGCTGCAGGTCGCCAACAATGATATCCATGTCGCCTGTGATTCGCGGCTTTCCGGTTTGAGGGTCGGGAGGTAAAAAGTTCGATGGAATCAGGATTGTATCTGTTTTCAAAATGCGACCGAGCTCGAACCAGAGGGTCAGCTTTTCGGCGAGGAGACGGTCATGTTCAGCACGATCAAGAAGGCCTTCGTAGAACCAGAAGGGTTGGAGGGCAATAACTTTGAGGTTCAAAGATCGACAGATGCGCCGGACCTGACGAGCGCCTTGTAAGAGGTTGTTTCGCGTGAGGCCGCCTGGAAGCTGACGACTGAGATACTCGAGATCCTCGTAAAAGATTTCAATCCCCTGGAAACCCTGGTTCGCGGCCTGCTCTAGCTTTACAGGAAGCTCGTGGACCCAGGCGCGTCCTAGGGATAGTGATGAAATTGCGGGACGATTAGCCATGACCAACGTGGATTTGCGTCTTCGCGGGGTCTACTATTCTCAAAGTAGGTTTTGTATACAAAAGGTAACACGCAGTTGCTTCTCCAAATACTTTGTAAAGCTGACCAAAAAATCAGCTAGACAAAGTGACAAATGACACCCTAAGAGGTTTTCCGGAGGAGGGCATATATGATGATAGCTGCCCATATGCAGTGAGTTATTTCGGCAGATAGCCTAACTCGAAGGAGCTCGAATCTCACGGCCGCTTTCATTCGTGGACCCGCTTCCGGTTTGAATCTCTTCTGACAGGGCCGTTTTGCCTCGTTCCTCTCCACTAAAACAACGTGGCTACTTCCTTGTCGTGATCCCTATCCAAGGGTTCCAGGAATGAGCCCCGGAGGTTGGTGCTACGTTGTTGACTGTTTTAGGGAATCCGGGATGGTTCCGAAGCCCAGAACGGTTAAATCATTGGAAGTAAACCCCCTTACTACCCAGCCCATTCATTCGAGAGCAACGATGGCCGACGGAGCACTTCCCAGGAATGATTCGTAAACCTAAATAGGAAAAATCCCGATATGCATTAAATCGCTCAGGGAGCGACTCATAAATCACGCCAGGTCAAGGTTACACGACTATAAACCCATGTACTGCAGGTCCCTGTTGCATGCTAGAGGCTCTATACGGAGTGCTCAGGGAGTTATCGATCGTGTTCGTGCTACAGCCGATCCATGACATTTATTCCCTTGCTTACTCGCGAAATTAGCCGCAAGATATTTATTGCTTAAGATATCTACATGCAGGAGTGTGAAGCAATGTGAACAACTTCAATCCTGCCGACACCATGACACCAGCACCTATAATCGCGGCTCAGCCATTGTTAGCAAATGACGCTGCTGTACCGAAGACAAAAATTCCACCCTCCGCAACCCTGCCATTGGACTTGACACGATGGCGGGTTCGCCAGTCATGGGCCATGGCAATGGAACGACTGATGCGTGAAGGCGGTAATGGAGCCTGGAAGGAGGAACACTCCGGGGAGCTATCCAATGACAGAGGTAGCTCAACTCGATCTTGTCCACCTTGAGATCCTTAATTCAGCGATTGACCATGTGCGTGTTTAGTGTTGGGCATGAATCCGCTCTTACCACCGGGGCTCCTCAAAGCTGAGATTCCAATGGTGAGGCTATCTAGAGGGCAAGAACCGCCGCAGATACTGGCCTCAGGTTGGATAGTTACTAACTATTTTCCTACAGTGTGATAAATCTTTCCAGACAGTATCCAAGGCTCAGAGAGAAGTTGCCAACATTGTAAACAAGAGGGACGATCGCCTTCTAGTTCTAGTTGGACCCTGCTCTATCCATGACCCTGATGCGGCCCTTGAATATGGAATGAGACTTAAAGATATTGCCGACCGTCATTCCCAAGATCTGTGTATCATTATGCGTGCTTATCTGGAGAAACCCCGGACGACTGTCGGATGGAAAGGGCTCGTCAATGATCCGGATATCGACGGGTCCTGTGACTTGAACCACGGTCTCAGGGTATCGCGGAGCTTGTACTCCGCTTTGACCGGGGTTGCTGGCATTCCCATCGCGGGAGAAATATTGGAGACGGCTTTGCCCCCTTATCTTGCCGAATTTATGTCTCTAGGGGCTATTGGGGCCCGCACAACTGAGTCACAACCCCACCGGCAGATTGCCTCTTCCATGCCCTTCCCTATTGGATTCAAAAACGGTACGGACGGTAGTCTTACGGAAGCTATCAATTCCATAACTAGTGCCGCGAGCAGTCACAGTTTTGCCGGAGGGATTGCCGATAACGGGTGGACTCAAATTGTTCGGTCAAGTGGTAATACAGACTGCTTTTTGATACTGCGTGGGGGCTCATCAGGTCCAAATTATCACGACAAAGACGTTCGGGTAGCTCAGGACCTTCTCAGCGCACAAGGCCATCGCACTGGAATCATGATTGATTGCTCACATGGTAATTCCGAAAAGAACTATAAGAGGCAGCCGCTGGTCGCGCGAGATGTTGGAGCCCAACTTCGTGCCGGCCAAGAAGCTATCATCGGCGTGATGATCGAGTCGAATTTGCATGAGGGTAAGCAAGGCATTCCGAACGAAGGTCCGGAGGGTCTCCAACGCGGTGTTAGTGTCACAGACGGCTGCATAGGATGGAATACGACAGTGGATTGCCTGGAGCAGCTGGCTGAAGCCGTCCAGGTACGTCGAGCGGTCACGAAATCTTGATATTGAGCTTGCGGGTATACGCCGTTTTCGCGGTCATTTCTCACCATGTATAAGCAAGTGGGTGTGACTCATCTCTAAGATAATATCTGGAGCTACATAATAACCGTTGAATACGCATTTTATTTCGGTGAAAAAGTATGGAAGATATAGGGATATCTCGATTCGAGGAAAAGCGAAGACAGGGTGTATAACTATTTCAGTGAAGAATTTGCCTGATTCGCAGTTTTGATAAAATAATCTCTACTACGGGCTTTTCAGTTACTAGGGTCCGAAGCATTGTGCCCCAGCGAGTCTACCACTTGAGGCATACAAACAAAGGCGTGCCGTGTCACATAATGGGTTTCGGCTGGCTTTTCTGAGCAAGATACCTGCTCAGCCGTCATCCTTTCACGGTTCATACCTCAACATCCCCTAAGCAAGTTCTCCAAACACTTTATATCACCGCATCGAATTTACAAGTCTCAGGGGTTTCGCTTCATCCTGTATCCCAGGTCCGTTGATGTAAGCGCCTGAAAACGGGGCTCTGGAGGCCTTTGCACTCGGGATACCAGTTGCTCTCGGTAAGAAAGAATTCTTTCCAGCCGGCCCAATTACCCAGCCACCGTCACGGCAGACGGCATAGTAGAAAACTCAGTCAAAAGTTCCGTCTGTGAAAATGGCGCAACATCATCACTTTTGTCGGAAGGAGAATGAAATGGTTGCGTTGGAATGAATTGCTTTTGGTTGCTTGATTCGATAGTTCGTGATCACCGACAACAAAAGTGAGTGCTCGACTCGCCTCTGGATCATTGAATACGGACTAGAATGCTGCCAAAGTATGGAACTGAATGGACAGTAACCGAGATCAATAACTCCATGAGTCTCGCCTATCTGGAATGTACTTGCTCCATGTTCCATGTGCCAATCCAGACCTAGGAATCGCTTGAAATGAAGTATAACTTTCGAAATACGAGAGGTTTCTCCAGCAATTGGCAACATTTCTTAAGACTAATATTACAGTTCATGATCAAGCCCTAACAGAGGCCCTTCAAGCCAGAACTCGAGATCCAACCTCTCCAGGGTATGACACTCACAAAGAGGATTCAATTTGCCATATCAAGGTTAGAAACACATTAATTCATCGGAAATAGATACAGTCGCGAGATATTCTCCCAATTATTTCGTTGAGGGGTTGGGACTGATAGAGTGATCAGGAAACTTTCGAAAAATATCGGCGATATGATCAATTGGGGCCGTCAGCAGCCCAACCGCAGTCTCAAACGGTGGCTTGTTGGGAGCCGATGGGTGAGATCGGCTTGGGACAAACATTTTGGTCCTTCCAAAAGATGTCGCCATTCTCTCGCTCTCGGCTTGATCAAGCGCGCCTTCGAGACGGACCAGATCCTGTTCCTCTTCCTCTTTGATATGGGGGGAGAGATTGTCCATAAGCGTTCTAATGGTAGACATGAACTTGGGATCTGAAGATTTCATCTCTTGAAATTGTTTCAGGAGCTCCTTGACCTACTGTGTCTTAGCGACCGCGAATCAGTTCATGGGGAAAGCATTTTCACATACAACTTGATGCTCCTGGCGGTCTTTATTCGCCATATCCTTCCCTTCAGGGAGGTGCGTTTCAAATGCAGGGTAGACGACCAATTCCTCTCCAATTGAATGGCGGGCTAATTCCCAAGTGAATTGATTTTGCCATCTGGTTTGTTCATCCGGGTCATTCGAATTGATTATCTTGTCATAACAGGCCTCGATTTGCCGATGATCCGTTTTGATAGCGTCGGAGATTCTAGTCATGATGAATAAAGTAGGGCTAAGCAAGACGTTTTAAGGGTACTTTGTCTGATAAGCGTATGCTAGATAATATGCCACCCCTATAAAGTATTGCACTGCGGCTGATTGATAAGGAGGGATTTCAAAACAAAAATGATTGCCTTGCTGCGAATGGACTGCTAATATACGCAACCATATCCCTCCTTCTTTGCCCAGATGCTGGATGAAGTCATCCTAGGGAACACAGCGCATAGAGAGCCTTCAGCGTGATTGCAAATGCAGCGTTCGCGATTGGAAGTTAGGATGTCACGGATTTAGTCCCTGGCAACTTGCTCCATGATCTGAAGGCACATTCGCAGGCCGAGAGCTTCCACCATGACGTCAGCCTCAGCTGCTTGTGCATCCCAAGGTCAAAGAGCAACGAGACGACGTTGAGCCTAGACCAAATCAATATCTGAAAAGCTTCAGGGGTTCCCCCTCGTAGTGCTCGAATCAAGATTCATCGAAGCAGGTTTTGGCCCGGTCAAGAAATCTGTAGGGGCTAGCAATGCAGGCATCGAGATTTTGTCGCCCAGAGGAACTCGGCTAAGCTAGTAATAGAGATCACGGGCGTAATGGGAATCATCTCAGTGTTAAGGCCAACTAAATTTGCGCCTTTCAAGCCGTTTGTTTATTGAAGTTGGAAGAAAGCTGGAGATGCTGATGAAGTGGTTAATATGGCTGACATAAGCAGTCAAGGGTGAAGATGACTTCACATCAACCAACGAGCTGGCCGGACATAACGAACCTATGATGGAGGCTTGCTGCTTCGAGACGGTGATAACCTTCCGGCAGGGTCGGGAATGCATATGCTGGATAGGAACTTGCGACATGGCACGACCTTCAAGGCCTAAAAGCATGGAATATTCATGACATCACCATCATGCATTGTTGGAAGCTTTTTGGATGATGTCTCTAACTATGAAGGAGCATGATCTTATCTCTTCTTCTCCCTCTTTCCCAATATTCATATAGTTGCTTCGCATTGCCGGAATATCTTCAAGACACTGACAGTTTTGCGTTTCAATTGAGGTTCCAATTCAACCGTATCGAACATGCCCCGAAATATCTGCATTACCGCCGTTGATGGCCACACCGGACACCTAATTGCGGAGCTGCTAGTCTCCAATCCAGACTTCAAGAAAAACCTCGACTCCGTCTGTGGCCTCTCCCTCCACCCGCATTCGGCTGTGTGCAAGGAGTTAGAGAAGCTCGGTGTCAAGATCGTCCCCCACAAACCTGGCCGTGTGCGGGAAATGGTGAAAACATTGGAGCAGACGGGAGCAGACACCATGTGCCTTATTCCCCCTCCACATAAGGAGAAATACGACATCACTGTCGAGTTGATTGAGGCGACCAAAAAAGCGAATGTTCCAAATGTTTGCTTGATCAGCGCTGCAGGATGTGACCTGGCCGAAAGGGATCAGCAGCCGAGACTTCGGGAGTTCATCGATCTCGAGTGCCTCTTCATGGCAAGCAAGGGTGATCCGAAGTCGTCAGCGGGACATTCTCCAGTTGTTATTCGGTACGTCTTGGCTGCTACTAAGTAGCGGGGTTGATATCTAACCTTGAAGAAGCGCCGGATTTTATGCAGAAAACCTCCTGCTATATGCTCCTCAGGCCCAGGAGGAAGGTCATCTCCCACTCCCCATTGGGAAGAATCACAAATTCGCGCCAATGGCCCTTGGAGTACGTTCTTGAATGTGCGCCCATCGGAAATGGAGCTAGCTAATAGTTCAAACAGGATCTTTCCCAAGTTGCAGCGCACGTATTGACAGGAAAGGGGAAGCACGGATTCAGCGATGCGCACAGAGGCCAGCTGATGGTCCTTACCGGTATGGAACACCCATAGGTTCACGATATGAAAGCGAAGAGTTAACATCGCCCCGCAGGACCAATGCTTTGCACTGGAGATGAGCTAGCATCCGCTGCTAGTCAAGCCCTGGGTACAACAATGCAGTTTGAAAATATCTCAGAGTATATCCGCCTCTACCCTCACCTCTGAAACCAATACTAACCTTGCGTCTTTTAAGAGCGGAAGCCAGGAGGGTCCTCCACGCGCAATCCCAAAGTGATGAGTCGGAGATTCAATATCTCCTCGAATATTATTCCCTGGTCCGTCAAGGTAAAACCAACTATATCTCGACCACGGCGTTCCACGACGTCACAGGCGGTCATCCGCAAGAGCCGCCAGACTTCTTCAAAACCTATAAGCAAGAATTCTTGCCCCATCATGCCGCAAAGAAAAGAAAGACCGAAAATAAGTGATGGAGCCAAAGCCTATCAACCTATGAAAGAGGCCGGTTTTCCCAGGGTGTTGGAGTTGGGTTAGTTCTAGTTGATTGAAGTATTTAAAGGTCAAATATCTCTTTCCGTCTCCAAGATGGTGCGAAAATATCTTCAGAAGTCGTAATAAAGCACTCGGCTTCCATGGAACTTCACAAGTGCCGTTTTCTGGATTCCGATTAAAGTTTAACGTGGATTGACTTGCCTGATTCCACGGTTCGAATACGCCCCATTGAAAAAGGGAGCCATTTAGCCACATTATCATCCAATTATACATTTTCAGGTCGATACATCCTTTATCTTCTCGCAACAGGAAGATCTAACCCCTTTACCAGTCACAGTTCTCCGCCAATAATATCGCAAGGGCTTCAAGCCCCTTCTTATCGACTTCGTCAAAACCCAAAGGTTGAGTGCAATCGATATCTATCAGAGCCATGGTCTTAAAGATAGCCAAAGAAACATTGGCGTTAGGTAGCAATTCACAACAGGAGAAGGTACCTACTCACCTCTCCACCCACTATAATTGGCACCACAATCTCGCTCCTACTCTCTGCATCACATGCGATATGCCCTTCCCATTGCAGCACGTCAGGCACAATCACCGTTTCTCGCCTTGAGGCAGCCGAGCCACACACCCCCCGGCCGAACGGTATCAATTGACAAGCTGGTTTACCATGGAAGGGCCCTAGGAGCAGGATATTTTTCGCATCGCTAGCTGTAGAGTCCGCGGTTGAAGGAGATTTATCTTTTCGAATATAAAACCCGGCCCAGTTTACGGCGTTCGAAGGTGCGGGGAGGCTGGCATAGGCGTGCCATAACAGAGAAGAGACGTTTGCGAAATTGCTAGAAATGGTAAGCAAAGTCTAATATATAGCGAAGGTCGATTCCAAATTAAAGCATGGAAACAAAGGAATATCAACATGTTTGGGTGCTCACCTTACCTAAATACAGCGGTCGATGGTCATGTCAGCCTCTGGATGATACCCGCCCTTGGGATAGATATACCCAATTTCGCCGACCTTCAATCAGGGCTTGTGCCTGCTGGAGAACCTGGGCATAAACCTCCGACTTTGAGAGGCCAGGTGCAAAATACGACGAGTCCGCATGAGGCTGTCAGGAACGCACACAAATCAGTATGGAACATTGGAATACTTTTCGCCTGAACCAAAGACGAGGCCCGTACCATTTTCAACCCGCTATATAAGAGCCAACTTCGACTCCCAGATAATCTCTTGTTGGAGGGGTTGGCCGTTGACAAAGCTGATAGAACAAGGTTTGATGGCTGCTTCACGTGGCCCGGGCTTGGCGCACGGTCTCGGCTCGGCGTTTCTGCCACCGACCTTGGCCCACATTTTATCCGAGAACTCTAATTCAACCCCTGTTCTTGGCATCTCAGCTTTTGCTTCAAATCTCTCTCAACGCAACATGGGAGCTCACGCAGGAGGAGGATATTCGGACAGGCAGATAAGCCTCCATATGAGATGAAAGGCTCAACGATGCTGAGAGCTTCATTGGGAAGCCGATATCAATTGAAGCGAGGGAAAATGAATGCTCTCTTATCTCGCACGAGCTCCACCATCTCACGCCACGACTCCACGACCCGTTCTTCCCGAAGGGCGTGGCGCAACAGGCCTCTTTGTGGGGTACATAAGTCGGAGCTGAATCCGCCTGGAGATGCATTCAACTTTTGTCCATTCTTTTCTTGTTATTAGTGCGCATTGTTGCTGCTCTAGCAACTTCACCGGGCAACATGCTCCTTGTCTTTGGGCTGTCTTTCGTCTTGTTCAGCGGCAGCTGTCTTGGCCGGAATATCGTCTTTCCTCCAATTCACGCTGTTCCTGTGCAGGCGCCTCTAACCACAGATAATCTTGAGAATATCGATATCATAACTGGGAGCCAGTTCTCGGGATTATCAACGTTCGCTCACGTTCCATATGTCAACTGCTTTGTGGATAGTGAAGCAGAGAAGGAGAAGTATGATATTGCTTTCCTTGGAGCGCCGTTTGACACGGTACGATATCCTCAATCGAAAATGATACCTTGCTCTCAGAGTCACATTTGCTAACAACTTATCAAGGGTGTAACTGCTCGGCCAGGTGCGAGGTATGGTCCTGGAGGCATCCGACAAGGTTCCACGCGAATGAAAGTAGAAAGCGCTTGGAACATATATACAGGAGTAAACAACCTCCTCAGTTGGGCCAAAATTGTGGATTGCGGTGATGCACCGTTAACCTTTTTGGACAATACCATTGCCTTAAAACAGCTTGATAAAGCCCATAAGGTGAGGTTCTCTATTCTGTGCATTTCTGGAAGACCTTCTTTCGATATCGTGTGGTGTGAAACCGATTCGATTGATTCAAGGAAGTTTTGTAGATATGCGTTACCAAGATGATTTTAAGAGGCCATGTCAGCTGATTTTGCCGAACTAGGTCATTTCATCGCGCATAGCCAATTCAACGGATATATCCTTAGTCCCAAGGATCATCACCCTCGGGGGTGACCACACTACCACCCTTTCTGCGCTACGATCAACTTATGAAAAATGGGGTCCGGTTTCGGTTATTCACTTTGATAGCCATATCGGTATGTTCAAACGGGAATCATCACTGGATGGTTGTGCTAATGTATTCCTTTTTAGATACTTGGGACCCCACGGTTTTAGGTACGGATGACCAATTATATTATTACACGCAAGGTGCTAACTAGCTGATTTCTCTGGACTAGGCGGTGGAATCTCCGACTATGCGTGAGTTCTGGCCTGTGGGATTACTTTACAAATTCGCTAATGCAAAATAGAGGAGTAAACCATGGCACTTTCTTACATATCGCCCACGAAGAGGTGAGGCCAATATCCATATCACTTCAAGGAGACACGCTGCTCACAACATCCTAGGGTCTTATTCGCAACGATTCAATCCACGTGGGCATTCGGGCCCCCCTCATTCGACGTAAAGGCGATCTCCGCAATGATATCCGATGCGGTTTTGATATGATCACGGCTCGGGATATTGACTTAATTGGCACATCTGGGATCATTCAAAAAATTAAAGATAGAGTCGGCTCAAACAATGTGTACATCAGCGTTGATATTGATGTCCTAGATCCTGCATATGCGCCAGGTATGTATACTTACTTGTTCCTTTGGAATCCCCGAACTAATTGTGCGCTACAGCCACCGGGACTGCAGAGCCCGGCGGGTTTTCCACCCGCGAATTACTCACCATCATAGACGGGTTACGCGGGCTTCCCGTCATCGGCGGCGATGTCGTAGAAGTCGCGCCAATTTATGACACAAGAGGCGAAACGACAGTTCTCGCAGCAGCTGAGATAGCCAACTCTTTGTTGGGCCTCATGATTGCAATGCCTGTTCCTGTCAAGGGATAACCGCACTAGATTATCGCCCTTGTATATGCGTATTTTGGATCTCCTTGTGGTACACCTCATTATACCCTTTTTATTTCGGCGCTTTGGTGCCAATTTTCCTCGAATACCCCTATTGTTGATAGAACGGGTAGCATGTTGATAGTTCATGGTTCCAATTCTTTGGATATATACCTACACAATCCTTTCACTGAAGGCTCCGATCCACTTCTCCCAGGGGCATCTAGGTCTTATACTGACTTTCCAATATTGATTTGCACTCTATATACCCACTTTGGTCAGCACGAAAGTGCTGACAAACTTTGGTTTATTTTCAGCTGCATAAACAGGGTTAGAAGAATCTACATTCGCAAAGACATCCACCAAAAGGACAATATGGTGAGTCCATATGGCACCAGGAAACTCCCGTATTCAGAGATTGTACGGAGTAGATTGAGAAAAATCTAATCGCAATATTCAATGTAAATTATCAACAACGTCAACATAAATAGCCAAATGGAAATAAATTTGGCTTATGCATTTCCCCTCTTTGTGGCTCCAGATCTGTGCTGTCTTCTTACATTCGATCTGTTGAGTCGCCTCAAGGAGCTCAACGACTTACTGATTAGCGTTTAGGTATAGCAGGGAATCTTTGTCCCTGATGAAAGCGTTGGCTCTCTATATCCTACCTGAATTCAATACAGCAAAGGAAGCTGTCCTTGGCATAAGTTGCTCCCAGACACAAATCGTGACTCGAAATTTGCTCCCATTCCAACGCCAAATAACAACGTCATGGAGTTTTTCGAATGAATGTATAAGTGAATCCAGTCTGAACAGCGATCAGATGGCACATTACTCGAATGGTGCAACAAATTCTGAGCAGACTTCTTTGTTTATGCAGAATGAACCTCTAGGGAAGCTCATGCTCTGTGACACATCCATTCCCGAGATCTTAAAAATTGACGCAAGGCGTAGAACCTAGTTGTCTTGTTGTCCCCAGAAGAACTCGGGCCCTCCTAACAACTTGTTTAGGTCCGAACCGTTGTACCGTATATGATGGATGGGGATGAGTACAAGCCACCTCTATCGAAGTGATACGCTCCAAAGTAGCTAACCGCTTGTGTAGCTATACGTTGTGTGATCATCGCGACTGTTCGCGGCATCGCTGCTGCGGCCCTTTTGTCTAAACTGGTTATACCTGCATGCAAATCATATAAAATGAGGGGTAGGCCTCGGGGCCTAAGATGACTTGAACAGTCCATGCCATAATATATCTATGAGCAGAAAGTCAAGCCTGGGCTGGTAAGGAACTTCTCTGCGGATATGGTGTTGCCTTGAGAAATACAACAGCTAACTCAATAAAGAATATTATAGTTGTTAATACCAGAACCACACAATGCAGTGGACGATTTATGCCCTCGCCTCTCTTATCCTGACACCAATGTGTCTCGCTGATCCACTAGCAATGGATAACTTGGTAATCGACTCCATGACGCTCGCAAAGAATCCAGGGCTCCTGGGGCGGGATATGGTGTTCAATGATCGCGACGGGAAAGTCTGCCATTCATGTATCAAGAGGTGCTGCCCGGTGAAAACACCCAATTGTTGCCTGGGAACCGGTCACTGCTGCCCAGCCCGCAGGGGTGCCTGCAGTCCACCATACACAGGGTGCCTAAAGTACGTAGACATTGCCCTCTTTCAATAAAATAGCTTGCTAACACACAGTTATACAGGCCGCCGAAATGATAATCCACCGGGTGACTTCCGGACCTCCCAATTGCCCCTGAAATTCATTCGTTCGTTTAGGAGGGGGCTTGAAATTTGCTTTGTTTCCTACAACATGTCAGCATTGAAGCTATAGAAAATGCAATACAAATGGTTTTTCCGGTGCTCAAAGACCTACCAGCCGAGGTTTTTGCTCAAGATCCTCAACTTGCTCAACCGTCAATAACTCTTTTGGGTAATCGTCGATTGCTTCGCAGTTTCTATGTGGTGATTATGCTTGCTCGTGACGTCTTCCTTGAGGGTGTCCATGGCTATGGGATTTAGTAAAAAAAAATTATTGAAGTGTTTCCAAGAATTAGTTAGTCACTCCGGTCGAGAGTTGTAAACAAATTGCAAGCCATTTCTGATTTGAATGACAGTCGCCGATCATAGTCATTTTAACATGTACGTACAACTGCTTTGATATTGAGAGTCGGGTATTTTCTTAAGCTAGCCTTTCCTGATGCCCGCTTGAAAGAGTAATAAAAGAGAAGCAAATTTAGCAAAGGTTTATATACCCTCAAAAGTTTTGTTTTATCCTTCTGTGATCATGTGGACGTTATATTGCAACACTTCATTCTCATTGTATCTTCATAAAAACGTCCCAATATTAACAGCCTTCCCATTATTTCTGAAACCATAGTTACCTGTAAACCACACACACGAAAAAGTTTTGAGATCATTTATGAAAGAGAGATATTGCGCCAGCTAACGCCCAGCAGAAGGTTTGATGATCTTTTTGACTTTCTTTTCCACATCATCCCAATCCCGGGCATCAACACGCTCAATATTGGTGTTAAAGTACTTTTGGATATCCTGAAGCATCTGCCACTCGTCTCTATTGGAAACAAAGGAGACGGCAACACCAACACGTCCAAAACGGCCGGTACGACCGATACGGTGAAGATAAGTCTGTGCGTCAGCCATGCGCCGCGCGGCTCCTGGTAGGTGCAATTCCGGAATGTCCTATAACACGAGCGTTAATGTGTAATTATAAAAGAAGTTGGACAGGATAACGCACGTAGTTAATAACCATTGAAACTGTAGACACGTCGATTCCTCGAGCCAAAACATTGGTTGTGATGAGGACCTTTGCAGTACCATTGCGGAACCGGTCAATAACTTCGTCACGCTTTTGCCCCTCGATACCACCAGTCAGAGACACCACTGTATGACCCTCTGCGATCATCCGTCGCTCGATTTCCGCAGCTGAAGCACGCGTCTAAGTCCCAGTTAGGCAAAAAGACCATCGATAACCAATTGAAAGGAGAGAGCTTATATTACCTTGACGAAAATAATCGAAGAGCCAATGGTGAGAAGTCCGTAGAATTTGACCAAAATTTCATATTTGTGTTCGTCTGATTCACAATCCAAATAAAGTTGCTTGATTCCTTCAACTGTGAGCTCTTCATGTTTGAGCGTAAGTTGATTTGAATTGGGCGCAAACTTGTTAGCATAGCGAACGACGTGATCGGGGAAAGTGGCGGAAAACAGGACAACCTGGATCGTCCTCGGCAATAAACTGCACAAGGGTTAGAATAGTAGCACATAGCGCAAAGATCCTAGGTTGTAACATACGCTTTAACTCGAATGCATTGATCACCCAGGCCTTGTTGGTCCAACATATTGTCTGCCTCATCCAGCACCAAAACCCCGAGATGTTGCGTGTTAAACAATCTCTTCTTGATCAGGTCTTGAACAGTCCCAGGTGTACCAACGACTATAGATGCTTGCACGGGTTGGTTGCGGTTCATTTCCATCGGAACGGCAGTTGCCACATGGAGTCCGTCAATGAAAGTACCCATTGCTTGAATAACGCCTACAATCTGTCGTGCTAATTCTCGGCTTGGGGCGAGTACAAGGGCTTGTGGGGTCTTTTGCCTATCCGGACTCAAATCAAGGCGGCTAAGAATATTAAGAACGAACGCAGCGGTTTTTCCGGTACCGGATTGCGACTGGGCTATCATGTTCATGGGCGGATTGGCCATGAGAAGTGGTAAAGCCCTCTCCTGAATTTTAGAAGGGCGGCGGAAGTCCATCTTCGAAAGACCCTTTTGGATAGGCTCAGCACTTAACAACGCGGAAAATACGTTAGCGCTCATAGAACGTCCAGGGGCGAAAAACGATGTAAACTCACAGGCCAAGCTCCTCAAACGACTTGATTGAATATAGTGGGTTGTTCGGGTCCGCTTGCAAATCGCTCAGTTTTACGTTAACATCGAACTCGGAGTCCTGCAAATCCGATCCACGCTGGTCCTCTGAGGCTCCGTCTACTTGGGGAATGGACGGGCCTTTGCCAGCATCATTTTCAGCGGTCGGGTTGTCTGTCAATTCAGGACTTGTGAGTCAAGCGCCCAGCACGAGATATTAGCAGCCAGCTTCTTTTTCAGCTATACACACCTGTCGAGGGGGAATCGCCTGTTTCTGGTTTGGAAATTCGCGCTGCCAGTGGCCCGCCAGCTGGAGTTTCTGCCGGATTTTCAGACGCCATGTTGGCGTGAAAAGAACGAGTTCAAAGCAGATCTGTCGGGCGGAAGTTTAAGCGGCCAGATAATGAATAAAATATTGTCAACGCGATTGGAAATGCCAAACAAAAGTCGGCAAAGCGGGACAATGCGGGGGTAAAGATGAACGTATAGGATGAAAATGCGGCAGAGGAGTACAAATAAAATGGAAGAAGAACGCAGAGCCCTCGACGAGGTGTATATAGTCAAGGAAGACAAACTAGAAGCAAACGCGATCTCCGGCTCCCTGTTGCTGCGTGTTGTTCACGTCTCTTCTTCCATCTTGAGCTGAATTCCTTCACGGTCCTGATACTCTATGCTTAGTCATCCAAAAACTGGCTTACTAACAACATTCGAGAGACTAATCCCAGAGTGGATTAGGGCTATAACTAGCTCCAGCACTTAGCCTAATACATGCTAGCCGAGTATACCCCCCACCCAAGCCACGCCTTTCCTATTCGCGACTAGTCCAGGGAACCCCCGGCCTTCCGAACTGAGGCGCTGCTGCTCCCACCTCGACGCTGACGGAGGAAACGCAACCCGCACGCCATCGCAGTGCCCAACCGTGAGTGCAATGAAATACGCCCCGGACATCTCACTTCTGCTTTGCTGCATGTGCTTGCTGTCGACCGGCCCTGCCGTCCGGAATCAAATCACGTGAACCACATACTTGCATGGGGAGAGGGGATCTCAGTCGGCGGTCATGGCGCAAGTTGAGGTTGATCCCCATTTCGGGGCAGAGTTAAGGGTATGCCGCTATGGCTTTATCTGAGCAATCAACTTACGGAGACTGATTTTCGTATAGGACGCCTTTAAGCCCGTCAATGCCTGGGTATGATCTCGCGGCTCAGTCCGGATAGCTCTGCCTCAAAAGAACTACTGCTAAACCAATTTGCAGGTTTCCAGCGGGATCGGCTGGCTGGACGAAATTCAACAATTCTATCGAGAACGCGGCGCCCTCGAGAAGGAGTATGCCTCGAAATTGACGGCACTATGTCGAAAATACCTTGATCGCAAGTCAAAGAAGTCCAGCAGTTTAAGCGTGGGGGACACCCCGGCGATGACTCCCGGGTCACTGGAATCTGCTTCATTAACAACGTGGACTACACAACTGTCGGCTATCGAAGCCGAAGCAGCAGAACGAAATAAGTTCGGCGCAGACCTGGAATTTCGGATCGCCGAACCCTTGAAACAAGTCGCGGCCCGGTACGAAGAGCTTCGCAAGCATCACGTCGAGTGGTCTAGTAAACTGGAGAAGGAACGGGACGCTTCTTATAGTGATTTAAAGAAGGTCAAAGGGAAATACGACGGAGTTTGCCAGGAAGTCGAAAATCGACGGAAGAAAATGGAGTCGGCGTTCGACCATGGCAAAGCAAAAGCTCAAAATGCCTATCAACAGCAAGCCGCGGAAATGAACAACGTGAAGGTATTTTGCAACTATTTGGTGTCCTTAATCTGTGACTAACTGTGATAGAATACCTATCTAATTGCAATCAACGTCACTAATAAACTGAAAGAGAAATATTACTACGAATATGTCCCGGAACTGCTTGACGTTAGTGGCTTCCATCCTAACCTCCCCTGCCGTTTCTGACCAAATCCTTCAGGGCCTGCAAGACCTCAACGAGACTCGAGTAGCGAAGCTCAATTCAATTTGGACACTGGCTGCTCAACTAGAAAAATCTCTCGTGTCGAAAACGGACGAACATATTTCGCATGTGATCTCTGAAATCCCACGCAACAATCCTAAACTTGATTCTATGATGTTCAGCCGACACAACGTTACCAACTGGCAAGAGCCAATGGACATTCAATTCGAACCGAGCCCTGTGTGGCACGACGATGCAAGTATGGTCACCGATGAAGCTGCAAAGATATTCCTTCGGAACCTCCTGAGTAAAAGTAAAAGCCAAATGAAGGAGATGAAGGGAGAAGCTGACAAAAAGCGGAGGGAGGTCGAGAATGCGAAGAACGTGCGCCAAAGTATTCGGGATGGCAAAGACAAGCGCGACGAGGTAGAGGTTGTTCGTGCTATTTTCTCGATGCAGGAAGATTTACATCAACTCGACCGCAAGCGGCTGACAGCCGAAGTGGAAACGTCGACCGTCACTTCAGTTGTAGGGGATTTATCATTTGGGGCCAAAAACCATAATTTCAGGCAACAAACTTTCAAAATCCCGACGAATTGTGATCTTTGTGGCGATCGGATCTGGGGCCTTTCCGCTAAAGGGTTTGACTGTCGAGATTGTGGATATACGTGCCACAATAAATGCGAGATGAAGGTCGCCCCAGAATGCCCGGGAGAGCAAACCAAGGAGGAAAAGAAGAAATTGAAAGCGGAGCGGCAAGAAGCCGCCAACGCAACTCGCCCATATGAAGCTTCTACAACGACGACAAGTGCAGCTGAACTGCCTACACTCAGTCGTCGTGATACGATGATTCTCTTAGCTCCGGATACGCAGCTAGTGCAGCTAGATCGACATCTGCTCTTTCAAGTCAGACTACAGACACGGGACCTACGGAGTTGCCCGCCGCATCGTCCCCGGCGAAGAAGCTGCTACTCTGAGAAGCATCGAGTCGTGGCTCCTCCGCCTCAGCAATACGTAAGCTCTCCGCCGCCTGTCACAAATGGCGGGTCTACTTCGAAATCCAGCGAGCCCCGCGGGAAAATGCTCTATCCGTATCAAGCCAACGGGGAAGATGAAATAAGCGTCGACGAGGGACAAACTGTTCTCGTTGTCGAACCTGACGGTAAGTTCTCACCGCTTGTTAATGACTTTGAATCTAGGCCCACAACTAACTTGGCATTTTCTTTCAGATGGCTCAGGCTGGATCCGTGTTCGTGCGGGACAATCCACCGGGCTTGTTCCCGCATCTTATGTTGACGCGAGCCCACCGTCGGAGCGCGAAGGTCGACCGGAATCTACATACTCTGCATCGAGTGCATCACTGGCGAACAGCATCGCCAACAAGCGCCGCGGCCCGGCCGTCGCCCCGAAACGCGGCGCTAAGAAACTCCAGTACGTCATCGCCTTGTATGACTACCAAGCGCGTACGGAAGTTGAATGGAGCATGGTTGAGGGTGATAAGTTTGTGCTTATCAACCGCGACAGCGGAAATGGATGGGCGGATGTAGAGAAGGGCGGCGTGACGAAATGTGTGCCGGCGAATTATATCGAGGATGTTGCATAAATGCTCAGCTTTTTTCAAAGTCGTTGGGTTTGGCCATTTTGTCTTTTGGGTAGTTTTGGTTTCTCTTCGACAAGGGGCATATTCGGGATGCATCTGTATAGGCCTCTTGCTTTGGCTGGTGTTTAGAAGCGTTTTGTACGGAGAACACACATATATACATGGGGAGGGGGCGTTTTGGGTTGCTTTCAATGTATTTGGATGTTAACACAAAATATAACGACCTGATGACATCTCAGTTAGCCATGCATACCGAGTACATACGAGAGAATGGCTAGGCGCTGCCGGCCCGATCACTCTCTGCTCTGAAGGGTAATCCCGCTCTCCTCCGATACGGAACCATTTTCCTACTAAACGCGCAAAGGTCCCCTGTCAATCTGCGAATTTTCCGCTTCCAAGTGGAGATCCCTGTCCTTTCCTCCACTAGGAACAATTTGCCCAGTTTTCCAGGCCTGGTCGATCAGTGCGATGATGCGGAGGCTTTAAATGTGCGGCAACGAGCGTCGAGGTGGAGACGAAAGCCAGATGATTTGCACAGCGGCCGTGGGAAGTCGGGCGTTGTTACGTATGCTCTGCCATGTTTCTCGATGAAAGGCCTGGATCTGCGCTTCCGAAACAGCGTCAAGGCCAGATATGCACACGGCCTGGGAGCTCGAACAACGCACGCTGCCAGTCTGCTGCTAAGACAACAACAACACATCGCGCAATCCAGATGCCTGATGTGTGCTCAGAGGTGCATCAGAGGGATATGCGGCTGTCCAGTGCTTGCATCTGGAGCATGCGTGCTTCTCATGCCGTTACCTTTCCCACTGACACGAGGAAAATCGTTGTGCTCAAGTGGCTGAATCTCCTGAATAATCGGAAATCCTTCCGGCTCCAACGCTGTGTTCTTTCTGAAAGATAAGACGGTGGCATTGACAAGATGGTGGTCTCTCTCAACTAACCGTCCTGCATCTTTCAGATATAACTATTGCATGCAGGTTGACCTCCATTCCATGCTTCCAGAAGTCCAGTCGTACAGCATAACTTACGAAACCGGAACGAAGCCCTGTGCGTCGATCCCCGGCTCTGGGTCCTTCGTCAGTGATCGCAAATGATACCTCTCCGGCCTCCAAGAAGAATAAACAGCGCATCGCAGATAGTAGGGCAGCTCTGCTGTTCTCACAAAACGCCCCAGAAGGTGCCTGGTTATGTGATGTGATTCCGGGCTGAGGAAAGCCAACACATTGCTGAGATACTCGCTGTGGTTGTGCGACTGTGTTAACGACAGCGTTGACCAAGCTTTATCCGCTGGAGTATTAACTAGCAGAGAGATGGAAATGAAGCACTCGATATAGCAACGGTAAAATCTCCGGCCTAATTGCCACTCCCCTTGTCCAGACGCATGGGAGGCGTGGATAGCGGATCAGGGACAAATGGCGAAACTTGGATCGGCTTCTTCCACTTGAAGATGCGCGTCCCATATGCGTGTGTGTGTGAATATATTGGCTGTTTCTTTTGTTCGTCATCATCTTGCGCATTTCCCACTTTTTCCCTTTCTTTCTTTCTCCTCCCCTTCTTCTCCTTCTACTGTTCTCCCTCGCAGACTCGTCTTCTTCTGCTTCCAATTATCTTCTTATCGTCCCTCGTTCTCTCCCCCTTCGCCTCACGTTCCCGCCAGGAAGGAATAGACTGCCGTTCGTTTCAGTTTGGCCCTTCCTCTACTACGCGGCCACTCGCCTCCTCGACGGTTCGCCATATCGTCTCCTCACTCGCTGTGTTTGCCAATGCCGATTTAGTCACCGTTGATCAACTTGTTCCTACTTACACTTTTTAATATCCAGAGCTTTGTTTGATCACATACGACCCCTCGCTCCCTGCAGTGACCTCGACAAGCATGAAGACCGCCGTTCTTTCGCTGGTGGCAGCTGCTGCTCTGAGCGTTCCCTCTACCTATGCCAGTGTAGTGTCATCCAGAGATTCCAAGATAACACCCATCACTGTCAAAGGCAATGGTATGCTTGAGGGCGTTTTGATCCGGCTAGAGTGTGAGCTAACTAGACGCCTACCATAGCTTTCTTCAAAGGCAATGAGAGGTTTTACATTCGTGGACTGTAAGTGCGAACCACTGTCCCTCTATTTGCTTGAGTTATCTTATACAATGTGATGCTGATTGATGCACAGTGACTATCAGCCGGTTCGTGATAACAATAGAATCCCTATTCCCCGAAACAAGCATTAACGCTTGCACTTTAGGGCGGTTCATCAAAGGTCGAAGACCCAATTGCCGAGCCAGATACCTGCAAACGAGACATTGAGTACTTCAAGGAACTTGGCTTGAACACGATCCGTATCTACACCGTTGACAACTCCAAAAACCACGATGAGTGCATGAAAGCTTTAGCAGATGCTGGAATCTATCTCGTCCTCGATGTGAACACCCCTAAATACTCGATCAATCGTGCAGGTAAATTTACCAATCCCCATCCATTGAATTGATTCTAATTCATATAGAGCCTGAAATATCATACAACGACGTCTATCTACAAAATGTCTTTGCGACTGTCGAAATGTTTGCTAAATATGACAACACTTTGGTAAGATGGTTATATGAACGTACTTTCGTGCATTGTCTCACGGCTGCTAGGCTTTCTTTTCTGGAAATGAAGTCATCAATGATGGTGAAACCTCGAACACGGCTCCTTACGTCAAAGCTGTTACGCGTGACGTTCGACAGTTTATCCGCAGTCGCGGTTTGAGAAAGGTTCCCGTTGGTTACTCTGCGGTATGGCTTAAGTTGTTTATCTTCGTTGAAACGGCGATGCTAACCAATTCATAGGCCGATATTGACACCAATCGCTTGGAAATGGCACAATACATGAACTGTGGGCCTGACGATGAGCGAAGTGATTTCTTCGCTTTCAACGACTACTCCTGGTGCGATCCGTCATCCTTTACGACATCCGGATGGGACCAGAAGGTCAAAAATTTCACGGGGTACGGACTGCCTCTCTTCCTTTCTGAATACGGGTGCAACACAAATAAGCGTGGCTTCGGCGAGGTGAAGGCTTTGTACTCTGAGAAAATGACGCCTGTCTACTCCGGCGGTCTTGTCTACGAGTATACCCAAGAGCCGAGTAACTACGGCTTAGTGGACCTTGGCGGTGATAAGCCTAAGAAGCTGGATGACTTCGACACTTTGAAGAAAGCATTTGCAGGCACAAAGAACCCTTCTGGTGATGGTGGCTACAACTCAACTGGCGGCGCCAATCCTTGCCCCAAAAAGAACGCTCCCAACTGGGACGTAGACGACGATGCTCTCCCAGCCATCCCCGAGCCAGCGAAGAAGTATATGAAAGACGGCCCTGGCAAAGGACCAGGACTTTCGGGTAAGGGCAGCCAGAACGCGGGTACCAAATCTAGTGGAACGGCTACCCCAGGATCTGGGTCTGTTACCGCCACATCTTCCTCAAGTCAAGGCGCCGCGGCCGGTTTACGCATTGAAACTAGCATCGCCCCAATGGTCTGTGCTATGCTGGTTGTAATTTCGACCATGTTTGGTGCTTCGTTTATCTTTATGCTCCAAATGTAAAATCTGTTTTGTTTAACCAGGTTCAAGGGGTTGGGGCTGTACATGGAAAGGGGGGCGCGCTCGCTTCATTCTTATTGCTTTCCGGTAATTCATCCCGGGGCTTTCTTCCTTTTTGAAAGTGTATTGTAATTCATAGGCGGCATAACATGGAATGAATCTAGGGTTCAGTCTCACCTCTCATACTGCAAGCGTTAGAACAGGTAGTAGATTCAAGCTAACAGCTCAGACATGACCCTCATACAAGCCAATCAGTTAACTTATATTGGCCTTTTCTGATAGCTGGTTTTCAGAAACATAGAGATTTCCCAAAAAACCGTCAGAACGGAAAAGCGGAGCTCCTGGTAGTTCCGGCTTGAGACTGCAGGAGATGTAGAATAGGCCAGTAATCAAAAGGGAAAGGGGTGATATCTCCATGAGATATACGGGAGGGAGTGGCTAGCTTTCATCACTCAATACAAATGTAACCGGGATCCCATCAAATCCTATGGTTGCTGATTAGCATCCGATATGAGGTTCGACATTAGTGGGTAATCACCCAGTATTACAGATCCGAAGGAGCCCTGTTGCCTCCAGAGTATGCATAGACCCCGTCTAATGTGGATTTTGCGAGATGGCATTGGTTTTGAAAAGGGGGAATACTCGTCAACTGCCACTTTGAGAAGATGAAAGGCAATTGTCTTGCAATCGTCCTTGTCTCAACTTTGCCTCCTCTGCCGCATTTATTTTACCTTGCTCTCTGATGGATCCCAACCCTAAGCCGTCATCTAGACGGCACATCAGGTGTACATGTCTGCCTCTGGCAACTCGACTGCTTTGGGGACCATTTTAGCATTTGCTCTGGTGCCAGGCAATAGCAAACACCTTACTACGTGGATAATAGGTAACAGGCGCTTAAATTCAGTGTGGCTTCATATATTAAGGAATCTGAAGTTGTGGTCCGGACATATGCCTCGACGAGGGTGGAATTGCCTCCGATTGCAAGGGCGTCATTCTGCGCTGCTGTCGGATGTTCAGAATAGCACCACAGAATCGGACTCGAAGATGCGCGACTCGGCATGGGCGAAGGATAGCAAAAATAATCGACGGGTTTAATAGCTGGGCGCTTGTGGGCGAGTGGACTCACCATCAAACTAACTGATAAGTGCCCAAAACAGCCTGTGTTTGCCCCCCGTTTGCTTGACACAGTTCGAGTATCACCATCCTCCCTCCCCAACGCCCCGTTCCTCGCCTCGAATTTCTCCTCCTGGCGGCTCCGGCATGTGCTTTCTGGAAGGACTACCAGGGCTCTGCTGCAAGAGCAAGAATAGGCGTGGCCTGTGCCGCTTTCTGTCTGGTTCTCAGGAGTGGACGGGTACGAGGGAGATTGGAAGCGAGGCCGTTCATGCCGGGAGTTTGAACTGACTAACCAGTTACTAAACAACGGTAAGACATCGCTAACAGAGTCGTTGGTTAACTAAACGACGAGATCCTGCTTGCTGCGACGCTGTCTTTTTCTCTCGTCCTCTTGTGCGCTGGCGATGGCCGGTGAGTCGATATTTCTCCCATCGAATTTGCTAAATCGAAGAAGTAACGATAGTCGCAAGGGACATTGCGATTGACCCAAGGTTCTTCCTGCTGGAGCTCAGCTGACGGGAGTGTTCAGCTGCATTGCCAGTGGTGATTCTTCGATGAGCTTGGGCGATGGGTTGAACTGCGTTCGATTCCACAAAGAATACATCAACTGCTGGCTTTGGAAGAGAGGAATGTCCCCGAGATAGACTTATATACGGCTTGGGGATTGAGAGATCGACCAAAGGGCGTCATCACGCAGCCAAACCGACGATCATGGAGTGCTCGTCGCCTCTTGAACATGGGAGCTCTCTAGAGACAGGCCATCTGGTGTCTACCAAGAGTTCAAATTCCTCCCCTCCAACAGGTAACTACTGTCCACCATACTCGCAGACAACATCTTCGCTGATGCTATATTATAAAAGGCGTTTCGTGGGTTGAATCCATCCGCTCAAAAGATGGCACGCTCAGCACCCCGCAGACCATCGCCCACCGCGGGTACAGTGCGAAATTCCCCGAAAACACAATGAACGCCTTCACGCATGCCGTCGAGGTAGGCACACACGCTATTGAGACGGATATCCGCCTCTCCAGAGACGGGGTTATTGTACTTTCGCATGTGTGTTACTTTCTGCTCACAGCCCCGCCTCCCAGGCATTTACGCTGACAACAATCTCAGGATGCTACGCTTAAGCGCTGCTTTGGCATTGACAGGCGTCTTGTCGACTGTGACTGGTCATATCTCAGTACTCTGCGTACTGTTAAGCCGCCCCATGAGCCTATGCCGCGCCTCATAGACTTGTTAGAATATATAGCTGCTCCAGAGCGGGCGAACGTGTGGATATTACTAGATATCAAGGTCGGTGCTGGATCGGGATTTCACCCAAGATCACGCGTTGTGTTGACATTTTCAACAGGTTGATAATAATGCAGATAATATAATTGCCGCCCTCACTCGCGTCTTTCTTTCCGTGCCATCACCGTATCGGCCATGGAGGGACCGTGTGGTGCTGGGTTCCTGGACGGTATGAAACCGAGACTCCTCTCCTTTTTTTACCCCTCATTTATGATCGAACAGGCTGAATACCTCTCGCTTGTTCGAGACCACTTCCCCGTATACCCGCTCGCCATAACGACCTTTTCCATCCAGTATGCTCGGCAGTTTCTGACGGTTCCAGGGGTGAGTATTAGCATCAACCAAAAAGTTCTCATGGGCTGTGGCGGGCGGAGGTTCCTTGCTGACGCCAAACGGGCGGGGAAAGCTGTGTTTGTGTGGACTGTGAATAAAGAGGTGTTGATGCGGTGGAGTGTCCGGAGGAAAGTTGATGGAGTGATTACAGATCAGCCGGTGCTGTTCGAGGATGTTGTGAGGCAGTGGGAGGATGACGATTATGGGGATGGGTTTGTGAGCAACGAGGTTGAAATTACGCTGGAGCAGAGGGCAATGGCGCTGCTGGCGACGATCGCCTCTTGGGTGCTGGGGATCGTCTTAACTGTAATGTATCCGGTCAAGTTTAGACGGTTGGATGGAACGGTGGATGATGGGTTAGGGTATGCTTAAAAATGTGCCCTGGGATGAAGGTTTTCATGCGAAGCATGTCCAGACGATATGGGCGGGTTTCATTAGCCGAGTACTGGGATACGAGGCCATAGCACTGCATACAACTTGATATCAGATTAAATAAAAGTATGAGTCAGGAAACTGAACGTAAAAGAGAAAGAAAGCGTGTAAGGATTAATGTCCAAGAAGGCGTAATCATACAGAAATAGTCCGGTAGAGAACGAAAGGTCTGAAAACGAAGCAGCAAATGGAACACATTTGGGTATAAAGCTATCTCCATGGTCCGGATTCTTTTATTTTCCCCCAGCCCAAAGAGAAAAAAGAAATGAAAGTGTTGTACAATAAATGCAGGGAAGAGAATGCATAGATAAGGTGTAAGGAATGAGTAGTAAGACGACTGCGGGATAGAGTGGCATTTCCTGGAAACGCAACGCCGGCTTTGCGAGGGAAAAGATGGGCGAGGGTAGGGATGAAACACGATGGATATATGGGGTAGACCAGCGGAAATAGAGATTGATTAGGTCCCTCGAGCAGGACGAACAGGTAGGTATTTCTCTCCTGCTTGATTAGGATTTTAGATCAGGGTGATAATAATATAGATATCATAGCATCATTAATTTCGTGGTCCTCCGCTCTGGGAACCGTCGGGGACCAGGAGGCGGTTGGAGGCCTCCTGCACCTCCCCTTGGTAACGGTTTACCGGGGGGGAAGCCACTGTTGGGCTTCGGAGGATACATCCCCGGCGGAGGACCGCCGGGTCCACGATTGCCGGGACGCGAGAAGTTATTACCACGTCCACGTCCTCGGGTTGGCGCTGGAGCTCGCCCTGGCCCTGGGCCTGGTCCGCCACGTGGAGGACCAGCGACAGGGGGAGAGTTGTATGACGGTCTCCGGCCGTATCCAGGTGGGGGGCCATTAAATCCAGGATTCTGCCCGGGACCAGGGCTGGGACCTGGACGCAGGCCAGGTGAGGGAGGTGGATATGCCATGGCTGCGGCCCTGCGGCCATCTCGATCGCAATACACATCCCCATTCCATTCAAGGTAGTCACCTTTTAACACAATCCGGCATGTTTTGCAAGTGAAACAATCTGGGTGGAAAAGCTGCCTCTTCTCCTTTCCGTCTTTTTCATCTCGCACCATTCCTTCGGCTTGGAGACATGGTCCTTCAATACCTCGCCCACAAGAGGAGCACAGCGATCCGTTCAGTTCATGGTAGTGCTGGCCGCAGTACGGGTTATTATTCAGTACGTAAAAGTCTGCTGTCTGGAAGGGGGAGCGGCAGGTGTAGCAGACAAAGCATGCTTTATGCCACCGCCCGGTTAAACGACCGTCAGCTGAGGAAACCGATTTGCCGACGATTAGTTCTCCACATCCGCGGCAACGGATGCGACGAGGCCCTGGCGATTTCGGTGGAGCAGGGGCGCGTACAAGAGACTCCATCTTGTTTGGGACGTGGTCGCGTTGAGAAGAAGGGCGAGAAGAGGAGGACTCCGTATCGCCGTTTAGTCCCTCGGGCTCCGAATCATGTGGTAGTTCGACGAAACGTTCATATTTTGGGGGTGTACGTTTGAAGCGACCCTGTTGGAAAAGGGGGTCGGTGGGCGAGTCAAGGTCATATTTGTATGGGCTTGGAGGGGGTTTAATGTCGGCACTCGGTGGTTCTGAAGGCTGTGTCGAGCAGGAGCTGGTCGTCGCGGTGTCGGACGGCGAGGAGTCGGAGGATGAAGTTGAATTGTTTGTTGCATGGTACGGGTCACCGAGACCAAGGCCCCGGGCGAAGTTCGAAACGGAGAAATCTTGGTCGACAGTATAAGCTGGGAGAGCGGCGCTCGATTTTGACGCCACTGGCGAATCTGGGCGTGCAGGTTCGGGACGGACAAAGTCACTACTACCGTTCGATAGCCGCGCTGTTTGAGAATGACGATCTTGCGGTTTGGGTGGCTCTTGGTCGATGGGGAATCCAAGCTCGAAACCAGGAAGGCCCGTTGATAGGCCAGCACTTCTGGGGGGGCTTGCGGTTACTCTATCGTTTTCATATGCTTCGTCGCTGGGAAATCGATATGGCTCTGGAGCTGCAGTAAATGGACTTGGGGTGACGCTTTTGATTGGACACGCGGGAAGAGGGGGGATTTCGTCCAAGAAATTATGGTACCCACGTAAGTTGGCGGTGTTGGGAATCCCCGGTGTTGAGCCGCGAGATAAAGACTCCCCATAACGGCTGCTCGCGACCGACATTCGGTATAAGCTTTTACTGTCGATGGAGATTTCTCGTTTATGCTTGTTTGCCCTTGAGCGGCGACGACGTTCCTGCTCTTCCTGTTCCTGGTCATCTTGCGAAAGGATTAGAGCTGGTAGAGCAGGCAATGACTGGTCAAGGCGGGAATCGATGTGATCCGCTGTGCTTTCGGAAGGGCTCGTTGCGAGCGGACTCTGCACACGGTCACCTTTGACCAGCGTCCTGGACCTCGACCTGTTTTTCGCACTGGCTCTAGAGGCAGGTCTTGGAAATGGGGGGAATGCACTGTCCAGATTAGTTCGCTCCGGAGAAGGTGGGTTTGGCAGTGGTGAAGTATGACTTCGCTGTGGTTGAAAAAAGGGAGATCTTGGTGATGGAGACAGAGGAGACGCGGATCGAACGCCGCTTACACTTGGAGATGCTGGCACACGTAGCTGGAGAAATGGACGGTCTGTCGGAGGTTAACACAAGCAAGACGAATCACACCAGCAGGACACTCACTTGCAGCAAGAGGGTCAATTGGCGGTGGAGGCGCCATGCGCCCAACCCTGGCGAGAGGACCATCGAGCCGGCTGAGGTCAGGCCTGGGTGGACTACTCTGTCCTGGCTCTTCGGTCGTTGCTAGCAGTGGTGTTAGTATGGATAGCGATCACAGAACAGGAACAAGGCGTACGTTGTGGCGCCGTCGAGCACACATGGTCGCCCATGGCCGAAAGCTCGACCTCTGCTTGGCAGTTGGAACATTTTATCTTTGGCAAAAAGTCGTCCAGACCGGTGGCCATCGTTGTTCGGAACAGTGAGGGTCGAGGCTGGCGTGGAGCATGAGGAGCTGGAGTCAGGCCGCCAGTGGCCGGTCTAGATATCAACGGCGCGCAGGCGACAGGTTACAAAAAAAAGCCGTTGGGGAAACCGTTAACTGAGTGGCCGTTGAGTGCAGTGTCGAAATCGGCTTGGCGGAAGGAGGAGAAAGGACGTGGTATAAGATTAGTGTGCTCGGTGAGGTTCTGTGGTCTGCAATGTCAGATGACTGACGGAATTCAAGGAGGCATTGAATCATTGAATCAGAGAAACAAGCCCAGGAGAGGGATGGGAAGAAGGACAAGTAATGCCAAAACGTGGGTATAACGATGTTGGATGCGACGTCAACCAGAAACGTGAGACCCCGGGCGACGCAGAAAGGGGGGAGTACCAGGAGAACGGCACGGACGGGACTTACAGATTGTCTCAGCGCAATTGAAGGAGCTCGCGATTAGATATTATCATATTAAACTAAGATATGGACAACAGAGAAACACAGAGAGAGAGAGAGAGAGAAAGCAGTGAAGCCCGAAACCAACAGCAAGACGAAGCAGAAGAAGAAGAAGAGACGTTGAGGTTCGATGGAAGAGAGTGCGGTTTGGGAAAGCCGGGCATCTGGACTCGCATGTCGGGGCCAGCGCGAGCTGTGATTCGCCGGCGGGGACAGCTGGGCTAGGCCTGGTTCGGACTAGCGTGGCTTCTGTTCCTGAACTGCGGCTCCACTTTCCCCACTTGGAGCCACAACATTATACCCAGTTAGGGTTAGTTCAAGTAATAGTCCCTGATCGCCGAGCGGGGCTCTTTCCAAATCGAGAAAAGGCGCGTGTGATTGGCCAAAAGGAGAAGTCGCATCTTATGTTCAGCCAATCAGCGCTCGCCCGAGCTTCGTTGACATTTTGAGCTTCGGCCAATCAGGAGGCGGGGATGATCACCTGGATTGCGTGTTCTTCAGGAGAAACTCATTATCAAGAGAGAGAGAAGAAAGAGAGAGAGTGTGTGTATATCTCAGTAGAGCGAGAGGGTGTACTCCATATCAGCGGTGCAAGTGCGTGCTCGTATGAGGTCTATCGGTCGCACATCCGACGGGAGGCGCGTCAGGAGTGTGACACCCCAGCGCCCTCGGGTTGAGATCTGTCTCACCATCCCCTGAGACAAGGCAAAGCCTGTCCCAAGCCATCTTGGGCGGGACAAACAGAAAACGGAACGCCAGAGAAGCATTGAAGGCCTGGAGAAGGTGGATGGCCTGGTCAGATCATCGCCAGATTAAAATTAGCCAGCGTGAATTTGATGCGAATCATCTCCTCACGGTCCACCTCCACGAACCCGATCGACATGCCCCGTGCTCAATCCCCCAAGAGCGCCGGCAAGAAGAAAAGTGAAGCAGAAATCATCAAAGACCAACAAACAGCGCCTTTGTGAGAAGGTCAAGGACCAGCATGCTCACAACGCAGCCGATGAGTGAATTAGTTCCAAGGTCAACCGACGATCAGCAGTCGTCTCCCGATCCCGGCGTGTGACCGGAGATCTGTATCAACCTGCTCGTAGATTGCAATAATTATCCCGCCATTCATGCAAGCACGGAAGACTGCACCGTCGGATGGTTTAATACTGATTCCGTAGTCCACTCTGCTTGTGTCCCAAGGGAAAAAAAAGAAAACATAAAGGTTGCGTGATTGAAAAAGCAATTCGAGGGCTGTTGGCTTGCGTCCAAGCTCCATATGCTCCCGACACCGCGGAGACGACGTCGCCATTTTTGCTAAATGTCCGGCGACTGCAGATCCAGAAAAGATAAGGCATCGCACGGCGAATTATGTTTGAACACACCGGCCTGTCGAGATGGAGTCTGATTATGCATGCAAAGAATGGCGCTACTCCCGAATCACAATCAGCCAGCAGACAATTCCTTTTTTCCTATTTTTCTTTTTGTTGTTAGTTGCATCTTTTTTCTTTTTTCTTTTTTGGCCGGTTAATGAAGGAAGACGCTCTCTCCTTGTCATCCGATGCTTGCAAGATCCGACCCCGCAACGGCGCTGCCCCGCGGTGAGAATGTTCTGCCGGAGGGTCTGCTCTTGGTGCTGACTGGATGTGATGTGTGACACCCTGGACACAGCCACGGCGCATGGCGGGATCAACGGCAGCTGCGAGATGCAGGAGTCGGCGAATGAAATGATGCTTCGACGTTGGGGATCCGGCGTCCTGTCTCTCGTCTGTTGAGGCGGACGATGGCCGGGCAGACAACTTCATCATTCTACTGTCGAGAGGAAGAATCACTGATGTTGTCGGGATGACAGCTACAAGCTAACTAATTTACTGCCCCGCCCCCTTTTCCGCGGCTGTTTGTTTGTTTGATGTCAGCCTGCACCGCTCCTTCTCCATCCGATGCGTGTGTTGGCAGCGAATCCACTCCGGATGCCTCTTCAGCAAGGAAGGTGCAAGGAGGAACACCGAGAGGCATAATGCGGAAGGCACGATGGAGCAAGGTGGAGCTTAAGTGCATTCGCTCCTTCCGACTGGCCGGCACTCTGTTTTTCCCTCACCGCAATCCCGCCTGCCCACATCAGTTAAATACGCCCCTCTCCCCCCGTCCTCTTCCTCTCTTCTTCCTCTCTTCACCAACAAGAATCGTCTTCGTCCTGCAAACGCTGCTCCTACGTCTTGATCAATTCTCCAAACAGATCACTACCCAGCAGTGATCGTTTAACACCGCCAAAACGTTTTCCAATCTTCTTCCTTCGTACGTCTATCCTCACCACTCTCGAGAGAGAATGCTTGCTAACCGCCCTCCAACAGGTGCCACCACCCGTTCAACGGTAGCCGGCGCTCATCCGCTCGTGGAGGAGCATCGGATTCACCCCACGTCAGATAATTGCATCCCGCCATTGACACTTCTCCTGTCACCTGTGCATCTCAAACTCGCCCTCGAACAACTTCTTGCAACCTATCTCACCAATGGCTCCCCACGCTGATGTTGCTGCCAATGGCACCGTGAACGGGTCGGCTTCGGCTCCCAAATCGGACCTCTTCAAGGTCGAATCGCCTAACGTTGTCTACACCGACGACGAAATCAACACCAAATACGTCTACCGTACTACCTCTGTCACTCGCACCGACGATGGCAAGTACGTTGCCGTCCCAAAGGAAACCGTCTATGACTTCAAGGTCGACCGCAAGGTTGGAAAGGTCGGCACCATGTTGGTCGGCCTCGGTGGCAACAATGGAACCACCATCACCGCCGGTATCATGGCCAACCGCCGTAACCTCGTCTGGGACACCCGCGAGGGCAAACGTAGTGCCAACTACTATGGCTCCTTGGTCATGGGCTCCACCGTCAAGCTCGGAACGGATCCCAAGACCGCTGAGGAAGTCAACATTCCCTTCCACGATTTGCTCCCGATGGCCCACCCCAACGATCTCGTCATCGGCGGCTGGGATATTAGCGGAATGAACCTCGCTGATGCCATGGACCGTGCTGCCGTCCTCGAGCCCACCCTCAAGGAGATGGTCCGCAAGGATATGGCTACCATGAAGCCCTTGCCAAGTGTCTATTATCCAGACTTTATTGCCGCCAACCAGGAGGCCCGTGCCGACAACGTCCTTCCCGGCTCCAAGGCTTGCTGGGAACACGTTGAGCACATCCGCAAGGACATCCGGTAAGTTTCTTTTGTGCTTTCTGGCTTGGGGATATCGATATTTACAAAAGGACTAGTGAATTCAAGGCTGCAAATGCTCTTGATAAGGTGATTGTTCTCTGGACCGCCAACACCGAGCGCTATGCAGATCTTTTGGCTGGCGTCAACGACACGGCCGGCAATCTCCTCAAGGCTATCAGGGAGGGCCACGAGGAAGTCTCGCCTTCTACCATTTTCGCAGTTGCCTCCATCCTTGAGAATGCCCCCTTTATCAATGGATCTCCTCAGAACACTTTTGTGCCAGGTGCTATCCAGCTTGCTGAGCAGCACGGAGCTTTTATTGGAGGCGACGACTTCAAGTCCGGCCAGACCAAGATGAAATCCGCCTTGGTCGACTTCTTGATCAACGCTGGTATCAAGCTCACTTCTATTGCTAGCTACAACCACCTTGGTAACAACGATGGAATGAACCTCAGCTCTCACAAGCAATTCCGCTCCAAGGAGATCTCCAAATCCAACGTTGTCGACGATATGGTCGCCGCCAACCACGTGCTTTACAAGAAGGGTGAGCACCCCGACCACACCGTTGTCATCAAGTACATGCCTGCAGTTGGCGATAGCAAGAGAGCTCTCGATGAGTACTATGCCGAAATCTTCCTTGGTGGCCACCAGACCATCAGCATGTTCAATGTCTGCGAGGACTCCTTGTTGGCCTCGCCTTTGATCATCGATCTGGTCTTGCTTGCCGAGGTCATGACTCGTGTTACCTGGAAGGCTGCCGAGGGTGACAAGTACAAGGGCTTCCATAGTGTTCTCAGCGTTTTGAGCTACATGCTTAAGGTATAGTGCATCCTACCTTTGTGAAGTTGTCATCCGTCCTAATTATTTTACAAGGCCCCAATGACTCCTCCGGGAACCCCTGTTGTGAATGCATTGGCTAAGCAGCGTGCTGCCGTTACCAATATCTTCCGTGCTTGCGTTGGCCTCCAGCCCGAGTCTGATATGACTTTGGAGCACAAGCTATTTTAAACGCAATGGCTATGGCTCTGCAAGTGTGATTGGCTTTGGTTCCGGCACACACCTCAGCCCTGAAGTTCTGGAATTGCAATTGTTAGGTAGCCGAATTCCTCTGTGAATAATTTCCACAGACAGTCGCTCATTAGATAGTTAATGGTTACCACCTCTCGGGAGATTGATATCAAATACACATCTATCCTCAGTATCTAATGTTTTCGCTCCTATTTTCTAATTCTTCTGGCTGGCAGTTCAGGACCGCCTGCTACCAAAAGCGGTAAGAGGGGTAAAAACGCCCGACAACCTCATTTCTGAACAACATCATCACAGCTCTTGCTGCTTCATCTTCGCGAGAGAATCACCAGCAATGGCCAATCTCCTTGCTTACTTGTCTCGAGAAGGCGCGGAAGCTGAAAGTGAAGATTGTTCTCCATCTACGGGAGGATGGGTGCCGCCCACTAGATATATTGAATGTTTTCTCAGAAGACTCAGCGTCGGACCATGCAGGGCAACGTTCATAGCCCGAGTTGTCAACGTTTATGATGCGAAGAATCAATATGCCAGTGCGAACGGGGCTGGCAAGAATGGGAACAGGGCTTGCAGTGGGTACCTAAAGATCGTGGCAAAGGACTGGAGCGGATCAATACTAGTTTGTGGAAAAGCATTCATTCGTTCTGGACAGATTCCTAACTTGAGCTGACTATGTGACGTATAGATCTATCTGCACTACCTGGACGTGGAGTATGATATCCATCTAGGAACTTTGCTGGCGGTGTGGACGACGCATATTTCGCCCATCAAACCGCCATCCAAAACTGGAGTATTGAGGATTAAGACAAGCATATGCCCTGAAACGGATAGGTGGTGTTGTGTGCGTGTTCTGAAGAATGATTTGGGGGAAGTTGGGCGCGTTCCTGGTGACCTCACTGGGTTGACGAGGCTGAAAGATGTGGCGATGGCGGGAGCCGGCGATGGAGTAAAGGTTTTGGTGTATGTGAAGGCTATAGGAATAACTCAGCAAGGTATGCGATTTGCATCATTGTTTCGCCGAGGGCGTGAATTGGACTGACACTGTACACAGCTAGCCAACCTCAGAAGCGCGGGGAGCTCATCGAACGGTGCGATATCGGCATTGCAGATGATTCTGGGGAAGCTATACTCACTTTGAAGGGATATCTCACCCGCTCAGCACGGAAATGGGTGCCCAATTCTACCATTTTGTTACTCAGCGACGTGTTCTGGGGCTCGGGTACAAGGCGTGCGTACGTCTCTGCGCAGAGCACGGTGGAGGTGGATCCGGATATGAAGGACGCGGACTGGCTTAGGAGGTATTCAAAGGGGATGGCGGGGTACGTGAATGAGAGGTTTCCGGAGAATGGTGTGTGTCAACCGAATCTTTTTTGGTTGTTGATTTGTGACTAACATGGTGGTTTGGAGTGTTCGATGTGGAAGTATTCAAGGCGAGCCAGAATAAGCTGAGGTTTACTTTGGCAGATATTGATGAGTGGTATGTGTGCGCTCTGCCTCCTTGATATTGTTTTGATATTGATCTTGCCTGGCTTGAGGGCGGGTTAGTGCAAGGGTCACTCCTGAGGGTTAGTTCCAGTCCGATATGCGATGAATGGAATTTGTTTCTGACGGTTAATATTAGTCGTGTTCATGGGCTATGTCTGCGTGATGATTATGGAAGTGAATCTGGTAGAGTTGTTTAGGAATAACCGTCTCTTCTACACAGAATGGTATGTTGGGACGGATTTCATTTCTTCTAGAGCGGATAATATGGATAGCGATTGCTAATTGCATTGATAGTTGCAACATGCCGATATTTGCTAGTAGCACACACGGCCAATGCGGCCAGTGCGAGCAAGATATTGAACTCAAATTGAACCCGCGGATTGTAAGTTCCATCAGCCCATGTTGGAGAGGACCTTTTTGGATTAACCACATTCACGCTCCTAACACTCCCTAGATCGGGTCACTCGCGGATGAAACAGGTTGCATTTCCTGCACCCCATTCCAAACCAGCCCTGCGAAGAAACAATCTCTGGCGATCCGGGGATCATCGCCACTCCTCTGGTCACCGACTGCGTGGTCGCAACTCCTCGGGCGCGAGCCAGCAGCATTGCTTCAAGGAAGAGATGCAGCGCAAGTGGGGCAGGAGTTGCTGGTGCTGGAGACTCTGATGCTTTTCTCGAGGATCACGGTGTTGTTCGGGTGGAGTAGAGAAGTTGGGAAGTTGGCTGTCTGTGAAGTCTTGGGAAGTTGATGTTTGCGAAGATGCCGCCTTTCCCGATATGATACTAGATGGGTATAATGCTGATAGATCACGCAATGTATGGTTTGAAAACCGGGTTGGCTTCAACCGGTGAATTCCTACCATCCAATCCTAGCTCCTATCCCTACCTCACCCCAAGAGGATACTCTCCTGGAATGTTCTTCCTATTGGGAACAATCTCGGGAACCTCTAAGTATCTTCTCTGCGTCATTACGTTTGTTTCTAATACCGGCGGCACCCTCTTGCTCAGACCAAGCACTTTCTCAACCCTTGCCGCTACCGCCAGCAACTTCCCATCTTCCCCAGGCAACCCCAGCACCTCTATGCCTACAGGAACTCCCGCTTTCGCGCTCTCACTGCCTGGAGAATACCCCGCCGGCAGCGCAATCGCAGGAAACCCCGCAACAGCGGCAAGAATACCATTCCTGCCGCGCTGGGAGGGTGACGAGAGTGGGACTGCGAGGGTGGATTGGTGCGGGTAGATGAGGGCGTGGAGGGAGTATGTGGAAAAGGTTGAGCGGAGGGTGGTGCAGAGGGAGGAGATGCGGTGTCTGCGGGCTGCGTAGGAGGAAGAGTTTGTTTGAGGAGAGGAGTATAGGGATTGGGAGACCTGCGCGTACTGGTGTGGGAGCAGGAGGAAGGGCGAGCGCGGGGCG